TAAAAATATTAAAACTTTGTCCTGCAGTGGTAGTACACAGGAGGATCTCTGTGAGTTCGAGGACAGCCTGGTCTACAAAGTTCCAGGACAGCCAAGGCTACAAGAGAAACCCTGCCTCTAAAAACCAAAATAAATAAAATTTTGATTTGTTAGAAAATCCAAGTAACAAGACATTTTTTTCTTCATTAACAGATTGTACAATATGAAAGGTGTATTAGGTCTTAATCGGTCTCCTGTTAGACAGATCTTGAAACAATTGGAATCTCCAGAGTGACATTTTCTTTTTGCATACCAGCAAGTCACCTGGGCAGAGAGTTTTCACAGACAGATTAAAATGAGATTCAAAAAGAGAATTTGACCCTATGAACCACTCTTTGGCAAAAGAAAAGACTGAAGCTTAAGCTGATCACCCATGGCTAATGATTTCATCCATGATACCTATGTAACGAAACTTCCATAAAATCCTTGAAAAGAAGGTGTAGCAATTTGAATGTAATTGACCCCCATAATCTCATAAGGAGTGGCACTATTAGGAGGTGTGGCTTTGTTGGAGTGGGTATGGCCTTGTTAGAGGAAGTGTGTCACTGTAGGGGTGGCACAGTGTCTCAGGTGACTGCTGTTGCCGGCAAGATGTAAGGCTCTCAGCTACTCCTCCAGCACTGAACCTGCCTGCTGCTGCCGTTCTCCCCGGCATGACGATAATGGACTGAACCTCTGAAACTGTAAGCAAGCCACCCCCAATTAAATGTTTTCGTTTATAAGTGTTGCCACGGGGCTGGAGAGATGGCTCAGTGGTTCAGAGTACTGGGTGATCTTCCCGAGGATCTGGGTTCAATCCCCAGCACTCATAAGACAGCTTACAACTGTCTATAACTCCTGTTCAGGGGATCTGAGACCTTCACACAGGCATATATGCAGGCAAAACACCAGTGTACATGATATACAAACAAATTATAAAAAAGATTACGATAAAAAAAGAGCAGTCATGGTTGTAGTGTCTCTTTACAGCAATAGAAACCCTAACTGAGACAGGGGGCTAGAGAGATGTGGACCATTTCCAGAGGGCAAGTGTTTGATTCCCAGTACTCACAGGGTTGCTCACAATCATCTATAACTCCAATTGCGGCATGCTAGGGCACTAGGCATTCCCTTATCACACAAACATACGTGCAGATATAACACCCCTACACAAAAATAAAATAAAAATAACAACCTTCCTTTCAAGGACAAAGTCTAACTTTAAAATAAAATAAAAATAACAACCTTCCTTCCAAGGACAAAGTCTAACCTGGGTTCCAGAGAACTGGATACATGAAGGTTTGTGTGTGTTGTTCATATATGCACATGTGTGGAAGCCAGAAGTTGATGCTGGGTGTTTCCTTAACTCTTCGTTAAAAAAAATTCACTATTGTGTGTGTGATGTACAGTGGGCACGTATACCATGCACACATATGACACTTTGAAGACAGTTTTGTGGAGTTGGTGCCCTCCTTCCATCTTTACATAGGTTCTGGTGATCAGACACAGGCCTTCCCACTTTCACAACAAACACCTTTACTAGAAGAGCCATCTTAGCCGGGCGTTGGTGGCCCACACCTTTAATCCCAGCACTCGGGAGGCAGAGGCAGGCGGATCTCTGTGAGTTCGAGGCCAGCCTGGTCTACAAAGTGAGTTCCAGGACAGCCTCCAAAGCCACAGAGAAACCATGTCCCGAAAAACAAAACAAAACAAACAAACAAAAAAAGAAGAGCCATCTTGCCAGCCCAATCTCCATCATGTGCATCCTCAAGCTCACAGAGATCCATCTGCCTCTGTTTCCCAAGTACTAGCCTTAAAGACATAATGCTACGCTTAAAAAGATTTATTATTTATTTATTTTATGTATAAAGTATATTGGAGGAAGGTAAGGGAGTAGGGAAGGAAAGAGAAGAGAGAAAGAGAGAAAAAGACAGAAGCAGATGGATTTATTTTTATTTTATGAATATAACTGCTTTGCCTGTTTATGTATGTGCACCGTGTGCATGCCTGGGGCCCACAGATGTTGAAAGAGGGTATCAGATCCCCCGGACCTGGAGTTACAGATGGCTGTGAGGGCCATGTGGGTGCTGAGAACTTAACTGCTGTACAATCTCTCCAGGCCCCTCTATCTTATTTTTGAGAACAAGTCTCTCGTCTTACTGATTTGACTAGACTAGCTGCCCATGAAACCTAAGGGCTTTCATGCTTCACCCGAGATTACAAGGGACTGTGCCTGGCTTTTTATGTGGGTGCTGGAGAGCCAAACTCAGATCCTCATCTGGTGCAGTCAATTAATTCACTGAAGCAACTCCCAAGCCCTAAGAAGGTTTCTGAGGATGTCTCACCCAGAATGGGCCTGGAAGCCCCTTTCCCACATACTCTACTGTATGTCTCTATCATTTGACTGTTTCTCTGTACACTTCATGCTATCCTTTGTAATAAATTAATAAATATAGTGCATCCCTAGGTTAAGAGGATTATTGTAGCAGATTGAGTTAGATCATGGAAGGGCCGGGAGAATGTTTATAGAGCAGGTGGACCAGAAATCCCAGAGGTTCAGACTCCTGAGTGGCACCTGAAGCGAGAGGCAGCCTTGTAGACCATGGCCCTTTGTTTGTGGGTTCTGACAGTATTTCCAGGTGTTCAGAATTCAGTTGGTGTTTGATCACTGCTTGTCTGAGGGTGGGAGCTGAGGTCCCAGTCGTGTTAACTCTATTGCTTCGGTTGATATTTAGCATCTTATGAAGAAGGAAGAGTCCAGTTTCAGAATACATTGGTTCCTGACTGGAGAAAAAAAAAATGTCCTTCTCACTATAGGTTTTGGCCAGAATGGATATATGGAGCACTTGCTTTTTTAATTGAAAGGGGGAATAACTGTAAAAAGTGTCATTTTAGATTCTTTTTCTGAAAATAGTTTAGACCAAGTTCAAACCCTTAATTCGCTACAGACACAGTGATTTCAAACAATTTATCCACCTCTTTGTGCTTCAGTTTTCTCCCTAGAAAAGAGAAAAGCCTAATGTGACACTTGTCAGTAAATGAGTCAATTAAATATGCAAAGCCTTTATAAAAATGCTGGCTGCACTGCAAGTCCCTAGGAGCTAAATCCTATGTAAGTACACTGTGATTGTTTGGTGGTCCACAGATCACAAAAACCGTTAAGTAGTCTGGGGAGAGGCAGAGGACTCCCCACCACGTGGTCATCACTCAGAGGTGTTGCACAACAATGTGCATTGGAACTTGAGTGGGGAAACCACCGATCTGAGAGTGCAACTCTGTTGTTTTCCAAACAGAAATCCAAAATTAAGGGAGCTAGAGACAATGACAATTTTAATCTATGGGAAACTTCAAATAGTCTGCCTTTTTACACAATGTACTCAGCTAAACTCAGAAAATAGGAAGCCCTCGTTGGTAGAGTACCAGGCACTGCACAAACTTGTCACTCTTGGTTATTTAATGAGTTCGAGGCTAGCTGAGCTAGTACGGACGGACACACACACACACACACACACACAGGAAAAAAGAAAACACAGAAGGGAAGGCCTAGTGACAGCCACCAAGAGGAGGTTGCAGAGCAAAAGAGCAGCGGTTTGTGTGGAGTGGACGTGAATATGACACTAAGGATCTGAAATAGAACGCTCGTTTCCATTTGAAATATGACTCCCGGCGAGGCTCCTGCCCTCAGCGCTCAAAGAAAACCGGAGGCGGTCGGGTCCACCAACCAAAATTATGCCCGACCGCGTTGGTAAAGTGCTTGGAAAGCCGGTGAACATAAGTGGGCCAGGGCAGCAGCCGCTACCCAGGCTCAAGAAAGAAAGGACTCCTCCCGCAGGAGGGTCCTGCGGCGTCCAGGCGGGAGTCGGCGCCGGGGCGGAGCTGCAGAGAGGCTACCGCAGTCCAGCGGGCCCGCGCCCCGCACCGCAAGCCCGGGGACATCCCCCTGCAGCCGGCGCAGGCTTCACACGGACGTCAGGGGTGACGCGAGGTTGGCGGGCGGGGTCAGCGCGGGGGCGTGTCCGGGGCGCGCGCCGGGCGAGCGCCGCTGACGTCGGGCTCAGGTGCGCGTGCCCGGCCGATCTGCCTCCGGCTCGCCCGCGCGCGGCCCAGGTGGTGACCAGAGAGCTCCCGGCGAAGGCGAAGGGGCGACGAACGGTCCCCGTGGGGCTGGCAACCGGAGGGCGCCGAAGGGCGCCTCACGTGACAGGGGGTCGCGGCAGGGACGGCCAGCCGGGTGGGCCAGGGCTACGTGGGGCGAGGCAGGCGTCCGGCCGCACCCTCGCGGGCCAGGCGGGACCTCCCTGCGGCGGCGCCCCGCCCGCCGCTCCGGTTCCCCGGCCCTCCCGCGGCTCCGCCCGCACACAGGCGAAGCGTCCCCTGCGCTGGGCCGAGTCCGCCAGCCTCCCGGCGGGCATGGAAAACTGCCCCCGAAGCCCCCGGGCGGCCCGCGACCGCACGCCCGCCGGCCCTCGCTAGCTGTTGGCATCGGGTGTTTTCTTCCATCAGCCAGCCGAGTCTTCGGAGTCTGTGGCGTTGAGATTCGGACGAAATGGAAGAAAAGGAGCGATGTGACCCATTCGGCTTTGCCCTCCTGCATTGAGGCCTACTTGGCATCTGCAGAGAGGAAAACACAGCCAGGAAAACGTGTTTTGTTTTTTTCCCAACCCCCCCCAAAGGGGGTAGAAGAGGAGTGAAAGGGGGAGATCTTAGGTTTTATATGTTCTTTTTTAAATTCTGCACTTTGAAAGTGGTGGCTAAATAAACTAATTCAAAAGTTTTTTTTTTCTATCCAGAAGACAGAAGAGGTGGATTTTTTTTTTGTCTCTTTTGATTCCAACCTTTTCTCCCAGTGACAAAGCATAAATCATGGACACCAGAGAATAAGGTGAACCCTCAGGAATCTGAAAACAGAGAAGCCTAGACCTTCTGAATCAGGGAAGGAGTGGGGTGTTTATCAGCTCTGTCAGGAACCGAAATCGAAAACCATGAGTTGCATGCCATGGAAAGGAGACAAGGCCAAGTCTGAATCCTTGGAACTTCCCCAGGCAGCACCCCCACAAATCTACCATGAGAAGCAGCGCAGGGAGCTGTGTGCCCTTCACGCCCTCAACAATGTCTTCCAGGACAGCAACGCCTTCACGCGGGAAACGCTACAGGAGATTTTCCAGAGGTAAGGCTCCCTTGCTTGGCATCGCGATTCCCGCTTGGTATTTCTGAATTTGTGTGGGTGGTGCGATGCCTCGGGGACAGAAGCCTGCAGACCTGTAGGTTTGGGGTTAGATGCTGTCTGCCACTCTAGGGAGCACAGGAACGGGAGATAACCACCCCCTCTGGTGTTGTGGGGTAGCCTCAGCAGTGCTGTTACCACGGATCTGGTCCGACAGGGGACTCCATGTTGCGTGTGTTACTCTCATTTTGTGGTGAAGACAGAGCTCTGCAGAGCTCCTTAATTTCCTCCAAATAGCCCGGAGAGCCATGGATTCAGGGTTGAGTTCAGGTTTGTATCTCTGCTGGTGGTCACTGCCATAATGCCTCCCTTCCAGACCCTGTCACCAAGGTATTTGCAGTCTAGAAGGGAGACAAGATTCACCCACATGTCACCAAAGGTGGGACATGATGGGCACCACAAGAAAAGTGCACCCACAGTGCTTAGCTTTTCTGAGGCCGTGTGTTGGCTAAGGTGCTCTTTATACATTATTTTGTATGCTGCTCCTCACCGTTCGTTGTTTTACTGGTAGAGAAATGGACAGAGTGGTCTGTCCAAAGCAGCTTCTAAACAGCAGAGCTGTGAGAGGAGCCGACTCCAGATACCTCCTCCTCCTGCAGTGTGGTGTCCTTCTCGGGGCTGGTGAGAAATTGAGAGATGGAGTGTGCACACTATGCAGAAGGGCCTAGTGCAGCCCCGAACACTGTGTCCCCGAAGGAGAAACCGATTGCCTTTGGACCCCTTAGAACACACACCACTCCACAAGTGGTCAGAGTTCAGCTCCATGCCTGTTACTTTGACTTTTGAGAAGTCTTTTACCAACGGCCTTGAGAGTTTTGTAGCATCTGCTGGACCGAGCGAGCAGCAGGCCTGCAGTCTGTAGCAGCCTTGACCGTGAGCCTGTCTTATCCCTCCAGCTGGAAAAGGCTTGGTATACCCAGATCTCAGGCAGAGAAAGCTCAAGAACACTTTAAAGCTCCAGAGGACCTTTTTAATAATCCTCATTTGGAGACGAAAAAATCTGCTGCACAGGGATTACGGCTGGAATCAGCCTGTTTTGTTTGGGGTGATTTTTGAAGCTTAGGTGTGGACCACTTATCCTGAAGGAACCATAGGTCTCTGGAAAGAGCTCCAACTTGAATGCTCCTACACAACTACAATGAGAGTAATTCTTTCTCAGCACCAATAAAGGTCAGAGTCATACCTTTGCCTTAGCGCAGGGCATGTGTCATTTGCTTCATGGGCACTCTCTGCACATACAGGAAAATGTCTTCAACCATCCAGTCATGTGACAGAAAGGAGAACCCAGGCATCTGACTGCTTCCTTTTGGGCAGCTGTTCATGTTTCTTCTGGGCAGTTCTGAATTGTTTCTTAATCTATAGCCAGGGAGAAGGAAATGGCTCACCGTGAGTACCTGAGTATGCTTGGTACTTTGTAGGGCACACTGACCTCAGAGCAACCTCAGCAATGATCCGGGGAAGCAGGACAAGGTTATGGAGATGTCTAGTTTTACCCACCAGTGAACAAATGTCAGGTTATCTACTGTTAGTAGTATTACGTAGTTAGTCGTACTCAGGTTGACAGATTTTGACCTCTGTGAGTTTGGCTCCTGGACTGACAGAGGAGTTAAACTTATCTTGAGACCACTTACAAATCGTCACTGTGCCATTCTGAGAGCCACCTTTGTTCAGGCAGCTGAGTCCTCAGACTCAGCTTAGGAGGTAGGCTCTGTTGTTTGTCATTATTCCAGAAGACAGGTTATCTACTGTTAGTAGTATTACGTAGTTAGTCGTACTCAGGTTGACAGATTTTGACCTCTGTGAGTTTGGCTCCTGGACTGACAGAGGAGTTAAACTTATCTTGAGACCACTTACAAATCGTCACTGTGCCATTCTGAGAGCCACCTTTGTTCAGGCAGCTGAGTCCTCAGACTCAGCTTAGGAGGTAGGCTCTGTTGTTTGTCATTATTCCAGAAGAAGAAATCAGTACAGGGAGTTTGTAGTTGCTAATGGCCAGGTTTGGGCCCAGGCTCTATAGCTCCAGGGCCTGCTTCCTGGCTGCTTGCTGCAGATAGGAAAAGCTTGTCAGAGAGCAGGAACTTCAGTAGCTGCCTTTCCAGCTAGGGAGTGGGCTGGACTTGGGTCTGGGCCCCATCATCAAGTGTTTGTGGGTAACAGTGGGCGTCTTTCAGATGAGTTCTCCCTGAGTGAAAGATGCTGAGAATCTGCTGAGCACCCACAGGGACCAGGGCCCTGTTCCTTTCAAATTGTGTTGTTTCTCTGTTCCCAATCAGCACAGTACAGGCTGACCTAAGAATTCCAGAAAAGGAGTTACATTATAGAGCATTTTTAGCTGTATGGATAAGTAGGGACATGCACACGCGCGCGCGTGCATAAATGTATGGAAGGAATCCAGAAGAAAGGAAAAAGAGGTGAGAGAGAGAAGACTAGCTACTTGCAGTGTGCCAGGTACTGGGAGGCTTTGTAGAGAAAACAAGTTGAGCAGGGCTCCTCAGGGCTGTTTGTGGGACAGGTCTCAGAGACTGAGGTGCAGAGAGAGCCATGGACACTGGAGCAGTTTAGAAATGAATAGATGGTCTCTTTAGAAGACCATGGCAATCAGAGATGACTCAGCAGTTAAAAGCACTCACTGGCTACTCTTCCAGAGAACCTGAGTTCAATTCCCAGCACCCACATGGCAGCTCACAATGTCTGTAACTCCAGTTCCATGGATCTGGCACCCTCACACAAACATGCATGCAGGCAAAACACCAATGTGCAGGTGTGTGTGTGTGTGTGTGTGTGTGTGTGTGTATGCACACACAAAAACACAAAACCATAAGGAAAAGGAAAGAAACTGGTATTCAAAGAGAAGAAAGCTGACAAGGTTAATCCTTGCTGATTTAAAAATGTGGCTCATGAGTGGTAGAAATGGGAGGAAAATGTTGATAAGAGCTATTTTCTGGGAGGAAGTTCATCGTAACAGTTGAGTTTTAGCCAATTAAAGGAGGAGAAATACAAAAGCAGGGTGGAGTTTTAATGGAGTTGTGGAGAGGAGATGACTCATGCTAGGAAGAGACATGAGTAAGAATTTAGAACGGAGCTAAAGCAAGGGAAGGGGTCAGTTGTAACTGAAGCTTGATCCTGGAGAAGACACCTCAGACAGTAAGCACCTGTCATCCGTGTATATTTCACCATGTATGTGTGTGTATGCATGTATGTATGTATGTGCTTTGAAAAAAAAAGGGCTTAGAGGTGAACTCATAGAATAGCTTTTAATCTTTTTTGAATTCGTGACCTTGTGTGTGCTTGGCAAGTGTTCTGCCGCTGTACACATCGCTTGCAGTAACTGTTTATTTTATTTACTGTGTTTTATGTGTAAGAGGGCTTTTTTTTTTTTTTTGGCCTGTGTGGTGATATTTTGTTTAAGATCTAACAAAGCTTTCCTAAAGGTAAGAGTGCAAAGCTAGCCACAGCCATAGAGGCCAGGCATTGGTGGTACACACCTTAATCCCAGCACTTGGGAGAAAGGCAGATGGATCTCTGTTAATTCAAGTCCACCCTGGGCTACATGAATTTGATCCAGTCTAAAAGAGAAACAGAGCTCACACTAAGGTTATCCAACATTTGATATCCCACACCTTTAATCCCAGTGCCAGGAGGAGGCAGAAGTTCAGGGAGTCTGAGGAGCAGTGCAGTGGGGAGCAGTCTGAGGTTTGGTGGATCTCCTCTTTGGTCTGAGCATGGTAGAGGTGAGAACTCTGGAGTGATTGGCCATTTTGTTTCTTTGATCTTTAGCATTAACCCCAGTATCTGTCTCTGGGTTTTTATTGTTGGTGCTACATGCCTGTATGAATGTCTTTGCACCACATACATGTGTTGGATTCTCAGGAACTGGAGTTACAGATGGTAGTCATCAGTCATGTGTGTACTTGGAACCAAACCTGGGTCTCTCCAGCCCATGTAGTAGCTAAGTGCTACTTTTTTTTTTTTTTTTTTTTTGGCTAGGCTACTTTGGAAATGCTTGGGCCTGAAACATTTTATCGGGCCCTTTCCTATTATTTCAGTAAACAGATCGGTGCTTTTGCAGCTAGCTGTGCACTCCCCTCCTGAATAGAATAGTTACTAAATTCTGATTAGACAGAAACTAGCCTGGTGACAGGGGAACATACTAATGAAAGGAGGAACCCGAGGTTGGGCATGTTGATGAATGGTCACAAAGAGAAAGCACTCTGGTTTCTCCACCATTCATTCAATCATGAGAGATGGAAGGAGTCACATTTAAAAGTCTGAGAAGGTGAGAAACCTAAGAAGAGTGTTGAGGGCTTTTGTTTATTTTGGTTTGTTTGTTTTGGTTTCTGAGACCAGGTTTTTCTGTATAGCCTGACTGTCATGGAACTCACTCTATAGACCAGAGATCTGTCTGCCTCTGCCTCCTGGGTGCTAGGATTAAGGGCATGTGCCACCACTGCCTGGCTAAGGTCCGTGATGGGAATACCTGACACGTACCTACTCCTATGAGCTGTGTTTTATTTAGAAATATACCAAGAAACTCTGATAAAAGAAAGAATTAAGGGAGGAAAAAGTTGATGAAGTTTCTCTTTCCTTCCCTCTTTGTTAAAATCCAAAATCACCACCATATCAGGCATAGTAGTGACTTTGGTGGGGACTGAGGCATTAGTGGTGACCTGGGCTGGAACTCACCCTCAGCTTTTCAAATCTCCCCCAAGTTTGCTGGAGTAGCAAGCACCAGAGGCTTGCTGCAAGCCCCAGGGTTTCTGTAGAGACCAGCAAGACCATCCTGGGCAGCAGACACTACCCAGGAGGCTCTGGTGGAGTGCTGCCATAGTGGGGAAGTGACCATGGGCAGTTCAGTGTCTTCTTAGAGCTAGAGCCTCGCTGTGCCCCTACCTGGCAGCTGTGTGTGACTGTGCAAGTGGCTGCAGCCTTTGCACCTCAGCTTCCTTATTTACAGTAAAGATTGTAGGATTAAATGATAAAACCCATGAAGGAGCTAACCCAGTAGGCAGTCATCAGTTATCCTTAAGAGTAAAAGAAAGGACTTTGGGAGGACAGGGGGAGAATTAGGGGTAGTCAGTCCCTCTTCAAATGACCAGCCCTATAGAATGGAATGGAGATTGTTAGCATTTCCCATATTGATGAGTTTGGATTTGTCTTTGAAAGGAGATCTCATGTAGCCCAGACTGGTCTGGAACTTGTTATATGTAGGAAGATGACGCTGAGCTTCTGATCCTTGGCCCTCCACCTCCACCTCCCAAGTGCTAGATATTGATCCCTACATTGACCAGTTTGATGTGTTCATTAGATGCAATGCCTGGCTGAGAGATGGCCTTAAAAAATTTCAGGGACTCACTGTTTGAATGCATGTCAAGTGAATTCTTCGATAAATTGATGGTGTTTGGATAGATTTGAATTATGGGGTCCTCTGGGTCTCCCTCCATTTTCAGAGTCAGGAAGGATTCTGTGGTGACCTGAAGTTGAGCCTGAAGAAGCTGTGGGGTTTGGCTTGTAGCAGAAGTAGGATAGACCACTACAGGTCACATAGTTTTGGTGTCTGAAGTATACCAAGTTCCCTGGAGAGGACAGCAGTGTTGAATAGGGTAGGACCTGGAGTTGGCAGTCCTGGAGAAGGGGCTGACAGGATGCCTTGGTTAGTGTGGCAGAAATTGTGCGCTGAACTGTAGGAAGGAGATGAGTTGGGAGTCTTTCATAAGCTCAGTGTGCAGTAAAGAAAGAGTGGGAATAGGCAGGAGAGGGTCTGAACCTTAGCAAGGTGTTTAAAGAGCTGAGAGCAGGACGAGAGATGTTGGAACAGCAGTCCTGATGAAGCCTTCAGGACAGATGTCTGTGTAGTCGTTGGTGTTGCGCCCTGAAGCACAAAGTATAACCTTCTTCTGTAAACTCAGGATAAAGACTGTATGCTAGGGACTCGTGGAGTCCCTATAGAAGCCGCTTTACTTGCTGGTTCATTCTCTTGTTACTGTATTGAAATATTAGGTGCCTCTCAGAGCGCCCAATTATGAGCATTGAATTGGGAGACTCAGGAAAACACTGCCTTGGGCGGGAACCTGCAGGGAAGTAACCAATAGGAGGTCCAAGTCTTAGTCTTTTTTTTTGTTTTTTTTTACGAGACAGGGTTTCTCTGTATTGTTTTGGAGGCTGTCCTGGAACTCGCTCTGTAGACCAGGATGGCCTCGAATTCACATAGATCCGCCTGCCTCTGCCTGAGTGCTGGGATTAAAGGCATGCACCACCAATCCTGGCCCAAGTCTTAGTCTTATCTCTGGTGGTGTCCTCTTCCTTGTATTGGTCAGAACTCTCCAGGAAAGATTGAAGCCACACAATAGGCTCCTGAAGAGAGGGTAGAGGGAAAGGATCTGCTTCCCCCAAGCTTGGCCTCTCTACTGCCTTCTCCCACTGCCAGGAGAAAGCCTTTGCCCTAGTCCTACATGTTTCAGCCTCAGGACTCAGGACTCAGCAGCCCTTTCTGCTTAGCAACCTGATACCACTTCCCATCCCATCCTGAGTCTTGGTCTCCGTTGTAAGCAACAAGACTGGAATCCCTTGGACCCAGGTTTGAGCTTAGTTCTTGAGCTGTTAGTGTGCATGGGTTAGTCAGTTAAAGTCACAAGCCTAGCATTCCCAGCACTAGGAGTCGGAAGCAGGAGGATCAGGAGTTTGAAGTTATCATTGGCTACATAGTGACTTTGAAGCTAGCCTAGGCTACATGAGACTTATTTGGGATGATTAGAGGGTTCGAAACAGGGTTTCTCTGTGTAGTTCTGATTGTCCCGGAACTGGCTCTGTAGAGATCCTGCTTCCGCCTCCCAAGTGCTGGGATTAAAGGCATGTGCCATCACTACCCGGCCCCCTTTTGATTTTTGAGACAGCATCTCACACTAGTTCAGGCTAGCCTGGAACTCTCAGGAGTCCTGCCTAAGACTTCTGGTTGTTGGGATTACACGTGTACATTACCATCCCCTGGGATTGGATAACTTTTAACAAAGCCAAGGGCATGTTTATCTTTGAAAAATGGGGCTCATGATATAGTTCAGTTGGCAGAGTGCTTGCTTGGCATGAATAAGGCTTCAGCACTTGCTAACACCCACCCAAATCAGTACAGGTGCTGTTTGAAGTTTTTGTTGGTTTTAAGCAAGATTTCTTAACATCTTAGAATTGATATTTTTTTTTTCCCAAAGTAGATATATTCTCCTGGAAATGACACCGTGGCAGCCTCTGGATATCTCCCTTCCTGAGGAAACTGTCACATTTCCCTCTCCCTTTTACAGGGATGTTAGAGATATATTGACCCATTATCATGTGACACACCTTTAATTCCACACTTGGGAGGCAGAGGCAAGCAGATTTCTGAGAGTTACTGGACAGCCAGGGCTATGTAGAGACTGTGCCAAAACAGCAGCAACAAAAAATATGTTGAGCTCCCGTCTCCTGGTTTGTCCAGACTGTGAAAACAAAGTAATAGGATTGAAAATGCTTTCAGTACAGGCCTCGGCTAGAAATGGAATTGCAGAAGCTTAAAAAAAGGCTTGAGATAGGTGGGGTGGTGCAAACCTATAATCCTGGCAAGAGGATCCTGACCTCAGGGCCAGCCTGAGCTAGTATGGAGACCTTAGTTTAAAATCTGGGTGGACCACCAGAGCCGCAATTGAGTTTTCTTTGTCTGGTTTAAGGTTTTTTGTTTGTTTCCAAGACAGGGCTTCTCTGTCCTGGAACTCAATCTATAGATTTGGCTGTCCTCAGACTCAGAAATATGCCTATTTTGCTTTTTTGTTTGTTTTTTTGTATAGACATACATGCACGCAGCACACTGTAGTTTAATATAGACCTTGTTAGTTTTTATTGTATTTCACTTGGCTCTAGTTCATGCATTTATGCTGCCTGTCTCAACTACTACACACACCTTTGAATATTTAATGATTACTAAAGTACAAGTCTTTTTTTTTAAAGATTTATTATGTATACACCCTTTTGCCTGCATTTATTCCTTAACAGCAGAAGAGGGCACCAGATCTCATTATAGATGGTTATAAACCACCATGTGGTTGCTGGGAATTGAACTCAGGCAGGACCTCTGGAAGAGCAGCCTGTGCTCTTGCTCTTTTTTTTTTTTTTTTTTTGGTTTTACGAGACAGGGTTTCTCTGTATTGTTTTGGAGGCTGTCGGTCCAGCCTGGCCTCAAACTCACAGAGATCCGCCTGCCTCTGCCTCCCGAGTGCTGGGATTAAAGGCGTTGCGCCACCACTGCCCAGCTGTGCTCTTGCTCTTAACCTCTGAGCCATCTCTGCAGCCCTGAAATACAAATCTTAAATAGAGCATTTAAATTCCAAAAAGCAGGAGTAACAGTTGCTGCCTGTGCCATTTAAAACATCACATCAGCAGTTTTTTGTTTTTGTTTTTAACTTTACAGTGAAGGTCTCACAATGTGGTTCCAAATGGCCTACAACTCACTAGATAGATGAGACTGGACTTGAACTCATAGAAACCTGCCTGCCTCTGCCTCCTCAGTGCCAGAATTAAAGATATGCACTGCCACTACTGCACCTGTCAGTGTTTGTTAAAAGTTTGTATCAAATCAGAAATAGCAGCAGTAGGAAGGCCGTGGTGACAGGAATTCATAAAGGAGACCAACACTTCCGTGGAACATTTCTTTTTTGTTTGTTTTTGTTTTTCAAGACATGGTTTCTCTGTGTAGCCCTTGCTGTTCTGGAACTCTGTACACCAGGCTGGCCTCAGACTCAAAGAAATGCATCTGTCCCTGCCTCCCGAGTGCTGGGATTAAAGGCTTGTGTCCCCACCACCCAGCTGATGGATCATTTCTTGGGGTCATTCCTTTCTTGTAACACTCCTCCCAAAAGGCCAGCTAGGTCTCAACCTTCCTGAATTGTTTTACACTGGGAGAGGCAATGTCTAGGTTAGCAGGAGCTAGGCATGCAATGCTTAGGTAGAAACTTGTGAGACAATTCTGCTGAGGGAACCAGCTTCTAGGGCAGTGCTGCAAAATGCTTTTCTGGTGGTACAAGGCTGGGAAGGCTAGACAGATGAGCAAGCCTAAGCTTTTCCTTTTACATTTATAGGTTGTCTCCAAATACTATGGTGACACCCCACAAGAAGAGCATGCTGGGAAATGGGAACTATGATGTGAATGTCATCATGGCAGCACTTCAGACCAAAGGCTATGAAGCTGTTTGGTGGGACAAGCGCAGGTAGAGAACCAAACTTGATGCCAACCCCAAGTGAATGGGGGCAACCCTGGAAGAGTGGCTGCCCAGAGCCTGACACCTTCTCTCTCCTGCAGGGATGTGGGTGTCATCGCTCTCACTAATGTCATGGGCTTCATCATGAACCTGCCCTCCAGCCTGTGCTGGGGTCCCCTCAAGCTGCCTCTCAAAAGGCAGCACTGGATCTGCGTTCGTGAGGTGGGAGGGGCCTACTACAACCTTGACTCCAAACTCAAGATGCCGGAGTGGATTGGAGGCGAGAGTGAGCTCAGGTGAACCCCCAAAGGCTGAGCTGTCGGGCTTTTAGCTTGGTGTGCTGGGGAAGTCAAGCTCATCTGATTATTTGACAAAGGAAATGAAATTCCTGTATCCTTGGATCCTTGTCCTCCCTTTTTGGAATCATACATAGGGTCTTAGATTGAAGACTCAATTAGGATTCCATCCCTTTGATGAACAGGTTTCACATCCTGTGACTGTAGCATTCTGGTCTGGTGGGGCTAACACTGTCACTGCTCCATTTAGACAACTGCTAGTTAAGAGAGGAAGATGGGCTGGAGAGATGGCTCAGCAGTTAAGAACACTGGCTGCTCTTCCAGAGGTTCTGAGTTCAAGTCCTAGCACCCACATGGTGACTCCCAAATATTTATAATGGGATCTGGTGCCCTCTTCTGACATTCAGGCATACATGCAGACAGAAACTGTATACATAATAAATAAAAATAAATCTTTAAAAAAATAGAGCGGAAAATGACATTCAGCCCAGATAGCGTTAAGTTTCTCTGTGACTAAAGGTTTTTTGTTTTTGTTAGAGACAGTGTCTCTCTACGTAGTCACAGCTGTCCTGCAAACAAGGCTGACCTTGAACTCAGAAATCTGCCTTCTGCCTGCCCTTGCCTCTTGAATGCTGAGATTAAAGGCATACACCACCACTACAACCCAGCCCTATAACTGAAGTTTTTTCCTTTTATTTTTTTAAATTTATTTAATTTTAAAAAATTGTTTATGTGCATTGGTGTGAGTGTCAGATCCCCTGGAATCTGAGTCACAGACAATTGTGAGTTGCCATGTGGGTGCTGGGAATTGAACCTGAGTCCTCTGGAAGAGCAGCCAGTACTCTTAACTGCTGAGCCATGAGCCAACTCTCCAGCCTCCTTTTATTATTGTATGTGTTCAGGTGTATGTGCTCTGGGCATGTATGGAGGCCAGAGGACAATTCCCAGGGGTTTTCTTCTTTCACTCTGGGTTCTGAGATCTCGTTCAGGTTGTTAGGCCTGCTTTGCAAGTTCTTTACCTTGACCTGGCTCGGGTATGCTTTTGTTTGATACTTAGAACCAGTGAATATGTAACCATTAGAATACACTGTGTTCTAGAATTCACCAGCACATTAGTGGAAGTAATATCTGAGAGTGAGAAGAAATTGAGACTGGAATTATAACGGGAATGGAGGGGTAACCAAACATGGAAAGTGTAAGTCAGTCACCCTTGGAGTTTTAAGATAGACAAAGGGTGGTGGTGCACGCCTTTAGTCCTAACACTCAGGAGGCAGAGGCAGGTGGATCTCTGAGTTTGAGGTCACCTGGTCTACAAAGCAAATTTTAGGATAACCAGGGCTATTCAGAGAAACCTTGTCACAGAACAAACAAAAAGGATTGCCATGGTGTTAAATGGGGAGGCTTCTATTCTGGTGAATGGGTAGCCCCAAGACTGCAATCTGCAACTCACTAGTGTCTCATTTCTTGTTGCTGTTCCCTCTTTCATAGGAAATTTCTAAAATACCATTTGCAAGGAAAAAACTGTGAACTACTACTGGTGGTACCAGAAGAAGTGGAAGCCCATCAGAGCTGGAGGGCGGATGTGTGACAGTTCTGCTGGGCCCGCTCTGTGCCTCAACCCTCCAGCCCTCTTTGATGTGCTGTGGCCTCTGCAGTGGGTCTGTCCAGCCACCTCCCCAAACATCTCATTGGGTTTCCCCCTCAAATCTGCCAGTGCAATAGGACAGGTGTGTGGACTGTCACAGAGCCACCAAACACTGTGCCTGGGGGAAGAAGATAGGAGCTCTCAACACTTAGAGCAAGCCATTGAATACCTTTTTCTATTTCAGAGAGGGAACTGAAAGAGGGGTCCTTGTGGGGGGCTTGCTTATGTTCCCTTCTATGAGGACTTGACACAGGTTCTGCTGGTAGTTGTCACTGATGCTCAAGGCTCACAGGGAAGTTGCCTCCTCTTTTTCTCACCTGTAGCACCAGGGGGTCTGAGGACACAGTACATGCAGAGCCCAGTGACTAGCTCGAAGGACCCAGAGCATAAGCGTCTCAGGAAACTGTCAAGCCCCCAGCAGTGGCACCACATGCCCTCTGCAATCCATAATGCCACCTCCTTTTTAATCCTAGGCAGCCGTGGAGTTTTATAATGAAAAGTTCTGATATTCCAAAGTATGTATTTGCACAGTATTCCAGCAAAACAATGGTGAAAAAGATGCCTAATTGTGGCTGAAGCCACATTAGGACAGTCACAGGTGGCCTTTCACTCCAATTATGTCCCTACCATTTCACTACAGTGACTTAGGAGGCTCTGGGGCAAAAGACAATGAAGAGGGACAGTACTCCTAATTGGCCCATTTTAGCAAAATCAGCAACACATCATTGCCATCAGATTCCAGTTAGGGACAGAGTCGGATGAGGAAACTGCCATGAAGGTGAGCCTTAGTTTGAGAACGAGGACTGCTAGGAACATCCTGGGCTCCAGAGTTGTGGCAGCAGAGTCTCAGGTTGGTCATGTGCATCATGTTAGAGGCTCTGGGTTTGGTATCTTGTGTAGTTTCCTTTACAAATTGAGGGCTGCCTCCTTCCCACTTCAAGTAGTTGTAGGTCATTTGTCTTCTGTAATTTTGAAAAATAAATAGAGGAAATAAATACCGTACCACACACCAATGTGGTTGTGTTGGCCTTCAGGGCAGGTGACCTGGCCAGCCCTTAGGGAGCCATGGTCTCTGCAGGTCTGAGAGCTGCCCCACTGGCCAGGTTTCTTCCCTTGGCAGCAGAGCTAGCCTGAGGACTTGCATGTCAATCCTGAACAAGCTTATTGGGGTGAAGCGGGGGCTATCTCCCCACTGTGACTGGAGTGCATGTTTACACCAGCACTTTTTCTGCACATGTATCTTCAATCCAACAAAGCTGATTTTTATTGAGTAGCAGAGGCCCCAAGTGGCTACTGCATTATGATCAACCACCTCATCTGTACCGTTTTCTACACTGGATCTGCTTGGCACCATGGGGAGCTCTGACCCTGCACAATGACATTCCAATCATTACCAGCCAGAAGTTATAGCCGACCTGCTGATTGTCACAAGCAGGACCTTGGGTCTATTGGCACTGTCGGTGGTTGTAAGCCATTTCTTGGGAAGAGGAGACTCCTCCCTACGGATTTGCTTGGGCCTGTGCAAATGGCACTGCAAAGGAGTCCCATGCACGTGGAGTCCATGAGCCAGTGGGATGTACAAAGACGCTTAAGCATTTCAGGGCTGGTTCTGTTCATATCCAATTCTGGTGCTTAGGAACGGGGACCCATGTTGATGCCCAAGGGCAAAAAGCTCCATTCCTTTTAAGGAAGTGGCATCCTGACCCTGATGCCCAGTAAGGCCCTAGGCTTTTTCTTGCTTTATTCCCTTTTTTTTGTTGGCCTTGTGCTGGGTTTGTTTACAAAGATGTATTTTGTTTAACCAAATATTAAAAATGAAAAACTGAACACAAATCTACTTGTTGCCTAACTGATTATGTAAAGACCTTTGTCTGTCAGGGTGGTGGTGACACATCTTTAATCCCAACACTTGGGAGCCAGAGGCAGTCGGAGCTCTGTGAGCTCCAAGCCAGCCTGGTCTACAGAGTGAGTTCTGGGACAGCCTGTCTCAAAAATTTAAAAAAGTCAGTCTTACCAGGTATGCCTATGATCCCTCAGCACTCAGGAAGACTGAGTTAAAGGCTAGCCTGGACCATAGAGACACTCTACTGGATAACAGACTCTATTTGCAAACTTTCTCTCTCTCAAGACTAAAAGGCAGTACACACACTTTAAACAGTTTATAAGTACTGTGAGCCTTTATTCCCAGCACTCAGGAGGCAGAGGCAGGCAGATCTCTGTGAGTTTGAGACCAGCCTGGTCTACAAGAGCTAGTTCCAGGACAGCCTCCAAAGCCACAGAGAAACCCTGTCTCAAACAAACAAAAACTGCACATCCAGAGCGTGTCCTTCACTTTCCATGGGGAAGTCTGAAGCTGATACTTAGATTCCAGGCAATAATACTACATTAAAAAATAAATGTTCCTTTTCCGTCTTGAAAACTTCACTAACTTAGTCGTATGGTTGAAAGAGGTGTTGGCAGTGTCTCTGGCTTTCTAAAATGGCCTAGTTTAAAATACCACCACAAAAAAAAAATGACACTTTCAGTTGGAGTTCTTTTAATATTTAAATACAAAAAGTGAGCACTGGCTTCTTTACACAACACGAAGGTTTAACAGCCAGATGTGCAGAGGAAATGAGCTTGCTCTGTCCACAGTCCCCATCTGGCTAAAGCCACAGCCAGCCTCCCTCCTCTCCAACACACAGGGATTCCTGTAACCGCAGCTGTAATGGATTTTATCAGTTCCACATTGTTTACATGTCCCAGACATTTTTGTTCTTTTTTTTCTTCCCCACAAGGGTCATGTGAGAACTTCGATTGGACCAATTTACTAAAAGGATAGCGTGGAATAGCCTTCCACATGTACTCTAGCATCAGATAGAGAACAGGAAATACATGAGAACGCTATAATGGGCACAGGTGCAACTAGAGTCTCTCCATAAGAAACGAGACAGTTCCCACCAGATTTAAACAGATGGGTGTGCCAAAGTTTAAAATAAAAAGTCCAAACAATCAGCAGTTCAAACAACTGAATTTCAAAGTTCTCCCACCAGGACAAATACCAAAGAAATCTAGATCTTCCCAGGAAGTGGAGGTAGAGCCCCTGGCATTCCTCCTGACAGCCCTGTGTTAGGCCCCAAGAGTATCTGGAAAAGGAAAAAGAAGAGTGTTAAGGCACTGTATAGTTTCAGTAGGTCTCATCTGTCACACATACAAGGGAGCAGCCAGGCACCTAAAAGTGCAGAGACCTACTCCCACGCAGGCTTGAGTGCCAGCTGCAGCACAGGCCTCCACCGCTGGCTCAAAGCCCCGCACGCGCCTACCTGCCGCTGCTGCAGCTGTTGCTGCTGCTCCATTTGCAACTTTTCCGTCTCAAAGACAACTGGAAGCACCAGGATCATAAAGGAAGTGGTCCCGATCCACAGAGCTGCCCTGGAAAATCTGCAGAGGGAGAGTGTGTGCGGTGACGTGCAAAGAAAAGCGGGCAACCTAGCCACTCCCGAACCGGTGACAGAACTGCCAGTATGCCTCCCTCGATGTTTCTCAAAGTGTACCCTATCCATTCCTAGCAAAACACTCCTAGCAGAGGCAAGAGGAGCCGTGATTACCGAGTGATTGCAGTAACAACCTTACAAGCCTCGCGTACGGAAACCTTAGATAACATGGAAGAATCCCCACGACCCTGCCAGACAACTCCCCTCTGCAGAAGACCAACCACATTTGGGATACGATGAGTCCAAGGTCACTCAAGCTCCCGTCGGTGGCTTCCGAGGCCCGGTGTCCTTCGACAGCACCAGTTCTCCACTCACACTCTCGGTATCTGTCTCTACATTCGTTCCTTACCTGTACATCTTCTGAGCCACGAAGAGCGAGAGATCAAAGGTGGCTCCGGCGGCAGACCGGACCCTTTCAGGGAACATCTCCGTCAGACCCCACAGCCTCTCCGACAGGGTCTCATCTAGCTGTGGTGGAGGAGGTGCGGGTTGTAGGCGAAGCCGCAGCAGCACCGGAGCCGCCGAGCCCTGGGCCCGTCCCTTCCCGGCCGCGCGGAGCAGACGCCCTCTCGGCTCGCGGCGCCCACGCCCCGACGGTTTGCTCCCGCCCCGCTCCCCACACACCCCTGTACCTCGTCGTCATCATCCTCTTCCAGCTCCTCTTCGGCCTTCTCCGCCTCGGCTTTGGGGAGCAATTCGTCCGGAGACAGAGGCTCCCCAGCGCCTGCAGCAGGGACGGCGGCGGCCATGGCTGTAGGACACCGGAAGCGGAAGGGAGCCGGCGAGAGCGGCCCGCCGCTAGACAGAGCGTCTTCCGGAAGTGGGCTGGCTGGAGAAAGAAAGCAACAGTCCTCAGGCTCGCCCCCTGGGTGTTGCCAATCACTTAAGATCAGCCAACAGAAAGAACCCTGAAGAGTTTATGCAAGGAGAGACGCAGGTGCTTCTCAGTTATTCTGTGCAGTTGGGCCTGGGCTGGGTCGCATACATGAATATTTAAAAGATTTTTTTTTTTGGTTTTAAGAGACAAGATCTTTAAATACAGCCCTGGCTGTCCTGGAACTCGCTCTGTAGACCAGGCTGACCTCGAACTCAAAAGATCTACCTGCCTCTGTGTGCCTCTTTAAACTCCTGAGTGCCTAGTTTAAAGACCAGAGCCACCACCACCGGGTGAGAAATACTTCTCTCATAGGCAGGTTTCACTATGTAACCCAGACTGGCTTCAAACTCACAGAAGTCTGACCGCCTCTACCTCCCAAGGGATTAAAGGTGTGCGCTGCCACACCCTGCTCTCCTTGATCTATCTATCTATCTATCTATCTATCTATCTATCTATCTATCTATCTATCTATGTTTTTCGATTCAGAGTTTCTCTGTATTGTTTTGGAGGCTGTCCTGGAACTCTCTTTGAAGACCAGGCTGGCCTCGAACTCACAGAAATCCTCCTGCCTCTGCCTCCCAAGTGCTGGGATTAAAGGCATGCACCACTAACATCCAGTGGGTTTTTTTTTTTTGAAAAGGTTTTCGCCGGACGTTGGTGATGCATGTCTTTAATCCCAGCACTTGAGAGGCAGAGACAGGTGGATCTCTATGAGTTGGAGACTAGCCTGGTCTACAAGAGCTAGTTCTAGGACAGCCTTCAAAGCCACAAAGAAACCCTGTCTCAAAAAAACCAAAAAATTTTTTTCAATAATATTGAAATTTCAGTAAATTACCAAGCGATGAGAAAACAGTGGGATCATACAATGTCACTTTCAGACCACTGGAGGTAGACAAGATGACCCAGAGGAGCCTGAGCTAGGAGCAGATGACAGTTAAGGAGTGTGACAATCAAGCACTTCAGGGTTCCAGGTCCAGCAGCAAAGGCCACACATGGTGAGTGGAATCCAGGTCAGAAGTCACATAAGAGTTCCAGTGAGTGACTACAATCCACCTGGGAAGGAGGGTGTTCTAGAACCCTCAGCTCCCAGCTGTTCCACTGCCTCTTCCCTCAAGGCTACAGTAACTGCCATCCCTGTCTATGTCCTGACATAATCTTTCCTGAGGTGTGGGGCCACATGGGTCTCTTGGGGAAGCTAACAGCAGCTGTAAAAGTCCGCCTGCACCTGCAAACCAAAGTGCAGACTTCTTGTGATTATTGCCTCTAATACTGTCTCATGCCCACGGAACTTTCTATTTCAGCTCTTCAGTGACAATCCTTCCCTAATCCAATTCAGCACAAAACCTCACAAAATTGTTGCCATGATTACAAGAAATGTCAAGGGGCCAGCATCAGTCAGTTTCTAGTTTGACTAAGAAAGGCTTTGAGGAGGCAGGTGGTGGTGGCACACGCTTTTGATCCCAACACGTGGGAGGCAGAGGCAGGCGGATCTCTGTGAGTTCAAGACCAGTCTGGTTTATAAGAGCTAGTTCCAGGACAGCCTCCAAAGCCACAGAGAAACCCTGCCTGGAAAATGTGCCCCGCCCCCCAAAAAAGAAAGGCTTTCAGGAAGAATTTTAGCCAGAACCTGAAGGAGATTTCTACCCCAAAAGGAAACTTTTTGTTTTTCAAAACAGGGCTTCTCTGTGTAGCCCTAGGGACCATATTGGTATTCAAGGGACACACTACTGCTGGAGCCATGTTGGTCTGAAATTGCCTGTGTGGCAACCTGGGGCTGTGCTGATATCCGGGCCAGGCTGTTGCCAAAGACCATGTCTGAGTCCATAGTCCTACTGCTTCTGGGGTCTGGTTGATGTCTGTGTCCTGTGTTGCCACCAAAGACCACAGAGACGCCCAAGGTCTGGGCCATACCCTGTGATCATGTTGGTATCTGTGGGTCATGACACCACCAGGGCCATGCCAACCTGTGCTGCCACCCAGGGCTCTGGTGACATCTGGCACAAGATCTTGCTGAGGACTATATCTGGGTTCATGGCCCTACAGTAGCCAGGGTTTGAGCTGATGTCCATTGCTCCTGTTACCACGGACAGCTGTGTGGACACCTGGGGTCTGGTCAGCCACCTGAGATCATGTTGATGTCCTAGGGCTATGCTGCTGCCAGGGCCACACTGATCTGTGCTACCCCACCTGGAGCCATGGTGACATCTGGGCCAGAGTTGCTGCTGAAGGCCATGTCTGTGTCCACCGGCTGGAGTGTTGATCTCTGTGGCCCATATTATCACAGGGGGCCACAGGAACAACGTGTGTTGAAATCTGAGGGCCAAGATAAACAGGCACCACCTTTTGCTGGCCCTACCCCTCGATGGCATTGCAGCAAAGGAGCTGGTCCTGTCCATCATGGACCATCCCTTCCACTCCCCATGGCATGGTTGTAGAAATGCTGACTCCATCCCTTGTCTGAGGATGGCCAGCCCAGCAGCCTGGAATGACCAAATCAGTTACTGCCTAGACCCACATCCAGAGCTTTGAGTTGGCCTACCCCAACATCTACCCCACATAAGACCTGCTGGAGCGACTGAAGGGACCAGTCCGATGGAACTACAGCCAAAGGACCTCCATGATATGGGGCAACAGCAGGATATTGGAGAGGAGTCTCCATGAGAGTCCAGTATTGATGGTGTAGCAAAAGCCAGAGGCCTCAAACCAGACCAATGAATCATTGCAATGGACATTTACAATTAAAGATAAGTGGACAAAAGGGTATACTGTGAGACACACTGCAGCTCCCAATGCCACTAAAAAGAATGAAGAGATATTATGGAGAGGCAGGAAAATGGAGGAGGCAAGTAGTCGTTTTGTTTTGAATATATTTTTTAAATCCAAGTGCTTTAATCCCAGCACTCAGGAGGCAGAGGCAGGTAGATCTCTGTGAGTTTGAGGCCAGCCTGGTCTACAAGAGGTAGAAACCCTGCCTCAAAAAGACATGCTGAGCATGATGACTCTAGTCCTCGGAAGGTAGAAGTAGGTGGATCTCTGTAAGTTGGGGGGTTAGCCTGGCCTATATATGGAGCTCCAGGACAGACAGGATTACTAAAGAGATTGTCTCAAAACCAAAAGTGCTTAAGTCTCTGATGGGGGGGAGGCGGGGGACAGGGACGGGACATGGGGGATGGGACACCAGACACAAAAATAGTCTTCCTAAAGGAAATAGGCTTGGAGTGAAGATTGTGTTTTGTTTCTAGACATTTTTGTTAACAAGGGTCACCCTTGGCCCCTTCCCACAGCCACAACTGTCAAAAAAGCCTGGTGAGCCCCACGTGCAAGTGTCATGTGCACTGACAACTTCAGCTCTTCTATTCCTACCTCACTGTGTGGTGCGAACATTCTAGTCCCTTCAACCTGTTCTTCCTACACAACCACCAGGGCGATGGCAGCCTTCTGCTCAAAGTCCTTCACTGCACAACCGCCCTATGGTACTGGCTCTGGTACCTGCGTAAGGTACCAGTGGTGGCAGGGAGAGTCACATCATTGGGCCATCCAAGTGTACTCTGCTGTGGAATATTATTTTAACTGTGTAAAGGTATGTTATTTTTGTTTATGCTATATTTAATTATGTAAATGTTTGTTTAATTATATAAACACCCGATTGGTCTAATAAAAAGCTAAATGGCCAATAGCTAGGCAGGAGAAAGGATAGGCCGGGCTGGTGGGCAGAGAGAACAAATAAGAGAAATCAAGGCTCAAGACAGAAAGAGAAGGAATAAGAGGAGGGAACGAGGGACATGCCAGGGCCAAGAAGCCAGGCAGACAGATGCCAGCCAGAGAGAAGCACCGAAAGTAAGACATACAGTAATAAGCCCTGAGGCAAAAGGTAGATAAGGAGGACAGGTTAACTTAAAAGAGCTAGCCTGATCTGGGCTGATCATTCAAAACTAGTAAGTCTGTGTTGTGAATGGGGGCTGGTTGGTGACCCAAAAGAAAAAGCCTGGTACAGTACCCACATGACTCCCAAGGTGTCAGCCAAGTTCCTTCTCTTCTACCTGCCACCTCACTAGAATGGTTTCTTCATCTCAAAAATAGTACTGATGTCATGACAATTAAAAGTGGATGTCCAGTATCAGGAGTTCTCAATAAATAGTTGCCAAAACTGGACACAAGCAAACCCCACTGTTCCATCATCTTTACTTGTACGGCATACCTGGATCCCTTTATGATTTCCTCAGTATTAAGCATTCTCTTGGGCTGGCAAGATGACTCATGGGATGAGGATACAAGCTACCAAGCCTGACAACCTGCGTTTGATCCTCATGACCCATATGGGACAGAGAGAACTGATCCTGAAATCTGTTCTCTGACCTCTACATGGAACAGTGGGGCACATGCAACCTCTTCCACAAAAACAAATAAATAAAATGTAATAGAACTAAAGCTGAAAAAAGAGCCAGGCAGTGGTGGTGGCCCACGCTTTTAATCTCAGCACGTGGGAGGCAGAGGCAGGTGGATCTCTGTGAGTTGGAAGCTAGTCTTATCTGCAGAGTTCTAGAACAGCCAGGGCCACACAGAGAAACCCCATCTGAAAAAAAAAAAGGGCGGGGTTGAGGGGAGAGTGGAGTAGACTTCCAGGTTAGGCGCTTGCTCAGGGCTAAGGAGGTGCAGCTGTGAGCTGCAGCTCTCCCTCAAGCTTGCCTCTACATCCTCTGCATGCTTTGCTGGCCACTAGGGGAGACTATAAGCTACAGCCTCAATGTGGGCGGTCCCTCCTGTCACTGTGAGCTGGGACTCAGAGGCCTCCAGCACTTGCACTGTAGTCTAAAGCCGTTTCCAAACTGGTCTCTGAACACTGGCTCTGCAATTAGGCAGGTTAACAGGGCTGAACTGAAGGGATGTGAGACCCAGTGCAGAAGACTGAGCCCACTGCCAGACTCAACACCAGCCCAGGAGGGAGCCACGGAGACAGTCAGTCCCCTGTTTAAAGCCCGGGGCTCCATGCCTCGCCACGGAGACAGTCAGTTTAAAGCCCGGGGCTCCATGCCTCACCACGGAGACAGTCAGTCCCCTGTTTAAAGCCCGGGGCTCCTTGCCTCAACCCGTGTCCCCTGCCTGACTCTGACAACTAGATGCCCCTCTGGCTGGATCACACTAACTTGGGCACTTCTGCCATCCTTCCTCACCAGGTCTGGACCACCTAGTGGGCCACAAGTGCCACCTCCCTGAAGCAGGAGAGCAGAGGGATTCGGACATGAAGTCATTATTTCTCTTCTAGGGTGGTTCCCCACTCCAAGGTGCTGTTTTCCTAACCCTGAAAATCCTTTTGGTGGAGTAGCAAAAACTTAAAACACAGGCTCTGCTTATTTCTTGGGAAACCCACACTAGTTTTTTGTTTGTTTGTTTTGTTTACCTATTTTGCTACACAGATTATTGAACACCATTTAATAAAAAATAATAACAGGAAAGAAAGTAAATTACAACGTGCTGTGGAAGGTGGGAGTTTGCTGCTGGGAAGCTGATGCAGAAGAGGCCGTGGACTTGGGATGAGGATGCTTCCAAGGCAGAGAGAACACGACAGGAGGGGCAGAGGACCCAGACCACTTATTGTGCACCCTCACATGAAGTGCTCTCTGGAACCAGAGCCAAAGCCCAGATACCAGTGTCAAGAGGTGAACTGCCAGGTGTCTGAACACGGTGCTCTAGACATGGAGAGTCGTATGCTGTCACCTGAAGACAGCAGCCAACAGCTATTTTCTAGACCTTCCTGGGGTTTGCTTTAGGTTGACACCCTGGGTGGTGTCTGTGGCGTCTCCCAAGCTAAGGCCTGGCTTAGAACCTTGTTCCTTTCATCCCACGCTACCTCCCCACCCCCAATCCAAGGGAGCATGGGTCTGTGAACACTCTCTCCTAGGGCAAGTCTATTCATTTGACTAAAAACCAAAGGGCCCTGCCACCTCCCCTTCCCCGCCAGGGGTCAGTGGCTCCTTCTGCTACCCTCGGGAGTGTTCACAGGCACGTCACTTCCTCCTGCGGTTGGTAACCTTCAGCTCATCCAGTTCTTTGTCCTTTAAGTGCGACTCAGCAGTGGTCTCTGAAAGCTGGAAGGAAAGCGTCAGACTGTTACAAAGGCAGCCACGTCCAGGCCATGCTGCAGGCTTGCACGGCTACTCTGCCCCAAGGAAAGGCCTGCCATTCCTCTTCAACAGGCAAGCCTGGGCAGTCCAAGGAATACTCCTAATTCCAGTGCTCAGCACTTGCATCATTTACAACTGTGTGCCATGCCATGTGAAGGATGAAAAGGACGGGTCCTGCACTCTACAGTTAGGGCATGATAAATCACTTTGAGTTGGACAGCACACACAAAGGCACTCAGGGAGCAGTGCTGTTGTTCCTTTGCCCCCAAGGGTCATTGAACGAGCTTTACAGCAGGAGACAGTTGACCCTGGAATGAGGACAGAGGACGGGTGGTCTCTACTTCCAGAGCAAGTGTGTGGCTTGTATTAGCTCCGTGAAGTAGGCGCTACTCTGATGCCAGGTGTCCTGCTGGAGATCGAGTCAGGCAGCAATTACGCAGTGGGGCAAAGATGCTTCGTGTTGGCTGCATCATGCCTGTCATGGCCATGAGCATGCGCCTCCAGGCCCAGAAGACACAAGAGACTGACACTGATTGGGTATGTGCACTCAGCAGGTCTGTGCTGGACACTGATTGAGTCTATTTGAGGCAGGACATCCCCACCACCCCCAGCACCTGAGATACCTCCATCCTAACCTCCATCCCTGCCACTATCCTGGGGCATTCAGTTCTCACACTGCTTCACTGGAGAACTCTCCACTGTACAGAACTCTTCTCCAGTGTCCATGCCAGCTCTGCATAGACTAAAGCACCGCCTTCCACAGGCTCAGGGATTGTGGGTATTGTTATTCATCCCTGCTCCAGCCTTTGGTGACAAGGTTGGCTTTTATATTCGTGTTTGGATACACAGGAAATGTACTTGGCAAACAGCCCCGGGGAAATCAGTTGGGTAGCTTTACTCAAGGGAGGGACTCCTTGTAAGGGGAAACCTAGGCATCACTTCCAGATTGCCTTCCTCACCATGTCCAGTAGGATGTCCACTTTGAGCCGCAAGAGATTATTCTCTTCTTCCAACTGCTGGTTCCGTTTGCGCAGACGCTGAGTCTCCCTCCGATCCACGCCCCCACTAATCACTGTGTCTAGAGGAAGCACAGAGCAGGATTGGAAAGGGGATTCCTTCCGCCATCCTCATTTGACAGAGCAGCAGGAGGGACCGCTCACCTGCTACCCACTGGCCATTTTCAAACTTCAGGTTTTGCCCTGCCAGGTTCATGGTGGGAGTTCCATAGTCAAGGCCCAGCTCCAATTCCCGCGTTGACCGATCTAACTGTGGTAAGACAGTAGGATGGCTGAGGAAGCCACAGAATAAGAGCTCACATCCCAGCTTCTCCCACTAGTTCCAAGCCCAACAAAACATGCCTATCCTTTGCTGAGACAGGTTTCACTCTGTAGCCTGGCTGTCCTGGCACTCACTATGTAGACCAGGCTGGCCTCAGACTCAAAGAGATTCACCTGCCTCTGCCTCAAGAGTGCTGAGATTAGAACATACTACTACACTGATAATACCTGAAATACCTTAAAAGGCTAGACTATCAAATTATATATAGCAAACATTTAAAGTAGAGGCTAGGAAAATTGCCCGGTGGGTAAGAGTACTCGCTGTGCAAACAACTGACCTAGTTTGAATTTCCAGCACTCAGGTGTACCCACATGTGTCTGTAAGTCCCAGTGCCATGTGTGGTTCAGGAGAAGTAGATGGGAAACAGGAGGCTCAGTGGGGTTTGCTTGTCACTAGCCTAGGTGAAAATGTCAAGTTCCAGGCTCAGAATGAGACCCTGTCTCAGGGAATAAGGCAGAGAGTGGTAAAGCAGGACACCCATGTGCCCTTCTGGCCTCTGTGCATAGTGCCCACCCACCCGATTTAAACTGTAAGAGGGAAGGCATGTTCTGTTTGACACTTTGGATGTTCCAGAAAGGCTGTATAGCCTGTAATTTGTAAATTCAAAATTTTGTGTCTACTTTACAGTTCAAAGAATCCATTGTACATCTTTTTTGTTTTTTCCGACAGGGTTTCTTTGTAGCTTTAGAGCCTGTCCTGGAACTCGCTCTGTAGACCAGGCTGGCCTCAAACTCACAGAGATCCGCCTGCCTCTGCCTCCCAAGTGCTGGGATTAAAGGCGTGCGCCACCACCACCCAGCTCTCCACTGTACATTTTTTTTTTTTTTTTTTTTTTTTGGTTTTTCGAGACAGGGTTTCTCTGTAGCTTTGGAGGCTGTCCTGGAACTCACTTTGTAGACCAGGCTGGCTTCGAACTCACAGAGATCCGCCTGCCTCTGCCTCCCGAGGGCTGGGATTAAAGGCGTGCGCCACCAACGCCCGGCTCCACTGTACATTTTTATATGTGTAATGTACTTGGTTTTAATTCATTCTCCCCTCATCACTGTATATTTATAATAAGGAAACTTGTAAGTTGTAGTTTGCTTCATATAGTTATGAAGAAGCATACAATTCTAACAGTTCCTGCTAGGTCTTGTTTCATGTGTGACAGTCTAATTTCTGTATTCATTGACAGAACTCATCAAACACTCCCTAAGTCAGGCCTGACTCCCTAGCATTCAGAGATGAGTAAGACCAGCTCTGCTGGAGAGTAGCTTTTGCCCCTGTGAGGGAGACATGAGTAGCTCAAGAAGCAGGTCCAAGCAATGGGTGCTCCCGTGCGCACACACACACACACACACACACACACACACACACACACACACACACTCACACACAGAGCATGCACATGCGCACATACACATACTAGGAGCATAAACACACACACTCACACACAGAGAGCACATATACACACACACAGAGCATACACACATATACACTCACACACACAGAACACGCATGCACACACACACACACACACACCAAGAGCATATACACACAGAGCATACACACACACCAAGCACCCGCGCACACACACTCAGAGCATAATACATTCCCAGAGCACCCGCATGCGCACTCGTGCGCGCACACACACACATACACTCTCACACACAGAGAGCACACACACAGAGCACACACACACACAGAGCATGCACATGCGCACATACACATACTAGGAGCATTCACACACACATACACACAGAGCACACACACACACACACAGAGCACACACACACACACATACACTCTCACACACAGAGAGCACACACACACACAGAGCATGCACATGCGCACATACACATACTAGGAGCATTCACACACACACACACACAGAGCACACACACACACACACACAGAGCATGCACATGCGCACATACACATACTAGGAGCATAAACACACACACACTCACACACAGAGAGCACATATACACACACAGAGCATACACACATATACACTCACACACAGAACACGCATGCACACACACACACACACACCAAGAGCATATACACACAGAGCATACACACACACCAAGCACCCGCGCACACACACTCAGAGCATAATACATTCCCAGAGCACCCGCATGCGCACTCGTGCGCACACACACACACATACACTCTCACACACAGAGAGCACACACACACACACAGAGCACACACACACACAGAGCATGCACATGCGCACATACACATACTAGGAGCATTCACACACACATACACACACGCATACACACACAGACACACATACACACAGAGCACACACACACACACACACGCATACACACACACACACACAGAGCACACACATACACACAGAGGGAAGGAGTCCTTCAAGTGTGTGCTGAAATATCTATTGCTCAATCTGGATTGACCACCCTATTTAAAGTAACAACTTTGTTTACACGCTACTCTCCTCATTAAGATATCTGAATATTCTAGGCAAGTACTCTACCAGGGAGCTATATCCTTTGCTGTGTGTGTGTGTGTATGTGTGTGTATGTGTGTGTAGGAGTGTTCATGTATGTGCAGGCACATATGTGGAGGCCAGAGAACAGCCTCGTGTGTCATTCCTTTGGCACCATCCATATTAAAAAAAAAATCAGGTCAGGCATGGTGACACACACCTTTAATCCCAGCATTCATGAGGCAGAGGCAGGTGGGTCTCTTTGAGTTTGAGGCCAGCCTGGTCTATGGGGCAAGTTTTAGCACACCCAGGACTATATAGAGAGACCTTGTCTCAACTCTACACCCCACAAAAATAAGAAATTGATATATAGGGTATTAGCTATCCTACGGCATTTTCAAAAGTATGTAGTCGATTCTCTTCTCCCTTCATCTTTGCATTTTCCTGATAACTGTCCTCCACTCCAGTCACTTCCCTTCCCCCTGCCGGTCTCTCAGCACCTATGTTGAGAGAAGTTCTCTCCATGGCCCGAAGCTGAGAAAGTAGGCTAGGCTGGCTAGCCGGTGAGTCCCAGGATCCTCCTGTCGTTAGCCTCATATCATCATCTGTGTCCCACCCCATTTACATGTCACAATGCCCAGCACTTTAAAATTTATTGTATTTCTAAAACTAGATTTATTTGTTTACTGTGTTTTGTCTGCATGCATGTATGTGCACCACTCGCATGCTTGGTGCCTGTGAAGGTCGGAAGAGGGCACTGGGTCCCTGGACCTGGAGTTATGGATGGTCTTGAAGCGCCAATATCTGGCAATACTTCTTTTTTCTTTTTTGTTTTTCAAGACAGGGTTTTTCTGTGTAGCCCTGGCTGCCCTGGAACTCACTTCTGTAGGCCAGGCTGGCCTTGAACTCAGAGATCCACCTGCCTCTGCTGGTACTGGGATTAAAGGTGTGTGCTGCCACCACAGATGGCAGGGCTGAGACAGACTTTTTTATGAGAATGCCCTCAGGACAGGGGTTGTCCCAGTGAGACCACCAGGTGCATCTGCATCATTGATGTCTGGAGGGAGGCTAAAGGCCCACGGTATGGAAACCTAGGATCCCAGAATGTTTAGCCCTGGCCTAACCAGGGCTGCCACTGTGACTTTAACTGGGGACTAGAGGCAACAGACTCAAAGACTTCAGAGCTGAGTTTATCCTTGCTGCCTTACCCACTGACCCATGAAGGATTAGCTAATCTGCACAGCTGGTCATGTGGGAAAGGACAAGGAAACTAGGGTCATCATCTCTGGGTATGTAAGAGTAAGCAATATCACCCAGAATTAAGGTGGACGGGAATGTGGTGGTATAATAAGCTGTTTTTTTTCTTCTCGGGGGTCCACCACCCAGCTCCCAAATAATGGGAGCTTGTCCTTAGTTATGACTTCCCTGCCTTAGTGTGTCTTGTTGCTAGTCAGCTTTTCTTAACTTAAATTATCCCATCTACCTTTTCCCTCTGGATTTTTGTCTTTCTCTTCCATAAATCTTTCACTCTTACTCTGGCTGGCTGAGTGCCTGACTCTTCTTCTTCTCTTGCTCCTCTTTTCCTTGTTTCTCCTTCTGTTTATCCTCTCTGCCTGCCAGCCCCCCCATCCTTGCTCCTGCCTTGCTACTGGTCATTCAGCTCTTTATTAGACCATCAGGTGTTTTAGACAGGCAAAGAATCACAGCTTCACAGAGTTACACAAATGCAGCATAAACAAAAGTCACACATCTTAGAATAGTATTCCCCAATGTGGTGGAGACAGAGGACCCACCAGAGCAGTGTAATAGCCTCAAATGTGTTTGGGCCACCTCTTTTGGAACAGATGTCCTTTCAAATGTCACTAAATGGTGGCAAGCCAGCATCTTCTGTGATTCCTTCAAAAATAAGCTTGATCATTTTTTAAAAAAAGATTTATTTTGTGGCAGGGTGTGGGGTTGCACACCATTAATCCCAGCACTTAGAAGGCAGATCTGAGTCTGAGGCCACCTTGGTCTACATAGACAGGTCCAGTATAGCCGTGACTACACAGAGAGAACCTGTTCCCAAAACAGCAACAAAAGATTTGTTTTAATTTTATGATTTTGAGTGTCCTACAAGCATGTAAGTCTGTGAACCTTGTAAACTTAGGTCAGAAGAAGGCATTGGGTCCCCTGTAACTGGAGTTATAGATGGTTGTGAGCTACCATGTGGGTACTGGGAACTCAACCCAGGTCCCCCACAAGAACAAGTGCCCCTAATAGCTGAGCTATCTCTCAAGCCCCTGAAATTCTCTTTTTTCAGGGACAGTGTCTCTCCCTGTAGCCCTGGGTGTCCTGGACCTCTCTATATATAGAGCAGGCTAGTATCAATCTCAGAAGTTCACCTGCTTCTGTTTCTTGATTGCTGAGATTAAATGTATATACCTCTATACCCAGCTTGAATTTGATCTTTAAACATGACTGAAATTAATTCTTGGACAAGCTTTGGGACTAAAATGTCAGTCAGGGTGGATATCATCACCTGGGACCAAAATCAGAATGAGGCTTGGCTATTTTAGTCGGTTCTTTTTTCTTTTTTGAGACACGGTCTCTCTGTGCAACAGTCCTGACTGTCCTAAAACTCACTTTGTAGGCCAGGCTGACCTTGAACTCACTGAGATCCACCTGCCTCTGCCTCCTGAGCACTGGGATTAAAAGCATGGGCCTATTCTGCTGATAGAGAAAGACAGAAAAAACTCATCCAGTTCAGGGCCACCACTGCTGGCTATCAGTGGGTTCTTGAATAAGCCCCAACTGTAATTCCCACACAGGAATTCAAACTTGACTAACGATATAAACTAAAGGGATGCCCTCCCGCAGTGCTGCTTCTCCACCCAGACCCCAGACTCACAGAATGCAGGTTGGAGAGAGAGGCAGACTTCCGAGGAGGGGTCTTCTTTGGACTGAATATACTCCCAAAGAGAGGCATTCCTGACTTGAGGAAACTCTAGCACTTCCTTCTCCTAGGGTCAAACAGATCAGAGACTTTATGTCATTGGTGTCAAATCATGAAAACATTTCAGCCATTGACACTTACCAAACCTGGCAATATCTACTGGGAAGAGTTTTCCTTTTAGATAGAATGGCAAATGGAGGCCTGAGGTCCTACAAGTCCTAGTAGGAACTCCGAGGCTTTGGATGCTTCCTATGCACCAGGCACTATGCTAATGCCTTTGTATAATCTCCTTTAACTCACAATTACCCCTTGACAAGCTCCTCCTAGTCACCCCATTTGGTTGGTGACATCTAGAAAGCTAAGGTCTGCAGTGGTAACAGGCATTTGAACCAAAGTTTGTGTGGCTTCACAGTTACGTTAAAAACCTGGACCAGGGTGGCCTCACCAGCATAACAGTGTGCACCAAGGAAATGAGATTTTTGTCCCCATGAGCTAGTAAGAACAGCGCCAGAGACACTAACTTCTGCATATCCGCCATTTTAAAGCCAAGAAGCTACAATCTGGGTATTTCATTCTCAGATTGACAGTGGTGCTTATCACTTGGTCCATATATCAAGTCACCTGTCCTGTTATGAGAGGTAAGGTGTCTCAAGAAAAGGAGAGAACCAGAACATAGTGGAGCTGACAATGACAGTCACCATTATACCAGCTTTAGTCACTACCTCCTGCAAAGCTCATAAAATCACTAACATCATTCAAGTTTGGGAAAGAGGTCAACTTTTTGTTGTTGTTGTTGTTGTTCTTTGAGACAGGGTCTCCTGGAATTAGCTCTGTAGATCAAGCTGGCTTTGAACCCAGAGATCTGCCTGCCTCTGCCTCCCGAGTGCTGGGTTTAAAGGTGTGCGCCACCAACGCTTGGCATCTTTTTAATTTAGGTATAACAAAGAGGACACCAGGTTTGGTGCCCTGTCACTTTCTGTCATATTCCCTTTAGATAGGGTCTCTCACTGAACCTGGACCTAGATTTGGTGGCTAGCAGGTCCAAGTAGTCCTTTCTCTGCCCCCAACAGTGCTGGAATTACAGGTGTTAATCAGGCATTTTACTGTGGGGTGCTGGGTACTTGAATTCAGGTCCTCATACTTGTACAGCAAGCACTGGTATTCACTGAGCCTTTTCCCCAGTCCCCTTCACAAATTATTAGGACACACAGACACAGACACAGACACAGACACACACAGACACACACACACACAGACAGACAGACACACACACACACACACACACACACACACACCCTTCTAGATCAAGGCATAGGCCATCTCAGCACCCTGTAACTCTCTGGATGACTTTATAATCAACTGGCTGAGATCCTAGGGTTCTTTTTTGTTTTGTTTTTCCAGACAGGGTTTCTCTATGTAGACCAGGTTGGCCTCAAACTCATAGAGATCCACTTGCCTTGACTAAAATACCCTTAATCTTAGTGTTCTTTAGTGAAGCTTTCTCATAGGGAGGGCTCAGGATCAAGAAAGTTAAGGGGCCATTCCTGATTTCCAATCAACTCCAGTGCTCACCCTCAATGGGATCTCAGCATTTTATCCCCACAAGGGCCTCAAGTGTTTTATTTATCGTTATTGTTTCGATGTGGATGGGTGTTTTGCCTGCATGTAAGTCTGCGTACCATGTGCCTTGGGTTCTCAGATTCCTGGAACATGAGTTACCGGTGGTTATGAGCTGGGAATGAAATCTGGATTCTCTGCAACAGCAACTAGTACTCTTAGATGCGGAGCCATCTCTCCAGCCCTCGAGTTCCTTACTGACAACCAGGAATAACAGCACCCAGCTTGGAGAAGTGCTTCCGTGTTTACAAGTTGTTGGCACATCTGATGCTCACCATAACCCCGGGAAGCAGATCCAGCTGTGCCCTTCTCAGGGAACTGTACTTACTGTGCGAAGCTTTAGTTCGCATCAGGTTATAAAATGCATTACCTTCATCCTGACAAGCAAGTAAAGGAAGCATCCTTGGTTTTCACTCGATTCTCAAAGGGGGAAAAAAAAGCGTTTCGAAAGACTTAAGAGCCAACTTTAACTCTGCATGCGCACGGGCCACGGAACCATAGGAGTTCGGTACCGATTAGAAGACGCCCTTCAAGTGGCGGGTCAAAACACCGTCCGGAGTCACCGTGGCAAGATGCGCCCGCGGGGCACGCCACCACCCGGCCTGCCCGCCACCCTCTCCAGTGGTACCAGGGTGTCCCACCCACCTCGCACCCACCTCCCACCCACCGTGGCTGGCCCGAGCCTTCGAACGTCGACCCCCAGACGTACCCGGTGCGCCTGCGAAGCCGGCGTCCAGAGCTATCCCCTACCCTCTCGCAAAGATCCGCCCTCGCCGCGTCAACCGCCGCGACTGCGATTGGCGGGCGCCGGGCTCCCATCGCGCGCATGCGCATCGGCTATGGCCTTCACCACTGAGGACGGAGGGGGTGTGCCCTCCCGGACGGGCCTCCGCGGAGCAGCTGGGCCCCCGCGGGTTCCCTCCGGATCACGAAGCGAGGAAGGCCTTGGGAAAGCCTTCTGGGGTTCCTCACGCGCTGAGCGGCCACAGGCAAGGCGAGGAGTGTCCCCCCCTAAACACGTTGGTCTGGCCCCCGGATAGCGGCGTCGTCGCCATGGTAACCGCGTGGGGCCGCCACGGCGCCGGCTCAGGGCCGCATTGTTGTGGGAAAGGAGTGTGTAGTGACCTGGGCTGGACTCACAGTAGCAAAATGGCCCAGTCTCCGGCTTCCCCGCCCCGGGCACAAAGCAAAGCGCGCCCCTTCCCGGTGATTTGGGGGCCGCGGGTGCCGGCGGCCATCCAGAGCCTGGTGGGGTCACCGGAAGGACCCGTGCTGGAACCCGTCCTGAGGCTCTGGGGTTCCGCCAAAGCTTCCAGGTAAGACAGAGGAACAGACAGAGGACGACTCCTTGCCAGCAGCAAACTGGCTCCTGCCAGGCTTGCCTCCTCCTCGTGACTGTGAACAAGGGACACTGAGGTCCAGGAAGGTCGGTCGCCCAGTGAACAAGGGGCGGAGAATTGGAGAATCCCATCCAGCATTCCTCAAATTCTGTATTATGTTCTGTGTGGCGAATGGAGAAATGGGCCGCCCAAGAGATGTTTCCTGGCGGCCTAGTGGGTGTACTAGGTGTCATTCCAGCCGCAGGGGACAGGACCAAGCAGTCTGTCTACAAACGGTTTTCCTCCACCTTTGCCACACTGCATTAGAAGAGAGAGTTTCACGTTCAAAACTAGCCATATCTAGCCTAGCACTCAGTGTTTCAACAGAAACGTAAAGCAGACCACATTTGTAATTTGCAGCCTTCTGTTGTTAAAACCTGAGCCGTGTGCACGCTGATCCCACGCTTAATCGAGCCCAAAGCACCTTCGGGTTGTTTTGTTTTGAGATGGTCTCACTGGATAGCCCAGGCTGCCCTGGATTTCTCAACTCGTCCTACTCGGCCTCTCAGTGCTGGGAGTACAGACATACACTCACTATATCCCTGCACCTTTTCCCTTTTTTACATTTGGGGTTTGACCCTGGGTCTCACTATGTAGTTCTGGCTGGTCTCCAAATCCTCCTGTCTCTGTCTCCAGAGTGCTGGAATTGAAAGCTAGTACTACCACACCTGTCCCTACGCAGTTAAAAAGTAAAATAAAAACAGATTTAACTTGACTATAGTTTTAGTTAACTTGGCTTGTCCAAAATATGCTTAAATGTAAAGATTTTAAAATTTACCTTGCTTTGGTTTTTAATTTTAAAACAAAATTTGCCTTCAGTCCCATGAACCAGATTTAAGAACTTTGTTTTCATGTGTGGCTAATGACTACCAGGATGGGCAATATCCATTAACCTCCTCCTAGCCTTGTGACTTCTCTTCTCACCTTTAGTTAACTCCTGCTGTTCCTTCCCCACCTTGACCTCTGCAACTAGGTCAACACTGTCAAGCGCTTGAGAGGCAGAGGCAGGGACCTCCATGAGTTGAAGGCCAGCCTGGTCTACAGAGCAAGTGCCAGGCCGGCCAGGACCCTGTCTCAAAAGAAACTAAACAAACCACACTGTGTCATCTCTGTGAACCTCCTATGGAAGCAGGAATGACTAAGTCACTGTTATATGCATAACTTCTATAAAATATAATTTGTAGTTTGCACTTATTTTAGTTTTACAAGTCTACCCCAATAGTCAGCCCCACCCGGGTGACATGGATCCAGTCTGGCTTAGCTCACTGTCTCATTCCCAGTTGGAGCACACTTGCAGGTAGGTCTGTGGGAACCCCTTAGTAAATAGTCACTGAATGGCTGAAAGTTGGCAGTGAACCCCAGTCTGACCCCACAGTCTGCTTTCTACATGCTATCAAATGTTAACTCTAGGGGATTATTCAAATCCCATCTGCCAGAATGCCTGCAGGGGAAAGGTTCCTCATCTCCCACTCATCCAACCCCAGCCCCTGGCACAGTGCTTGCCATGGCGCAGCTTTCAATGAAGCTGGCTCTCCCTCTTCTGCAAGCAATGACAGTAAAACCTTACTGTGCTCCTGAGCATACATACCCTTAAATGGTATGAGGAAGAATTCAGCCCAGAGCACTGTGTGTATTTTAAACGTCCCTCTTTAGAAAAACACTACTCAGCTCTCACATTAGGCATGAGTGGTAGCATTAGACTAAAGCTGGAAGCTTCTGACAGTCATCTGCGCCCAGTTTCTCAGAGAACACAGTAATTTTCCAGCCGTTGGGGGAATGGGTAGGAGGACAATGAGAAGCCCAAAATGTACCTGCCTCCTCTTACCTCTCCCTGCTTGGCCTATGAGGCTAAAGACTAGGAGCTTAGGGCAAGAAACAGTACTGACCTGGGCCTGGGCCAGTCTTTCCTTCATCCAGTGGACTCGGCAGCGGATGGGGTGGTGTGGAGGGATCCCTGCAGCCATCAAAGCCAGCAGAGTCATGATCAGAGGGAGATAAGAAGGTAGTTCTGTTCAGCAGGACTCACTAGCTGGTGTTGGTTCAAACTTTTAGAGTCTGATCCTGAGTAGTTTATTTTAGTCCTGTTTGAACACAATTATTAAAAAGAAGTTTCCTGGTGACAGTTAACTCAATCCCATGTGCACAACAAAACTTAAGATAGGACTTAAAAACTCTTTGTAAAGGACAAGTGCTGTCTTCCATAAAGATGGGTTCTATAGATAACCAAGAAAAAGTTCAAGATAAACAAGTGTGATAAGGGCCTGGGGCAGCTTAGCTCTAGAGACTGAGACAGACTAGCTCAAGATAAGGGTGGCCTGGCCACAGCGATAGTGCAGAGGTCATCAGGCTGTCAGTGCCTTCTGGGTGGGAAAACAGGTTGTACATCTCTGCCTTTGAAGAGAACAGCACTGTGTGTTTAACTTTCCTGGTTTCCCTAGTGCTTATGTGTGAGCAAAGGACCTACGTGCCTCCTACAGAGCAGTCTGTGATAGACACCTTCTAAAAGAAACCAAGTATTGAATTGATTACTCTAATCCTAGTGGTTACCCAGGAGTAATTCTGCTGATAGAGAAAGACAGAAAAAACTCATCCAGTTCAGGGTTTATTTTTTGAGACAAGATTTGGTGAGGTAGCCAAATCTGGCTTTGAACTCTTTTTTTTTTTTTTTTTTTTTTTGTTTTTCGAGACATGGTTTCTCTGTGGCTTTTGGAGGCTGTCCTGGAACTAGCTCTTGTAGACCAGGCTGGCCTCGAACTCACAGAGATCCGCCTGCCTCTGCCTCCCAAGTGCTGGGATTAAAGGCGTGCGCCACCAACGCCCGGCCTGGCTTTGAACTCTTGATCCTGCCTGAGTCCCAACCTCCACCTTGCTGGGGTTTTAGACAAGTCACCATAGCTGGCTGCCAATTTCATATATTAAGTGCTGTAACAGATGAAAGTAGATACATAAGAGTCATGGTTCTGGTGGCCTGGGATAATTCCAGGTTTTTCCAAAGATGGTGTATCACCCAGGGAAAGACATGGTCATTAAGAACATGGAGTGACCTGACCAGCTAGATGGCTCAGCAGGTAATGTGCTCATCTCACAAGCTGATGACGTGGGCGCCATCCCCGGACCCAGGTGGAGGAGGAAACTGGCTCCAGGAGGTTGTGTTCTGATCTCCACATGTGCTCCATTGATGTGTATCCCTGCCCCCATTAATGAAGATATCTTAAAAAGAACGGATCATGCTAGGGAAGTGGGGCGAGGAGTGTGGTTAAGGAGACCTGGGTTAGTTTCTCCATGACCCTAGCTCCCTCCTTTCATTCTGAATGAGCTGCTTGAGGACAACAAAAAACTTTAAAAACCATAAAAAGGAAAGCTAAAAGTTCTTATCATGGGTATGAGGAGGTGTAGGCATCGTCAAATTAAGAGAATAAGTATGGAGTGGCGGCACACGCCTTTAATAACTGCACTCAGGAGGATCAAGTGGATCTCTGTGAGTTCAGGGCCAGCATGGTCTACAGAGCAAGTTTCAGGACAGCCAGGGCTACACAGAGAAACCCTGTCTGGAAAAACAAAACAACAAAAAAGTATGGGGCTGAGGATAGAGCTCAGTGGTGGGGAGCTTGCTTAGCAGGCCTGGAGCTCTAAGTTAAATACCTACCATGGAGGCGGGGGTGGTGGGGCATCCACTTAGTGGTAAATGCTTACTGTGCAGACATGAGGACCTGAGTCTGGCTCCCCAGATCTACTGAAATAAAGCTGGGCTTGCTGGTGTGTTCCTGTGTCAGAACATGGTCCAGGAATGGAGTCATGTGAGGAGATTTCTGAATGCTTGTGAGAACTCTCCAAGAATACAGGACGAGTTCTGTGATCTCAGTCTCTTCAAAACAGAATGGTTCTGGGAACGTGTTTTTTGTGCTTCTCCCAGGTGTAGTGGGTATGAGTGAGTTTCTTCAGATTTCTCGTGTTGCTTGCTGGTATTGTTTGGAGAAGCATGTTTTGCCACGTACAGCTTGTACTTGGGATTCTACACGGCTTGCACTCAATGAGAACTTTAGTCCTATGTGACCTTGCTTAACCCTGAGTATAAATTGTCTGAGGGTCTGAATAAAGTTGGCGATAGCATTAGACTTCCATCTGCGCCATTTTTCAGCTCCATTCACCTAAGTCCCACTACTTCTAGAGTGACAACACACCTGTGACCTCAGTTAGATCCCAAGACTTGTAGATCAGCCACTCTAGCTGAAATGGGGAGCTCCCAGTATAGTAAGAAAAACCCTGTCTCACAAAACATGGCAGAGAATTGATAGACAACATCCTCTGGCCTCCACATGTACCTACATAGGTATATGCACAAGCACACACACACACACACACACACACACACACACACACACACAGACAGAGAGACAGAGAAAGAGAAGCACTTAAGTCTTAAAATCCTGTTAAGAGTGAGCTTCCTGCTTCCTGTTTTAGCTTAGGTGCAAACACAGCCAAAAATCCACCCTGCGCTGGGGAGGGGGTACGATGCCTGCAGTACCAGGGACTGCCACAGCTAGTTCCCTGCCAGGCTCTCTCTTGAAGGCCTCTGGCCAGGTGGGGCCAGAGTCTCAATAAGTGCATGCAGGAGGAGTGAAAGATTGGTAGATTAAAGTAGACTTTTAAAGTATTTTATTTTTAGCCAGGTAGCAGTGACACTCGACTTTAATCCCAGCACTCAGGAGGCAGAGGCAGGCAGATCTCTGGTCTACAGAGCAAGTTCCAGGACAGTCAGGGCTATAGAGAGAGACCCTGTCTCAAAAACAAAACAGCAACAACAAAAAAGATATCTTATATCCCTAGGATTTGAAAATCAAGACAAATACACATCTACCAGCTGAGTTTTCTTAAAGATAGATTTTATTTTTTATGTATGTCTGGGCTCATGCCCACATGCAGATGTGAGAGGAGGCCAGAAGAGGGCATCAAATCACTGGCGTTAGAGGTGGGTGTGAGCTACCCAGCCTAGGTGCAAGGACCCAAAGGCAGGTTTTCTGTAAGAGCAGCAAATACTTCCCCAGCCCTCTGCTGTTTGGTTTTGATTTTTATTTTAAGGTAGATCTGTTTAGTCATTACGATTGGGGATGTGTGCCACCGTGCACATATAAAGCCAAACACAACTTGTGGGAGTGGGTTCTCTCCTTGTACCATGTAAATGGCACGAGTCAAGTTCAGGCCGCCTTTTCCTTCTGAGTCGTTTTGCCAGCCCCTGCCTGGTGGCTTGGACAATTGTTTCAGGATGACATTTGTGTTTTAAGGCCTCTGTCACGTGCATATTTTGCTATTGCACTTCGCTGCTTGGAAGGCTTTTGTAGTGTTTTGATACTACCTGTTTTATTTCTATTACCTCGATGGTGTTCCTTGTCCAAGCCCGTGGCCACCTGTCCTCCCCAGCCAGGACTTCACACATAGGATTCCACAGTTTAAACACCACCTCACTGCCACTGCTCAGGGAAGGTAATGATATGGCGACCACAGCAGCTCCTTTTTACACCTCCCTTCCCCTCTTCCACTGCCTCCTTTCCCACTTCCCCTCCTCTGACTCCTCTGGGAAATGGTTCAGGAACTGGGCAGTTTAGGCTGAGCAGTTGAGGGGACTAAGTGATCGCTGGGTGGATTGAGAGCCATTACTGTTCTTGCAGAGGGCAGGGCCTCACCTCTCCTCTCGGGCTAAGCCTTGTGTGCAGACTCCTCTCGGGCTAACCCTACTGTTCTTCCAGCATCACTCAGGCTCTGCCTGGTCCTGTCTTCATTGGTTCTCATCTCACTGCTGAACTGTATCCCCGCATCACAGAACTCTGTCTCTGAGGACCTCAGGACTCATTCAACAAATAGCCCTCCGAGGCCTCAGATAGCACTAGGCTTTCCATGGTATATGTAGTTGTTTTTTTTTTCAAGACAGGGTTTCTCTGTATTGTCTTGGAGGCTGTCCTGGAACTCGCTTGGTAGACCAGGCTGGCCTTGAACTCACAGAGATCCACCTGCCTCTGCCTCCCAAGTGCTGGGATTAAAGGCGTGCGCCACCAACGCCCGGCCTTATTTTTATTTTACATATATATGGGCATTCTACCTGGATGTATGTCTGTGTGAGGGTGTCAGAGCTCCTAGAACTGGAATTACAGACAGTTGTAAACTACCATGTGAGTGCTGGGAATTGAGCCCAGGTCCTTAGGAAGAGCCAACTGCTGAGCCATCTCTCCAGCCCCTCCATGTTATATCTTTAAACTCTGCTGCCACCAGGGAAGCTACATCTTTCACATGGTGGTTCCAAGGGTTCCATAGGCACCAGGCACTCAAGTGCGACACATATATAACTGCAAGACATATTCATATATAGAAAAATAAAATATATCCTTTAAAAAAGTCATATACGGGCCATGCAATGGTGGCCGTGTGTCAAAACAAAAACAAAAAACAAAAAAACAAAAGAGCCATACATGGCCTCCAGTGCCTGTGGCCCTAGCATTTGGGGGTAGAGACAGTGGAACCCAGGGGCTCGTTGACCAGTCAGACTAGGTAAAAGGTGAGCTTCAGATTGAATAGAAGATCCTGCTTCTAAAAATAGGGTGACAAGTGACAGGAGAAGCTATCCAATGATATTACAAACATGCGTCACATATATATTTTTTAATTTTTTAAAGATTCATTTATCATGTATACAGTGTTCTGCCTGTATGTATGCCTCCTGCACACCAGAAGAGGGCACCAGATCTCACTACAGATGGTTGTGAGCCACCATGTCATTGCTGGGAATTGAACTCAGGACCTTTGGAAGAGCAGGCAGTGCTCTTAACTGCTGAGCCTCTCTCCAGCGCCCCCATATATATTTTATTTTAAAAACTGGAGATTTCAATGTGGACATTACTTTGATAATATGATCCAGATGTAAAGGATGTGGTAATGGCAAGGCAATTGAGGGGAGACAACTGCATAAAATAGATAACTTTGAGTAAATATTTTGCATCAGTTTGAAAAAAAAAAGGACTTTCCAACCAAAAGGCTTTCTTCCTTCTAATTAATTGTATGTTATAGGCCTTATCATTGCCTCTCAGCAGGCTGTTATGTGGGTTCCCCCTTTTGTTTTCTAAGATGGTTTTATTTTGGGGGGTTTCAAGGCAGGGTTTCTCTGTAGCTCTTATAGACCAGGCTGGTCTCGAACTCACAGAGATCCACCTGCCTCTGCCTCCCAAGTGCTGGGATTAAAGGCGTGCACCACCAACGCTTGGCTTCTAAGATGGTTTTATGCCATTTTACCCCAGCAGGTTGACTGAATAAAGAGCAAGGTTGGAGTGGAAAAGAGAGGAAACTTTTTGTTTGCCAGTTTACAATGGAATCTCTCAAGAAGATGGACATCATCAATGTCACCGCCTTGCCAATGATAGCAGTGGACGAGCGCCTGGTGGTCTCTGTCAATGCACGGAAAGCACTGCAGAATGCTTTGAGGAAGCAGTTGGAGGACCATCCACCCAGTATCCTTCTAATGCAGTCACACCAAGTGCATTTGAGTCTTACTACTGAGCTTAGGTCCATGTGTTACCTGTTAGCCCACTTTGCATACCATGGGGATTTTCTCTGTGTACTTAAGTCCTATGTAGCCTCTAAAGGGATGTGATATTTTGAAGGTTTTTTTTTTGTTTTGTTTTTGTTTTTGTTTTTTCGAGACAGGGTTTTTCTATGTAACTTTGTAGACCAGGCTGGCCTTGAACTCACAGAGATCTGCCTGCCTCTGCCTCCCAAGTGCTGGGATTAAAGGCATGCACCACCACACCCAACTTTGAATGGTTGCTTAGCTTGAGGTTTAATATATATATTTGGTTTTTTGAGACAGGGTTTGTTTCTCTGTGTAACAGTCCGGGCTGTCCTGAACTTGCTTTGCAGAGCAGGCTGGCCTAGAATTTAGAGATCCACCTGCTGGGCTTAAAGGTGTGTACCGCCACCTCCTGGCTGAGGTTTGTTTTAAACAGAAGGAATTCGAAAGAAAGATGCCCAGGTCGTATCTGCTGAAAGAGGAGAGAAGTTCTATATTCGCTCCCCTTCTCCTTTCCAAAGAATTAGGACTGTGGGCATAATGGACAGCAGCTAGGAAGTCAGGAGCCAGCCCTCCGTCCCCAGACAGGTGTGCTCACTGCCCAGGTTGTTCATTTCCTCCGGTTGACCTCCCCTCCCCTCCCCTCCCCTGCTAGCCCTCCTACTCAGGCTCTGTCTGTCCCTCTGGCATCACCCGGGCTCTGCCTGCCACTGCCCTCTCCCTGGTCCAGCCTTCACTAATCCTGGTCTCTCCACTGAAGTGCATCCCTGCATCAGACAACCTCATCTCAGAGTCCATCCAGCAGATAGTCCTCTTGGGTTATAAATAACCCCAGGCTTTAAGCCTTGCTGCCAGCAGGCACACTGCATCTTCCACTGTCTCCCTCACTTCCCATGGTCCTCTCCCAAACCTTTGTCAAGACACCGGCCAGTGTGATCCCATCTGAATCTCTGCAGGGCCTTACTTTCTTGGGTCTCTTTCCAGCGCCCTTCTTAATCCACCCTCAGCTTGGCCTTGTCTGTGTCACATGTCCCTCCTGGGGGACTTCCCAGTGGTAAGAGCACTTGAAGGTAATGGAAGGGAGAGCGAGCCTGTTTTAATGGGGAAGGAGTGGAACCACAGGATTATGAGCTTACGGGGGCTGTGTCCTGGAAGACCCTGAGGCTGAGACGTGAAATGTAAAAGGAGAAAAGGTAACAGATATGTAGAACCAATCAGATCATAGAGACGTTCAACTGAGAGGCGGTGATAGCAGGGGGCCCCTTGGCTCAGTCATCCCACACCTGAAAACGTCTCTTGAAGAAACATCCCAGGGGTTGGAGAGATGACTCCACCATCAAGAGTGCTCACTGTTCTGGGCTTAGTTAGCAGCACCCACATCAGGCTGCTCACAGCCACCTGTAACTGTAACCAGGGCATCCACAGGCACTTGCATGCACATGGTGTGCATACGCACACTCAGGCACAAGCGTGGATTCATAAAATTAAAATATCTTTAAAAAAAGAAAAGAAGTATTCCACAGTTTGAAACTTCTCTGTGGCCATGCTAACTACAACATTGTTTATGGTCGTGAGAGGCTGTAAGTGGCTTGCAGAGAAACAGCCAGCAACAGGAAAGCTCCCTAATAGTATGTTCTAAGTGGCCCATATGGCGTTACGAAATCGATATTTTCCAGCCGTCAGACAAATTCTTGTGGAAGAGAAGTTATGGAGGTGAACCAGACACCATTGACATTGTAGTTATGCTTGCACGAAACACGGGGCACATGCCTGAGGTAAGAGAACCACTACATAGACATCCTGTTTTCCCTATCAGAAACTGAAATGAGACAGGCATTGGTGGTACACGCCTTTAATCCCAGCACTTGGGAGGCAGAGGCAGGTGGATCTCTGTGAGTTCGAGGCCAGCCTGGTCTACAAGAGCTAGTTCCAGGACAGCCTCCAAAGCCATAGAGAAACCCTGTCTCAAAAAACAAACAAACAAAAAAAACCCAAACACACAAACAAAAAACTGAAACGAATAAAAACCTAGAAGGAATGCTCTCAAGACTGACAGAGAGACGGGAGGCAGTGTGGACATCTTTTTCCAGGGTGGCTACCACACAGGAAACTTATTATCCTCCTCTTTCTTGTTATTGTTTGTTGGCTTGCTTTTTTCTTTTTCTTTTAGATATATATAGGATATACACTATAGCCCTGGCTAGCCCAGAGATCACTATGAAGTCCAGGATGGCCTCAAACTCATGGCAACTCAGCCTCCTGAGTGCTGGAATTACAGATGAGTGTTCATACCAGTCCATTGGTTTTCATTTGTAAAACTGACTCGCTCAAACATGATGAAGTCGTGCATATTGGTAGAGGGAATGAATGTGCAGCCTGGACCACCCTTCTTGCTGAGGAGACCCTTCTGCTGTGTGTGACTACCTCCTGGAGTTTCCTTAGCGGCTTGCCTCCCAGCATGCATTGTTGGCTCCATGAGCCAGGTGAACCAGAAGATTACTGAAATAGACCTGGGCTCCAGCCTGTTGACCAGCACCTTGGTGAGTTGAAGCAGATGCTGGAGCTGAGGCAAGGCCTTTGGGAACAGAGGGCCCTAGGGAGGGTCATCGAGGTGTTGCCCTTCAGGCCCTGCACCTCTACAAACACGTTTGTACAGTTGAGGTTTCAAAGTTCACTTTTTAAAAGTTAGCAGACTTTAAATGTATGTGTGTGTGTGTGTGTCTGTGTGTGGGCGCTTTTGGAGGCCAGAAGATGGCGTTGGATACCCTGCAGCTGGGGTTATAGGTGGTTCTGAGTCAATGTGGAGGATGGGTACCAAACTCAGGTCCTCCCAAAGAACAGCAAGTGCCCTTAACCGCTGAATTATCTTTCCTGATTCAGCAGGCTGCTTCTTAATAAAAGTATACAGTGAAATGTATACCATATGCCCCACCCCACACATGTATAACCTCCATACTTCAGTTACCATCAACAAACTCACCCTGACCCAGCATTACCGCTGACTTCCCTGTTTAATTAGGCTTCCTTCCCTCCTGAAGTTGTGCATGCTAAGTATGGACGAGGCTTAATGGTGTTTATCTGCCTCTGCAGTGCCATACAGAGTAGTTTCACTCCCCAGCTGCTGCACACAGTCCTTATCTCCCAACCTCTGGCGTCTGTGTAATGTCACCCCTAAAGAATGCCATGACATGGGACTCGTGCAGTATACCTTCTTCACCGTGGTGGCTTCACAAGGCTCTCCCTTGGGTTTCCATGGATAGTCCATTCCTTTATAGCATTTGTTAATACTCCCATTATGTGGATGGACCATAGTTTGTTGACCTACTCCCCTCCTCAGGGGCATGTAGGTTACTCTCATGCTTTGGCAACTAAGAATAAAGCCAGGCATCCCTGTGCAAGCTTTTGTGTCGCTGAGTTTAGCTCTTTTGGGCAAATACCAAAGAGCACAGTGTCAAATCTGCTTCCAAGGATTGTCTTTCCACCAGTGAGGTCTGGGGTTCCTGTGCTCCGAATCCTCACAGCACCTGGTGCTATCAGGGTTCTGAACTTGCCCGTTCTGATGGGTGTGTGGTAGGGTTTCCTACACTGATCTGACAACACGGCGTGTGGCGCATTCTCATTGTTTATTCGCCGTCTCTGTGTCTCTTCCTCTTTCTCCTTCTCTCCCTCCTTTTTCCTCCTCTTTCTCCTCCTCCTCCTCATTTCTTCTGCTTTTTGAGACAGGGTTTCTTGTGTAGTCCTGACTCTCCTGGAACTCACTCTATAGACCAGGCTGGCCTTGAACTCACAGAGATCCCTCTGCCTCTGCCTCCAAGTGCTGGGATCAAAAACATGTGCCACCACCACCCAGTTTTCTGACTTCTTTGATAAGTATGGGGCTCTCAGTGTTAACTGAGAGCTTGACTCACCCAGGAGTTTGACCTCTGTTGGTGCCTGTGGGGAGCTGTCTGGATAATATAATTGAGGTGGGACACCCTGCCCACTGTGGTGGCACCCATATGCTGGGCTCCTGGATTGTCAGAGAAGAGGGACTTAGCATGCAGTCAGCACACTATGCTTTCCAATGGGTTACAGTATGACTGCTGCTCTGAGTACCTGCCTGCCACTCCCTGCCATGCTGGGTGAGCCTCCTAAGCTGTGAGCTAAAGCAGACTCTTCCCCTCTTTTTTCTTTCTTCCTTTCTCTTTCTTTCTTTCTTTCTTTCTTTCTTTCTTTCTTTCTTTCTTTCTTTCTTTCTTTCTTTCTTTCTTTCTTGTTTTTTTAGAGACAGGGTTTCTCTGTGGCTTTGGAGGCTGTCCTAGAACTAGCTCTTGTAGACCAGGCTGGCCTCGAACTCACAGAGATCCGCCTACCTCTGCCTCCTGAGTGCTGAGATTAAAGGCATGTGCCACCACCGCCCGACTAACTCTTCCTCTCTTAAATTGCTTTTGTAGATTATTTTACAATGTCTACGGGGGGGGGGACAGAACAACTAAGACAAAAGTGTTTCCATTTTTAAAACTTTGAATAAATCTTTTAATGGACATACCTTTTGCAAGTATTTTACCTCAATCTGTAGCTTGTCATTTCATTATTTTGACAGTGTCTTTGGAAGAACAGATGTTAAAACTGTTAATGACTTTCCACTTCATCTTTGGTCTTTGGTGCCATGTCTAAAAAGTCATTGCCAATCCAGGGGGCATTTGGGAGCTCTGACCTTATCCTCTATGGTTTTAGAGTTTTGCATTTTACATTTAGGATGGTGGCCCATTTATTTTGACTTGGTTTCTGTGACCCCCGCAGTTTTCACCTCTGTTCATTCATGCTGAGCCCCAGCAGCTCATCAGCAATGGAGTAGAGTCTCCAGTGGCACCCCAAAGCTGATGCCTCTGGGATTCTGCTTCAGTGAGTTGATCCCCAATCTCTTCCCACCTTTCCAGTCTGGGGACAGCCACCTGCTCCATGGCTTCAGTCCCCACAGTTCTGAGAAGAGTTGTTGGTGTTTCAGCGTGTTCAGACTTGGACTTGCTAGAGTGGTCACGACTGTGGGTCCCTTACCTGATGGCCTAAAGAGCAGAGTCTGCAGATTAATCTGGTTTCATTTTTATTAGAATCTGAAACCCTTCTGTAATTCTCAAACAGACACACTGACACTGTGGTTCGCTGGTCACTTCGTGGCTCTTCAGGTCCCAGGCAGTCCCCAGGGGTTGTGCACATGTTGTGTTTATCTGTTTCACTTTGTTTGTTTTGTTTTTTTAAGACAGGGTTTTTCTGTGAAGCATTCCTGGCTGTCCTGGAACTCACTCTGTAGACCAGGCTGGTCTGGAACTACTGAGACCCACCTGCCTCTGCCTCCCTAGTGTGTGTGCCTTTCTTAAGGGACACGGGCCACCAGATCTAATGAGAGGGACTCAGACTTGATGGCCCTTGCCCCCTGTTGGAAGTGCAGTTCTGTAGGGTTCTCTGTGGTGCTGGAGGAAAGTTTCCCTGGTGGTGATGGCTGCCTCTTCCTCCTCTCTTCTCCTCTTTTCCCTCTTCATTCTCCTCTTCCTCCTTCCTCCTCATCCTCTCTCCCTTCCTCTTCTTTCCTGCCCATTACTGCCCTTTGCTTTTTTAAGGGTCTTCCTGACCTGGTCCTTGACCTGTCGTGTCCCTTCACCTCCCCAGCTTTCCTGTCACAGCATCCAGCTTTTTGCCAAGTGCCTCTGACCCCTAGGTCCTGACCTCATGATTTGCCTCCAGAGTTTCTCTCTCACCTTAACCTTCCCAGATCAGCTTCTGAGCACTCTCAGTTCCCGTGCCACTCCTCTTGTCTCTTTAATGTCTCTTTAAAATTTCTTTCTTTGGGATAGGGTCCCATTGCCAGGAGACCCAGTGCTTGGGAAGCAGAGGCACAGGCAGGTGACTCTACGTGAGTTCGAGGACAACCTGATCTACAGAGCAAGTTTCAGGACAGTTCAGGGCTACACAGAGAAACCCTGTCTTGAAAAACCAAAAAACGAAAGAGAGAGAGAGAGAGAGAGACAGAGATAGAGACAGAGACAGAGAGACAGAGACAGAGAGAGAGACAGGGACACAGAGACAGAGACACAGAGAAACAGAGACAGACAGAGAGACAAAGAGAGAGAGAGAGAGAGTCTTAACCACATAGCCCTTGTTGAACCAGAACTGACTATGTAAACCAGGTTGACCTCTAACTCACAGAGACCCCTTTTTCTCTGCCTACAGAATGCTGGGACTAAAGGCGTTTATCAACACACCTGGTTCATATTTAAAAATTTTAAATAGCCAAGTAATACGTGCTGTTCTATAATATTCAGACTGTATGCTGTTCTGCAATATTCAGACTGTCTGTATGCTGTTCTGTAATATTCAGGCTGTCTATGGCTGTTCTGTAATATTCAGACTGTCTGTATGCTGTTCTGTAATATTCAGGCTGTCTATGGCTGTTCTGTAATATTCAGACTGTCTGTATGCTGTTCTGTAATATTCAGGCTGTCAGAAAGTGGAAAGTCACTCTTTTCTTGCCAACTTTCCTCCCTAGAAGGAGTCATTGCTATTCCTATGCTGTGGATTCATCTAAAATTTTTATAGGTTATGGGTACTACATTCCTTTAGGTTATTATTTTTTCTGTCTGTTAAAAATATATATAAGCAGGATCATGCTGTAAATACTTTCTTGTGTGTTGTTTTTGCTCTTTTGGTTTTTTGGGGGTACACCATCCAGCTCCCAAATAAATTACACATGGAGGCTTATTCTTTCTTATGAATGCCTGGTCTTAGCTTGTCTTGTTACTTTTCTTTTTCTTTTTTTTTTTCTAGCTTGTCTTGTTTCTAGCCAGCTTTTCTTTTCTTTTTCTTTCTTTCTTTTTTTTTTGAGACAGGATTTCTCTGTTTTTTTTTTTTTTTTTTTTTTTTGGAAGCTGTCCTGGAACTTGCTCTGTAGACCAGGCTGGCCTCGAACTCACAAAGATTCACCTGCCTCTGCCTCCCGAGTGCTGGGGTTAAAGGCTTGTACCACCAACACCCAGCCCTCTAGCCAGCTTTTCTTATCTTAAATTATCCTGACTACTTTTTCGTCTAGGCTCTTATCCCTCTCTTCTGTGAATCTTCCTTTCCTTCTTACTCTGTGGCTGGCTTTGTAGCTGGGTGGCTGGATGACTGAGTGACTGGGTGGCTGGCCCCTGATGTCCTCTTCTCCTTGTTCTCTTTCTCCTTCTCTAACTTATTTCTTCTACTTATCCTCTCTGCCTGCCAGCCCCATCTATCCTGTCTGCTGCCTCACTATTGGCCGTTCAGCTCCTTATTAGACTGTCAAGTGTTTTAGACAGATAAAGAATTACAGCTCCACAGAGTTAAACAAATGCAGCATAAACAAAAGCCACACACCTTAAAGTAATATTCTACCACAATCTCTTAATACCTGTTTTTTAATTAGTTTATCCATTCATTTATTTATTTTTAGAATAAATACCTCTTTTGGGGATTTTTTTAATAGTCAGTACTATTGGCCTACCCATGATTTTAGTGGCCTCATAGTATTCCAAAAGTTGGATGTAGCATAATCAATTTATCCTCTAATGACAAATATCTCAATGGTATCTTTTTAAAAAATTTCGCTTTTTATTTTATATGTATTTTTTAAAAGATGTATTTAGTTATTATGTATACAGTGTTCTGCCTGCATGTATCCCTACAGACCAGAAGAGGGCACAAGATTTCATTACAGATGGTTGTGAGCCACTATGTGGTTGCTGGGAATTGAACTCAGGACCTCTGGAAGAGCAAGTGTTCTTTTTTTTGTTTTTGTTTTTTTTTTGTTTTATTTTGGTTTTTCAAGACAGGGTTTTTCTGTGGCTTTGGAGGCTGTCCTGGAACTAGCTCTTGTAGACCAGGCTGGTCTTGAACTCACAGAGATCTGCCTGCCTCTGCCTCCTAAGTGCTGGGATTAAAGGCATATGCAACTACGTTCTTAACCTTTGAGCCATTGCTCCAGCTTCTCAATGGAATCTTAAAATGTGTTTGTGTGTGTGTGTGTGTGTGTGTGTGTGTGTGTGTGTGTGTGTGAGGCCAGAAAAGCAGACATTACAGGCAGCTGTGAGCTGCTATGTGGATGCTGGGATTTAACTCAGTCCTCTGCAAGAGCTCTTAACTGCTGAGCCATCTCTCCAGCCCCTCTCGGGCATTTGAGCATAGTGAACTTATGCACATTCTCTGTGTGCATATGCTTTAGGGCTTGATCTAGTTTGCTTCGTGTTGCTGTGATACAACACTTAACTTACTTCCTCTTACATCTCACAGTCCATCCCTGGGGAAGCCAAGGCAGGTACTCAGGGCAGGAATCTGGAGGCAGGAGCTGGAGCTGTTTCCTGGTTTGCTCTTCGTGGCTCACTCAGCTGCCTGGCTTACTGTCTGGCTTCCTTCCTTCCTTTCTTTTAAATTTATTTTATATGTATGACTGTTTGCCTGCATGCATGAATGTGTGCCATGTGTACCTGGTGCCATCAGAGGCCAGAAAAAGACACTGGGTCCCTGGAACTGGAATTATGGATGGTTGTGAGCCTCCATGTAGTTGCTGGGAATTGAACCTAGGTCCTCCGAAATCAACAAGTTCTCTAAAGCACTGAGCTATCTCTCCAGACCCTCAGTTTGCTTTTTTTATACAACCCAGAACCACTTACCCAGGGATGGCATTGCCCAACTCAATCATTAATCAGGAAAATGCTCCACAGACATACCCACAGGCCAATATGATGGAAGGTCCCTCTTCCCAGTGGTTCTAGTTTCTTTCAAATTGCTATAAAACTAATCACAGGGTTTATTTGCATTTGTCTGCAGAACACAGCCCTAGAAGTAAATTTTTTCAGTGAGATAAATATAGTCAAATTCTTTCCTAAAAATTAGCTGGGGGGGGGTTGTACATGCATACTTGGCATGGCACACATATGGAGGACAGAGGACAGCTTGTGGGAGTCAGTTCTCTCCTTCCATCACGTGGGTCTTGGGGATCAAACTAAGGTCATCAGGCTTTTGACCGGCACCTTTATATGCTGAGCCCTCTTGCTGGCCCTAATTTTCTTTTTATACAAGTGAAGCCATTCAGCCAGGCGGTGGTGGTGCATGCCTTTAATCCCAGCACAGAGGCAGGCAGATCTGTGAGTTCGAGGCCAGCCTGGTCTACAGAAGCCAGTGCCAGGATAGGCTCCAAAGCTATACAGAGAAATCCTGTCTGGAAAAGCAAACAAACAAACAAAAAAAGAAAAGAAAAGAAGTGAAGCCATTCTTTGTGAACGAGGAGGGGACCACTAACATCCCGGCCCTCCTCTGAGCTGGGATGGGAATAACAATAGAGTACATGGACACTCTTCCTGGAATGATTCTGTGCATGTACATGTTCATGTGTGGAGGGTAGCACTGGTTGTGTGAGCTTTCCAGTCAGACTGCCAGTCTAAAACTCCTGCCAGAATTCTGGCAACATCCAGTAAGAGGCCTGACAGTAATCCACCTACCCAAGGGCATTCACAGGGATCATGAGGTGTAACTCATGCCTGGCCTAGCTGGGTCTTAGAGGAGCACCTGGTCACAGCAGGGATGGTATCTGTGTGTTAGTGCTCATGGAAGACGTCTGTGTAGGTCTGTCTGCTCTTCCCTCTCTGTCCGGCTTGACTGTGAGGTCACTTCTCCCATCCCAGAACCCATCCTGCTGGGCAACACAGCCAGCACTTCCATAGATAACTCTCTCCAAGCACAGCTAGCCCCTTAGCTGCCAGGAAATACATTGTGAGAGCTGCTAGCGTTCACTTTTCTTTCTTTTCCTCTAAGGTGAGGGTGGGGTACATGAGAGATAGAGTGGGCTCTGGTGAGAGGTCAAGGGTACTGATTGATGTTAACCCTAGTAAGTGCCCATGTGACCCCTCTGTGCTGGTGTGTAAAACACACTGAATACTTTCTCTTGGGTCCTTACAGGGACCACTGAAGATAGGTATTATTATTACCTTCTTATAGAAAGTTGCACATGTATACCTGTGGGTTACAGGCAGAGCCCTGCTCTGCACCCTGTGCTCCGCAGAAGGGAGCCTGGAGGACAGCTGAATGCAACGGTGCTGGTATGAGAGATGTATTGATGACATACAAGGGGACCATGTCACTGACACTGATGGCTGAGGTCCCTACTACCCAGTGGGCAGAGACTTGGTACTTGCCAGTAAGGAAAAAAGCTCTAATCCCTGACCCCTGACCCCTGACCCCTTCCCTGGATTTGCATCAATCTCTAATTCCCTGTTTTTTCTTCTTCTTTTGGTTTTTGAAGGCAATTGAGGAATATGAGTTGGAGAAGATGTCTTTAAAAGAGAAAACTCACGGCAGCCTGGGAGACAGAGGCAAAAAATCCTTTCTCAGTCTGAAAAGTGTTTTTGTGGGGTTTGATTATTACTTTTTTAAGTTCAGATTCTTTTTAGTGCTTTTGTTTGGTGGTGCTCGGCATGGATCCCAGAGTCTTGCACATGTCAAGCATACGCTCTGCCACTGGGGTGGACCCCGGTGATTTTTTTAATCATTGAAATGCAGTTGAGTAGTTCTACCTGAGGACAGTTTCTGTCCTCTTCTGTAGTAGCCTTCTATCATACTCTACTTTGGGCAAGGAAGGAGGGAAGGACAGGGTCTCACAGGGCTGTCTACTCCGTGGCACATCACACCACTTTGCTTTGATCCCTGTCCCTTCATAAAGCCCCACCTGGTGGCGCCATCAGATGTATTTGACCCGGGAAAGTCCTGCTGTGGAGAGGAACTTGTCTAGAGCGCAGTGTCTTGTCTTCCCTGCTGCTTCTAAATAGACAGGCCAGGACCTAGCAGCCTGCTTGTCACCAGACAGCCCTCTCCAGCAGCCATAGCTCCCAGTAGCAGGCACACCCACCGCCCCTTACATCTAACGTCTCTCCTCCGTTTTCAGTCAAGCGACCAAAGGAAGAGGCACCGATATCGTGCAAAGGCTCAGAGCTCCGGAATGCCAAGCTGATCCTGACCAAATGGGTAAGAGCCTAGCACCGTGTTGCTTTCCCAGTGGTTTCCACCATGTACAGAACGGGTTTTATTCCTTGGGAAGGAAGACTTGGTGCCTAGATAGTGAGTCACAGAGAAAGTGTGGGGTTCACTTTTTCAAAGATCTGGCAATACTTTAATTCTACAATTGCTCATGTCACTCTTGAAAGGGCAGAGATGAGTCCAGCCTTGGCAATAGGAGTGTTGCAGAGCTCTGTGTCTGTTACTGTTAGATCTGAGGCATCTCTATTAGAAACAGAGTCCTCCAGTTTCACCGTGATGGCGCCACACAACTCCATGTGCCTTCTACACAGGCAGGTCCAATGTCACCTCTCTACTCACCGCCAGACTGGTTATAGAGATCACTGCAGACACGCCAGGAAGCCGAGATGATGGTCCAGGGTCATGCAGCATGTCACAGGAAAGGCCAGCCCCCCTCTAATGCCAGCAAGTCCCAATCTTGTCGAGGTTTACTACCTCAGGCCGGGGTTGTGGCTCAGGGGTAGAGGGCTTGTCTGGCATGCACAAGCCCCAGGTTCTGTCTCCAGCACTGCAATTTATTTTTTATTTCAAAAAGAACCCCCAAAGATGGTTGCTTTAAATATCCAGATCACCTATACCCAAAGCCTTAGGAAAGAATGTGTTATCTTTTTTGAAAAAAAATACATTAATTTTGTGTGTGTGTGTGTGTGTATGTGTGTGGGGAGGGTGCACATGTCATGGCATACATGTGGAGGATGCCTGAGGACAACTTGCAGAAATCCGTTCTGCCTGTGAGTCCCAGGGCTTGAACTCAGGTCATCAGACTTGGCAGCTAGTGTCTTTACTCATGGACCCATCTCGATTACTCCTATTTCCATTATGTTTTTTTTTGGGGGGGGAGTTTCAAGACAGGGTTTCTCTGTGGCTTTGGAGGCTGTCCTGGAACTAGCTTTTGGAAAGCAGGCTGGTCTCGAACTCACAGAGATCCGCCTGCCTCTGCCTCCCAAGTGCTGGGATTAAAGGCATGTGCCACCAACGCCCGGCATTTTTGTAACTTTTAACTTAGTAAATTCCAAAACAGCATGAAGCCTGGTGGTTAAGTCTGTAGTGAAATTGCCTTACACACCATTGATGGTGCCTAAGTGTAAATGCCCTGCCTGAGGTGGAACATTGAGTAAATGGCAGAGTGACCTCTGATTAAGGATCAGCGCAGTCATTCAGAAAGTCACTCTCTCACTGTCCCCTCCCACAGCCACCTTAGAAAAAGTAAACAGCTAGCCCACCCTAGAGCAGCCAGTAGGTGTAGAGGGTGATGGTAACTGGACCCCTTTCCCACTTTTCTACATTTTCCTGCATTTATTTTTTATCAGCTGTCATGTTTGAGTTTGGCTATAAAAATTAATTTAGCCAGGCATTGGTGGTGCACACCTTTAATCCCAGCACTCAGGAGGCAGAGACAGGCAGATCTCTGTGAGTTCAAGGCGAGCCTGGTCTACAGAGTGAATTCCAGGACAGCCTCCAAAACAATACAGAGAAACCCTGTCTCAACCCCCCCCCAAATGAATGATACATATTAAGTACTGCCATATATTGAGACAGTTACATCCTTTGATACAATATTACTGTTTAAGAAAATCATGCAGGTGGGACAGTGGTGGCACAAGACTTTAATCCCAGCACTCAGGAGGCAGAGGCAGGCGGATCTCTGGGTTCCAGGCCAGCCTGGTCTACAGAGTGAGTTCTAGGACAGCTAGGGCTACACAGAGAAAAACTCTGTCTTGAAAATCATGCTAAACAAATGATCCAAAGGGGAGGGGGACCATATACTCTAAGATATTAATGAAAGTAATCAGGGAGAAGTCAATCAAACTATAGCAGCTTAAATGGTAATTTTGAGAGTTTTATATATGTGTGTGTGTGTGTGTGTGTGTGTGTGTGTGTGTGTGTGTGTGTGTGTGTGTACACACACACAGGCCCTGGAGATGTCTGGAGAGTGGTGCCGGGGTCAGGAAGCCCTCGTCTGCTCCCTGTCTGAGTCTGTTGCACTGTCTGTGTATAGAAGGGAAAGGTGTGCTACTGTTTTAAACTGTCAAGAGGATGAACCCTGTTTTCATTGTATGCTTTTTATTTATTTATTTATTTCGCTTCAGAAAACAGCAGATAAGAATCTGCTGGCAGAGCTACACAAACACCCACAGTTTGATGAAACTAAGCCCAACAAGCTTCCCAATGGCGTGGACTTCTGTGACATGGTGGGCAATGTGATCCGGTCTGAGAAAAACCCTCTGAGTGGCAAGGTAAGGAAGAGAGCAGGGGGCCAGCTCTGCCTTAGCTGTGCACACACACATGCGTGTCTAGGTCAGTGGACTCTCTGTGTGAGGGATGGAACCCAGTCATCAGTATTAACAGCAGGGCTTTTCCTTGCCCAGCCATCTTGCCAGCCCTTGAGTATGTTTTAATCACCTGTCCTACTAAGAAACAGCTGGAATAGGTGCCTTCCTAGACATGTGTCCATCTGTGGGCTGTCTGCTGCTCTGTGGCACAGCACTCAGCCTGACTACCGTTACTTTCCAGTCAGAACAATTATGGTGTGGATGTGAGGTATCCCCAACAAGGCTTGTTCCCAAACGTAATGTTCAGAAATAGGGCTTTGGGGAGTTATTGGCTATGAGGGCTCTGCCTTCATCATCAGTGCACTGATGGATTCCTAACTTGATAACATGATGGGGATTGTATCAGTTGCTTTTCTCATCACTGTGACAAAATACCTAAGGGAGACAACTTAGAGGGAAAGAAAAGTGTTTTGGTGTCATCATCGTCCCCCGTCGTCCCCCGTCATCCCCTGCCACCCCCCCACCCCCCCACCCCCGCCAACCCCAGACAGGGTTTCTCTTTCTAACAGCTCTGGTTGTCCTGGAATGAACTCTGTAGACCAGGCTGGCCTGGGACTCAGAGATCTGCTTGCCTCTGCCTCTCAAGTGCTGGGACTACAGATGTGAACCACCACCTGGTGGAAAGAAAGCTTTAGTTGTTTGCTTATTCCTATCTCTGAGGACGCATGGTTTCAGAGGAATTTTTAGTATTTCATGGTGGGATGGCAAGGCCAAATGGATCTGTCTCTGTCTATGGCAGTGGGAAGTGGAGGTTGCTTGTTTACATGGCAGTAGATAGGAAACAGGGCAGAGCCCTAGACTGCAACTAGGACTAGGATAGGCACCTTGAGAGCTGTGCATGCATAGAGCTTTGGAGGGAAGCGTGCCAATGCCCGAAGATGCTATGCATGTGTGAGGCAGTACCAGAGGCCGGTGACGACTGCGTGGAGGTCTGCAGAGGGAAGTCGCTCAGAGTGCTAGGCCTCTTCATCTTTTATGGTTGCGTAGTCTCCGTCCCCCAAACAGCGCTGGTCGTTGGTCACTGGTCCATTAACTCTTAACTAGTCAGCTCAGCCCTGCATTCCTGGGACTCACAGGGCAGCTGTACTCACTGCTGCACCCCCCACCCCAGCCACCGCCCTGTCTCTATTTGTCTCTCTTCTTCCCCTTTTCCTCCCCTTCTCTTCTCCCACTCTTCCTGGCTCCCTCCTGCTGCCTCGCTGTACTGAGTCAGTCCCCACTTAGCGAAATGAAGAATGAAGCTGTATGATACAGTGGCACACACACAGGCATCATTCAGTAACATGTATTAGATGACGGGGCAATATAAGCTAAAATTTCTGTTCTTCTGAGATTGTGAGCAATTGTTTTAATTTTGACTTGCATGTATTTATTACTGATTCAGTAGAATCTTGTGACTCTGCCCTTTGCCTCCGTGTAAATGCCACACAGGTTTGCAACTGTTGCTGTCCAGGGTGAGAGGGAGGGGTACCTGGGTGCCTCCATCTAGAGTTGTGGGTTTCTAGGATGGGCTCTGCCCCTTGCTGGCCTCATTAGTGTGGGTAAGTCTTTTGAACTCTGCAGTCCTCAGTGTCCTGAGCTGTGGGACCTCCATTTCCTAGTGTGTGATGATAATGCGTGCTCAAAGATTCCAGCTAGCTTAAGAGAAAACATAATGTCACTTAGCATAGGGCCATGGAAATCATGCAGACTCCCTGAAAGGTTAGGGGCCTTTTTAGTTTGTTTGTTTTCATTGCTAGGGATTTGGCCCTCAGGAGGCTGAGGCAGGAGAATCACAAGCTCAGGCATGGGTGACATAGTGAGACCCTACCTTGAGCAACAATAGCAGTAATAATAACAATGACCACAATACTAATGCCAATTTCATTTCTTTTCAAGTCTTACTGTTCAGACAGGGAATTAGAGAAGTTTCTATCTTCTCCCTGCCTCAGTGCCATCTGGCTGGACAGCTTTTGGTGGATATTTCATGAACGGTACCAGGTAAATGTGAATCGGTGTCTCCTCCCGCACTTGCTGTCCTAGGGAAAACCAAGATACCAAGTCCTGTCTTTAGTGTGAGCAACAAGTTCCTCTGTTCCCATGAGTCATCTCTGCAGATTCAACCTGTCACCTCCCTACTCAGCCCCACACATGTACCTGAACTTTAGCTGTTACCCAATTCCCTGCAGCTCCAAGCTTCAGCAGACAGCCTCTGCTAAGTAGTGGGTCCCCGACAGGGGTGAGAGGAGAGCTTGGGACCTCCTGGCCCAGACTTAGGAGTTTCCCTTCACTGCCATGTCATACATGCTTCATAGATGTGGGCAACAGACAAGCAGCTCGTTCCTCAAAGCGTATGAAATTAAGTCTCTAGATCAGTGGTTGGCGACCCATGGGTTGTGACCCGTTTAGGGGTCAAATGACCTTTCACTGGGGTTGCATGTCAGATATTTGAGTTACAATTCATAACAGTAGCAAAATTACAGTTATGAAGTAACTACAAAAATAAGTTTATGGCTGGGGGTCACCACAGCAAGAGGAACTGTGTTAAAGGGGTCTCAGTGTTAGGTGAGAAGCGCTGCTCTAGAGAGTAAGACTTCAGACGCGAGAGCAAGGCTTCGCCTGAGTTGCAGACCCATGCCAGCTGTGGTGGTGCGTGTTGAAGGCCAGCCTGGGGTCACCTGGTGAGGCCATGTCTGGTAAAACAAAACCAAAAAGCATGACTTCCCCTTGGAAGCTGCAGCAAGCATGCTGGTGATTCTGTGCCTGTCTCTCACCTGGCAGCCAAACAAGGAGATCCAGAACAAGCTGTTTGATCGAATAGCCCAAAATTACGCCTTCCTGTTGTTCAAAGAGGTCCGGTCCCACTATGAAGAGGCACTCATAAAAGTGAGTGTCACCTTTCTCTTAGAAAACACCTTTGCAGGGCTGGAGAGATGGCTCAGAGGTTAAGAGCACTGACTGCTCTTCCAGGGGTCCTGAGTTCAATTCCTGGCAACCACATGGTGGCTCACAGCCATCTGCAATTCAATCTGATGTCCTCTTTTGGCATGTAGGCAGAACACTGTATATGTAATAAATAAATAAATCTTTAAAAAAAAAAAAGAAAAGAAAACACCTTTGCTGGCAAGAGAATGCCCCAAACAGGCTTTCTTTCTTTCTTTCTTTTTTTTTGTTTTGTTTTTTCGAGACAGGGTTTCTCTGTGGCTTTGGAGGCTATCCTGGAACTCCCTTGGTAGTCCAGGCTGGTCTCGAACTCACAGAGATCCGCCTGCCTCTGCCTCCCGAGTGCTGGGATTAAAGGCGTGCGCCACCAACGCCCGGACTCCCAAACAGGCTTTCTATAATGGAGTAAAAGCACCTGTGCCCTAGCTTATAATGTAGCTATTGCAAAAAAAAAAAATGGCTGGGTCCTACACTCACTGGGGAAGATGCACCAATATGTTTTTAGTTGGGGATGGTGGGGGAGGGAGCAAATTATTGAACTCAGTGTTTTGGTTTTTTTTTAAAAGATTTTATTTATTTATTATACACTCTGCCTCCATGTACACCTACAGGCCAGAAGAGGGCACCAGATCTCAGTACAGATGGCTATGAGCCACCATGTGGTTGCTGGGAATTGAACTCAGGACCTCTGGAAGAGCAGTCAGTGCTCTTAACCTCTGAACCACCTCTCTAGCCCTGAACTCAGTGTTTTATTTTATTTATTTATTTATTTTGTTTTTCGAGACAGAGTTTCTCTGTATTGTTTTGGAGCCTCTCCTGGAACTCACTCTGTAGACCAGGCTTGGTCTCGAACTCACAGAGATCCACCTGCCTCTGCCTCCTGAGTCCTGGGATTAAAGGCGTGTGCCACCACCGCCTGGAACTCAGTGTTTTAAAACTATGTGTATATAGCAATCACACATGTTATAACAAACAATTCAAGCCAGGCGTTGGTGGCACACACCTTTAATCCTAGCACTTGGGAGGCAAAGGCAGGTGGATCTTTGTGAGTTCAAGGCCAACCTGGTCTACTGAGTGAGTTCCATGACAGCTCCCAAAGCTACATAGAAACCTGTCTGGAAAAAAACCAATTCAGTTCATGATCAATTGCATCTCTGGCAGTGGTCCCATGAGATTATATCACATATATCTAGGTGGCAAGCCGCTATAGTTTGTGTGAGTACAGTCTGTGATGTTTACTTACATGCTGGTGAAATCACTTATTGATGCAGTTCTCAATGTATTCTCACCATTATATGATAACACAACTCTGTATATATGCACACACATGCACACCCAAGAATAGAAAAAAATCTGGAAAATATTTGCCAAGTTCTTAGCAGTGGTTATCTCTAAGGAGTGAGGTACTAAGAGCTTTCACTTTTCTGTCTTTTTAAGAATTAAAATCTTTTTATCTTATGTGTGTGCTATGTGTCTGTCTGTACCATGTGCACATAGTGCCAGCAACAGTCAGAAGAGGCCTTGGACCCCTGGAACAGGAGTTACAGCTGTCTGTGAGCTGCCATGTGGGTGCTGGCGGTTGAACTGGGGTCCTCTGGAGGGACAGCCAGTGCTCTTAACCACTCCACCATTCTTTTTGTTTGTTTGTTTTTCAAGACAGGGTTTCTCTGTATTGTTTTGGAGGCTGTCCTGGAACTCACAGAGATCCGCCTTCTTCTGCCTCTGCTGGGGTTAAAGGCGTGCGCCACCAATGCCAGGCCCACCATTTTCCATCCTGTTTGCTACTCTGTTTCATGTTTCTGTAGTATTTAAATAAGCTTGTAATGTTAGAAAGAGAAGTGTAAACACCTGTGTACCTTTTGTGTGTATGTGTATATGAACTAAAGAGATTGTTAGAAGAAAATGTGTCCAAATTTAGATAATTTGCAGGTGAGGAAGGACAGTGTAAACATGACTCAGGAGAAGCAGCCATAAAGCAAAGACTGATAGATTGAACTATGTAGCCACACCATATGTGTGTGTATGATTATATATTTGCATATATGTGTATATATATATTTTGTGAGACAAAGTCTCACTCTAACCAAGTCTAGCTTCAAACTGACTATGTAGTCTCGAATAGCCTTAAATTCTCCATCCTTCTGCCTCAATCTCCAAGTGATAGGATTACAAACCTTTGTAACTGTCGCTATCCATTGACTATATAGTTTTTTTGAACTGCTACACAAAAAATTAAGATGTAAATAACAAACTATGCAAAAATACTGGTGGCATTTTTTTAGATTTGTTTTTTAATGTGTATGAGTGTTTTACCTACATGTATGTGCACCATGTTCATGCCCGGTACATGTGGAGGTCTGAAGAAGAAACTGGATCTTCTAGAGCTAAAGTTGCAGATGGCTGTGAGTAGCCTTGTGGGTTCCAGGAGTTGAAACTGGGTCTCCTGCAAGAGTAGCTAATGCTCTTAATCAGTGAGCCATCTCTCCAGCTCCTGGAGGCATATATGCTACACAACATAAAGAACTCTTGCAAATGAGTAAGAAAAATTCAACATCTTGGCACTGGAGAGATGGCTCAGCAGTTAACAGCTCTTGTTCTTACAAAAGACATGGGTTTATTTCCCAGAACCCATATGGTAGCTTACAACCACCTTTAATTACAGTTCCAAGGAATCCTATATATTTTCCTGACCTCTGCAGGCACCTAGCATGCATGTGCTACATGGACATATATGCAGGCAAAACACTCAAGTCTAAGACAATTTTAAAAAAATGAGACGTCGCATAGATCCATGGATAAAGTACATACGTGAGAAATTCACCAAAGAAGAAGTATGGATAGGAGAAAAATTTAGTCACAAAACAAAACAGAAATCAAAATAATAATTGAATACCCTTGGAGCTGGGAATGTATTCCGGGAACAGATGTGAGGTCCTAGGTTTAGTCTCCAACATCACACAGAGAAGAGGAGAGGAGAAGATCCCCTTTAAGCTTGTTTAGTGGTTCACACCTGTAATTCCAGCATTCAGGTGGATGAGAGAGGATTTTCATAAGTTCTTAGACTGCATAGTAAGACCTTGTCTCAAACAAAGCTGAATTGATCCCATTTAGGGGAGATAGTAATAGGAAAATGTGTGTGTGTGTTGGTGTATGTAGCTCCGTGTCTTGCTATTTCCTTGGCTGTGCTCTGGGTAGAGTTCAGAAGCACTGAGAACACTGAGGAGGCGTGCCGGGAAAATTGGACGTTGCTGACTGAACAGAGCCTGGCTTCTAAGGAGTATCCTCAGTGATACCCAGAGATGGGGAGGCTACCCAAGGAGGAAAGGAAGGTAGCCTGGTTTGGGGAAGGAATTTGGTCCCAGGTTCTTGGGTCAGCCAGGTCTGTTTTCTGAGGGCAGAGCCACAGGGATTGATGCTGAGCTCTGCTTCCTCCCAGAGGCTCCCGTCGCTTCTGAGCAAAGCCCTGTACACCAGCTTCTGCTGCTGCTTCCCCCAGTCTTGGTTCAACACCCACGAATTCAAGTCGGAAATTTGCAACACCATGAACCTGTGGATCTCAGGTGAGAGGGCAGAGGATTCCTACCAACTAGAGGAGGAAGTTGGTGCAAACTATTTTCCAGCAGAGGCTGGGTGTGTTTTTCGACTGCCTAACACTTTGCATCAAGACAGCTTCGCTGTTCTCTCCTTAACCGTGAAGAGTCTGAGTTTGGTATTGCATGCCTGCATCCCTCGCAGGATTTTGTGAGTTCAAGGCCAGTCTGAACTCATGGCAAGACCCTGTCTTAAAAACCTCCATGAATGCCAGGCAGTAGTGGTACACATTTAATCCCAGCACTCAGGAGGCAGAGACAGGTGGATTTTTGTGAGTTCAAGGCCATCCTGGTCTACCTGGTCCAGGACAGGCTCCAAAGCTATAAAGAAAGCCAGATCTGGGCATGGTGGTTCACACTTACAGTCCTGGCACTGAGGAGAAAGAAGCAGGAAGATTGCTATGAGTTCGGGCCAGCCTGGGCTACATGGCAAGTATCAGGCCAACCAGAGTTACTTAGACCCATCTCAAAACACCAGAGAGAAAGAAAGAGAAGGAAGGAGCAAGGGAGGGAGAGAGGATGAGAATGAGAGAGAATTGAGCTGCAGTCCCTTTCCTTTTAGACAGTTCTGAGACATGGCTGCCTGATCTGAGCCTGTGCCTCACCACAACCACAGGGAGCAGGCAGCAAGTCCCAGCTCAGCCCTGCTGTTACCCACGTGCCATGGACCCCAGAGTAGCATGGCCCATGTGGCCACCACAGCCCACGTCAGCATACACTGAGACACTTCCACATCGGCTTTCCCAGATGTCTCCGATCCTTTCCCTGACTTCCCTATCTTGGCTTAGAACCTTCCTGAGGTCATTGAATGATGCTATTTATGAGAATTTTTGTTGGTTAGATTGTGCGAAACAGGCAACTTTGACAGTTTATGTCAGAAGCAAGAAGGTAACAAGGTCACTTCCTCATGAGCTTTGTCACCATGGCGAAGCCGTACAGCGGCCAGTAGGAAATATGGCTGGATCATAGAGGAGGAGGGGCACGCTTTGGAGGATCCCTATGCAGGCTGCCTAGTGCCTATGTGACAAGGGTGTCACACAGCCCATTTATCTACCTGCCAGGGAGATGTAGCTACTAGTGTGTGGTGTCTCTGCCCAGGAGAAGCACAGCAGAGATTCAGTGGCCAAGGTTCCCATTCAGGCTCATCATGGAGACACCTCTATCTATCTGTTAGCTCAGTTCTGGAAGGCTGGCATTTAGATATGCCACAATGTATATTGACAGCCCAGGGACAATAGCTCACTCATTAAAAGAAGTTTTGTGTCAGTGTAAGAAACTATTTGCCAGCCGGGCGGTGGTGGTGCATGCCTTTAATCCCAGCACTCGGGAGGCAGAGGCAGGCGGATCTCTGTGAGTTCGAGGCCTGGCTGGACCGACAGCCTCCAAAACAATACTGAGAAACCCTGTCTCGTAAAACCAAAAAAAAAAAAAAGAAGCTATTTGCCAACTGTGTTCCCAGATTCCAGCCAAGGCCTAGCCTTGCAGGCCTTTCCAAGACCAGCAGCCTTGGGCCTGCTTTGTGAGCTCTTCACTCACACCTTTTTAGCCCTCTGAACCCGAAGGGTTAAAAAAGTTCAAGAGCAGTGTCACGTTTTAGACCCAAGGTTGTTCCACTCCAAAGCTAGGTCTTGGGACACTGTGGCAACCTGTCATTTCCTGCTGCCCCTTTTCTCTGGTCTTGGTTTTGCCTCGCTAATCACTAGCAACAAACCTCCCGTGTAGTCCTATTGCCGAGTGGAAGCAGCAGCATTGCACAGTGGCTCAGATTTCTCCGGTGACCCTTGGAAGCATCATTTCTGGTGCTACTCTTAGCCCTGAGAGTGTGTTGAAGAAACCTTTGCTGAGCACTTACTGCTGCCAGGTCCAGCAGGAGGCTCTGGGAACACAGACATGACTGCCCTAGCCCCGCCCCTGGGGAAGGGAGCTCATTTTCCAGCAGGTAGGACACTGGGCAGCTGCATCATCTTCATTAGCACTTGTCATGGAGTCACACCCACGCTCCAGAGGATGGCAGGGCAAGTAGCGTTGTCCCCATTCTTTAGGTGAAGAAATCCTCTAGAGGGGGAAGTGACAAGGCCAGGACAATGCTGGTAGCAGATCCCTGGTTCCCTGTAACCAGTAGGAGGCGCAAGACCTCTGTTTCCCTTTGTCCTACTCCATTCTCTTGGCTTCTTTTAGGGACATACCCCTGCCCACAGAGCTATGACAGTTGGGACTACTCAGAGCTGGATCCAGAGAGATCCCGGAGAGAAGAATTAATGTTGCAGAGCAGTCGACTTTTAAGGGGTAAGTTCCCTGCCTTGGCCATCTCTTCTGCCCCCTTCCACAACCCAGCTACCATGTAACTGAGGCAGAGTAACCAGGGCATTGATGTCCCCACCAGGTTCTCACTCATAGACTTCCAAACTGGCCATCAAATGAATAAAATACCAGTGTTTATGAATATGGGGAGTAGAATTTTACATTTGGTAGAAAGGCTGGGGACACCCAGTTCTGACACAGGGATTGCCTAGTAGGTACAAGACCATGAGTTCCATCCACAGATCTATAAGCAAACAGGCAAATCTACCCTCTTGTCTGTCTATTCTCACATACTGTATCAGGTACGTGTGTTTTATTATTATCTATGAAGCCTTGTGTTTTATACTCTAACCATTCTGTACATCCTAGTATCATCTATGAGACCTGCGTGTTCTATACTCTATCCAATCATGTCTTGGTGGCACACACCTCTAGTATAATCACTTAGGAGACTGAGACAGGAGGCTTTTCTTGAATTTGAAACTAGCCTGGTCTACTACAGAACAGAAAATTCTACTTCCCACATGTCCACTGGGAGTACTCTAATAGTTCACTTTGGTGGCTAGTTGAAGAGTCTGTGACAATTATGTCATGTCATGTCAAGAGCTCTGTGAGCCAACCCCTGGGCTGAGAGAATCACTGGGCATTTGAGCCTTGCCTCTCCTCCCTATCCAGGGGCAATGGGAGGTACTCCAACCACAGCATGTGGATTGCACCGCCCTGGGTGGAGACAGGGGACAGAGGCTACATGGAGCAGTGCCAGGACAGCCCTAACACTGGCAGGGTGGAGCATCCACACTGAGATTTGAAAGTAAATGTTTCAAGCAGGTAGAGGGAAACCCAGTGGTGTAGAAGCTATGGTTAAGTCATTGGACTCATAGCTGAGCAAGACCCCCACCACCTGTAGCCACAGTGATGCTGAAGCCTCATGTTGGGGTTCCAAGTAAGAGCCTGGCTGCACCCCTTTTCAGAGAGCAGGCTGCAGTGTCAATCTGGAACTTGTAATAGCCACCCCCCTTTCCAGAACCAGACCCTGTCACTGTCACTGTCCTAAGCAAACAGACATGCTGTTCTCAGCCAGCAGGTACAGACAGGGTTTCTCTGTGTAGCCCTGGCTAGCCTGGGACTCACTCTGTAGATCAGGGCTTTTTTTTTTCAGAGGAAAGGGAAAAAATGAAAAAGGCCAATCCTTAAATTATCTTTATTCCTGCCTCCAATGATTAGCTATGCCCAGTATTTTTTGTTTTGATGCATTGAAAGTTTAACAACTTGTCATATTAATAGTTTTTCTTAGTTTTTGGTGGTTTCAGGCCTCAAACCCAGAGCCTTAGCACATTCTAACACTAAACTCTAACCCTGCAATACCTCAGCCCTAGATTTTTTTTCTACTTTTGTCGTTGTCTTAAATATTTTTCTGTTAAATTGTTTTTAGATTTAATGTGTATGAGTGTTTTGCCTGCATGTATGTCTATGTGCCACATGTGTATGCTTGATGCCCACAGAGGTCTGAAGAGGGCGTTGGATTCCCAGAAACTGGAGTGACATATGTTTGTGGCCACTGTGGATGCTGAGAATTGAACCCAGGTCCTCTGGAAGATCAGAATGTGCTCTAACCACTGAAAAATCTCTCCAGCCCTGGGTTTTCCTTTTCAAACTTAACCCAGCCAGGACTGTGGGAATGCAGCTTCTAATCCCAGCTCTTGGGAAGCTGAGGCAAGAGCACTGCAAATTAAAGGCCAACATGGTCTCTACAGAGTTCAAGGCCAGGGCTAGACAGTAAGACAGTGTTTCAAAAGCAAGCAAACAAGACAAGTTTAAGAGGAGTCAGAAGGCCAGGTGTGGTGGCACACACCTTAAATTCCAGCACTTGCAGGCAGAGGCAGGTGGGTCTTTGTGAGCGTGAGTCTAGCCAGAGTTACACAGTAGAGAGACCCTGTCTCCAGCAGGACAAGTCGGGACTACACAGAGAAATGCTGTCTGAAAAACAAAAGAACACTGTGTCTGGTACTTGGCTCAGTTTTGTAGAATTCCAGGTTGTTAGTCTGTGTACAAAGCAGTGACTTTGTTTTGTTTTCCTGTGCGCTGTGCCCTGCACATGTGGCCTTGTAGACATTATTCTTTGCTTGCTTGTCAGCTCTGCCTCCATGAACAGGGGCCCGTTCTCGCCTGGGGCCAGCTCTGTTTCTGGTTTGGCTCTTGTCAGTGCTTCTACAAGCTCACGTGCAGTGGCCAGATGCCACAGAGCAACTTTTCTCTCTCGTAGGAAGAGAGTTCACCCTCTTCACTTGTAAGAAAACCTCCCTCCAGAAGGTGGACAAAAATAAGAAATTCCATCCCTTTCAGGTAAGTGGAGAGCATAGACCTGGGCCCTGAACTCCACAGAGTCCTGAAGCTGCTGCAACTGTGGGTTTCCTGGAGAACTGTTGGCCTTAGTGAAAGGCACAGCCCTGCCCTCAGATTATGCACATATGAGAGGAACATGGGGACAGACACAGGAACATGGGGACAGACACAGGAACATGAGAGGAACACGGAGACAGCCACAGGAACATGGGGACAGACACAGGAACATGAGAGGAACATGGGCACAGCCACAGGAACATGGGGACACACACAGGAACATGAGAGGAACATGGAGACAGACACAGGAACATGAGAGGAACATGGGGACAGACACAGGAACATGAGAGGAACACGGAAACAGACACAGGAACATGGGGACAGACACAGGAGCATGAGAGGAACATGGGGACAGACACAGGAACATGAGAGGAACATGGAGACAGACACAGGAACATGGAGACAGACACAGGAACATGAGAGGAACATGGAGACAGACACAGGAACATGAGAGGAACATGGGCACAGACACAGGAACATGAGAGGAACATGGGCACAGCCACAGGAACATGGAGACAGACACAGGAACATGAGAGGAACATGGGCACAGCCACAGGAACATGGAGACAGACACAGGAACATGAGAGGAACACAGAGACAGACACAGGAACATGGGGACAGACACAGGAACATGAGAGGAACATGGAGACAGACACAGGAACATGGAGACAGACACAGGAACATGAGAGGAACATGGGGACAGACACAGGAACATGAGAGGAACAGACCCAGCCTTTGAGTCCAGGCTGAGTCCCAGATGGCACAGGCTCGTGGCTTCAGGCTCACAGTTGGGTCTCAGTCCTTCTGTCTCTCTCTGAGTCTCCTCCCACCCTGCTTTTCTCCCCATCCCCCACCCCCTCCTGAGAGTGCAATCCAGACCCTGCTAGGTTCTACTACTGCACCACAGGCGCAGCGTACCGTGGCTGATGATCCCCATCACTCATACACAGAGCTGGTTTTCTTGGTCCCATCTAGCGGATGCTCCTGATGAAGCAAGCCAAATCCCCTTTCTTTCTGAGCATTCATGTGGTCTGCTCATCACTCTGACCATGGCCATGTCCACACTGATCTTGGAGCCCTAGGTCAACATGTCTTTTTCTGATGTCTGAGAACCCATACTTGACACCACATGAGGCCTGAAGCTATGTTAGATGCAGTGTATTTACCCAGGAGCATTCAGTATGGAGAGGTTGGGCTTCAGCAACCCAGTCCATGCCCTGTGTGCCTCTTGTAACAGTCTCCAGTCCATGCCCTGTGTGCCTCTTGTAACAGTAACAGTCTCCAGTCCATGCCCTGTGTGCCTCTTGTAACAGTAACAGTCTCCAGTCCATGCCCTGTTTGCCTCTTGTAACAGTCTCCAGTCCATGCCCTGTGTGCCTCTTGTAACAGTAACAGTCTCCAGTCCATGCCCTGTGTGCCTCTTGTAACAGTAACAGTCTCCAGTCCATGCCCTGTGTGCCTCTTGTAACAGTCTCCATTTCCACTGAGGTTTTTTTTTTTGCTGGTTGGAGTTCTCCCCCTGCTGGTATGTCAACTCTGAGGGAGGGATTGTCTCCTGCCACAGTCTGAACCCCTTCATCTTCCAAGGTAAAGCACCAAGAAGGCACTCCGTATGGTATTGGGACTTCATGATGGTTACCCTTTGTGAGCTCTGGGCCCTGTGCTTAGCATGGAATGGAGCTGTATAAATATCCCTTCTGTCCCAAGCACAGACAGAATGGCCATTGCTGAGGCCAGCTGTTCCTCAGAGATCAGCATCAAAACGTCACTCAGTGTTCAGACACTGCAAGTCACAATGCTCAGAACAAGCAGGTTTCTGTGTACTGCAACACAGTCCTTCTGGCATTCATTGCAAAAATCCAGCTAAGAGATCCCTCCTTCTATCCTGGAAACAAATAATAAGAAACGGGAGCCTGGGAAGCAGCTGAAATATGAATGGCAAACTAGGACAGAGGGAGTATTTAGACGCGCTGACGACAGAGCTCCTTAGCATGAGCAGACAGTTCCCCATCTACTCAGTGAGTGTAGCTGGCTGCATTCAAAACATGTATCTTGGGGCTGGAGAGCTGGCTCAGCGGTTAAGAGCAGTGGCTGCTCTTCCATAGGACCTGGGTTCAGTTCCCCGTTCCCTGTCTGTAACTCCAGTTCCAGGGAATCTGGCATCTTTACACCAATGAACAGAAAATAATATAAAATAACGTATTTTAAAAAAGCATGCATGCCGGGCGTTGGTGGCCCACGCCTTTAATCCCAGCACTCGGGAGGCAGAGGCAGGCGGATCTCTGTGAGTTCCATGCCAGCCTGGTCTACAGAGCTAGTTCCAGGACAGCCTCCAAAAAACAACGCAGAGAAACCCTGTCTCGAAAGAAAAAAAAAAGCATGCATCTTAGGGGCAGCAGACTATCTGAGAGTCCAGAACCCAGGCCACCAAGCCGTGATTTCTCCATCTGTCTTGTGCTCACACATTGAGGACCTGTAATAGATCCATCTCTTCTGTGACTCAGTTGTAAATCAGAGCTCCCAGAAACCTGTCAAAGACTTGGTCAGGTCCTCCGTTCCTTTAATGAGCTTTTTTTAAAAAAAGAGTTATTTATTTTATGTATATGAGGTCTCTGTCTGTATGCATACCTTTCTACCAGAAGAGGGCACCAGATCCCACTATAGACGGTTGTGAGCCACCATGTGGTTGCTAGAAATTAAACTCAGGACCTCTAGAAGAGCAGCCAGTGTTCTTAACGGCTGAGCCATCTCTCCAGCCCTCTTTAATGAGTTTTAAAGAAGATGGTGGAAGGCAGCCTCTATAAAGAGGAATTTGAGTTGGAAAAATGGCGCTTTGTTGATAAAAGCATGAAGACCCAAGTTCAATCCCCAGAACCCATGTAAAAAAGACTGGAGCTCTGGCTGCCATCTTGGTCCCTGAGGATAGTGTCTTCAGAATGAAACCTGAAAATGGGGGAAGTCAGGAATCCTGAGCCTTAGCATGGCTGCGTGGGAGAGCAGGTTCTAGCTTGAGCCACTGTAAAGAAAGTGCCCCACACGTCGGGTGTTGGTGGGGCATGCCCTTCTCTGTGAGTTCGAGGCCAGCCTGGTGGTCTACAGAGCGAGTTCCAGGACAGGTTACGAAACAATACAGAGAAACCCTGTCTCAAAAAACCAAAGAAAGAAAGTGTTCCGCTAATAGTCTGGGAGGGCTTCAGGACAGGGACTGGGTTTCAGTGATTGACAAGTTACAGATACCACAGTAGTTGCTAAAAAAAAAAAAAAAAAACATTGATGGAGGCCATGCACTGCCAGACTGCTTAGAAATGACCAAAGTGAGCCGGGCTTTTCCAGGACAGCCTCCAAAACAAGAGAAACCCTGTCTCGAGAGAAAAAAAAGTGAGAAAGGACCGCAGTGGGCTTGGAGCCGTTTCTGTGAGAAAGGACCGCAGTGGGCTTGGAGCCGTTTCTGTGAGAAAGGACCGCAGTGGGCTTGGAGCTGTTTCTGGGAGCCGCGGTGCACAAGCATGTGGCAGGTTGGCTTCGTTTTAAGGAACCCCAGGGAGCAAAGAAGTTCACTGTCCCAGGTCCCTCGCAGCTGAGTGACACCCACTGTTGCTTGGCCCCCACTCCCCTCCTCCCTTGTGTTTCCCCTCTGATCCCATTCTCTCTGCCACGGTTTGGAAACTATCAGGCTGGGCAGAAAGCTCTCCTCACGAAGTTCCTTTCCTGAGAGCGGTGAGGGACAGCTAAAGGGCGAGCATTTCTCTCACGCCAGTTTTGCTGGCTTTATTATTTTTAATTTTATTATATGTTATATATTTTTATTTTATTTTTAAAGTGAAAGCATTTCTCTCATGCCAGTTTTGCTGACTTTATTATTTTTTTAATGCTCCCCTGAAGTCTTCTGGTTTATATGCAGTCCACGAGAGAGGCTTTTCAAGGAGGCTGACCCCAGAGGATAGCTCACGATGCCACCACACCATGAAAGGTAAGCAGGCTGCTATGGAGGGCAGCGCCATCTGGCTTCTGAGTCATTACCCCTGAAGCCCTGCTGCATGGACCCATCCGAACAGACTTGCTTTTCCCTTGGGTTTGACCTGGACCTGGGCACCAAGCAATGGCTAGGAGAGGGGGCATTATTATGTCAGATACACAAGCTCCTCAAGTGCACAAGACATTCCGTGTGACAAAGAGCCCTCTGCTCCCAACCCCGTTCATTACCACATCACAGGATGCAGTTCCACACGTCCTTAGCAGCCCGAGGAGTTTCCTAGGGGTTTGGGGACCGTTACTCAGTCTAAATTAGAACTCATGGCTTCAGTGCTGAAAAGAATTCAAGGCCCATCACTATAGCAAAGCAGAGGTAGAGAGTTTATTAAAACACACACACACACAATCATGACATGGGGACTTCTGATTAGTTTTGAATGCTCCACGTAACTGAGGCTATTCCTGGCCAGCTCTTTTAGCTCAAGTGAATCTGTTTCTCTTTATCCACCTTTCAGGGCTTTTTACCTTTCTTCCCTCGGTGTATCTCCCTTTCCCTGCGTCCCACGTCTGGCTGGCGGCTGCCTGTCTTCTGGCCCCCAGACTGTCCCTGTCTTTTTCCCGTGTTCTCTTCTCCTAAGCCTGGATTTCTCCTCCTGTTTATTCTCTCTACCCACCAGTCCTGCCTGTCCCTCTTGTACCTAGCTATATTCCATTCCGCTTTTTATTAGACCAATCAGGCAGCAAGGTGAAACAAATGCATCACAACCCCTCTTTACATAATTAAACACACATCCTTACATCAGTAAACAAATGCAGCATAAGCAAATGCAACACGCTTTTACACAGTTAAAGTAGTGTTCCGCAGTATAAACATGGGTAGCACATCTTTACATAGTTAATATTCCACAACAAAGTGTTACCTATTGTTTATACAATAATGATATATTAGATTTTTTGGTGGGGTTTAAAGTTACTGTCTCACCACTGGATGGTCGGTCCTATGGGGACTCAGGAGTACAACTGATAAAATGAAAGTCTAGCCCATCTGGAATAAGAAGGTAGGTTTTTTTCTTTTATCTTTCCTTGTTGTGTAGACTAGGATGACCTCAAACTCATGGAGTTCAGTTTATTCTGCCATCCAAGTGCTGGGATTAAAGTCATGTGCCATCCTTAGTAAGGATGTGTTCACTGTAAGTCAAGTTGAGTTTCGGCAAGATTCCATGCCATATCTAGAGAAGGAATGAGGCCCTACCCATGCTCACACATTCAGGCCTTCACTGCTGTTTGAACACAAAGTGCCTTCGTGCAAAGGGCATTAACTGTGACCAGCGTTTCCCACAGATGTGGTTGCTTGTGCTGGATTTCTTGCTCCTTAACTGGCAAGATGTCAATCAGACTCTAGGGTATTTGGGCTCCCCAACACCCCCTTTTGATTTTAGAAATGGGATCTCTTTGTGTAGCCCTGGCTGGCCTCAGACTCACAGAGATCCGCCCCCTCTGCCTCTGGGATTGAAGACATGCTCCGCCACCACCCAGCTTCCCCGCCCTTCTCATGTCCCTGTAGTTTGTCTTTCTATCCTACCTCAACTTTACAGCTTTGAAATTTTTCTCCTATTATTTTATGAGTGTGTGTGTGTTTGTAGCATAATATATAAAGGACCCAGAGACAGATATTGAGGCTCAAGCTTCGAGCTGAAGATCAGAGAAGCAAAGCAGCCAGCCAGCTCTTACCTCTCCCTTAGCTCAGACCAAAGGGGCGCTCCTCAGACTGCTCCCGACTTCACTGCTCCTCGGATTCACTCAGACTGCTATGCTCTCTCCTCATCACTAGAGACTGACTCTCAGACTGAATGCCTCTGCCTTTTCTACTTCTCAAATCCTAGGATTAAAGGTGTGAGCTCTGATTCACTCCCCAGTAGCCCAGGGTGATCTTGGACTCAGAGATCCATCTGCCTTTCTCCTGAGTCCTGGGATTAAAGGTGTGTACCTCCACTGCCTGATCTCTATAGCTTGAGGCTATATGTGTGGGTGCCTGGTGCCCAGAGAAGCCAGAAGAGGATATTGGATCCCCTGGAGCTAGAATTACAGGCGGCTCTGGGCTGCCACTGTGGGTGCTTGGAACCAAACCCAGGTCCTCTGCAAGGGCAGTATCTGAATCATCACTACAGCCCTGGATTTATTTTTATATTTATTCAAATTATGCGCATGTGTACATTTTTTGAAAGTGTATGCCATAGGTGTTGTTTGGATGCCCTTGGGATCCAGAAGAGGGCACTGAATTCTCTGAAGCTGGGGTTAAACGCCATTGGCGAGCTGCCTAATGTGGATGCTGGGAATTGAAGAGCAACATAAGTTCTTAACCTATGAGCCATCTCTCCAGACCAAGACATTTCCTTCCTTCCTGCTGCTGGGGGCTGAGCCCACCTTAGTCAAGCTGTCTACCACTGAGCTACAACCCCACCCTAGACTAATGACACTTTTTCTCTTGGTGTGTTGGTGATTTGGTACCACTGTTCTCTGCCTTCCAGTGCTACCATGGAGAGCTCTGCAGCCATGCTGGTGCTCTGTTTTCAGGCTGTTGTGTTTTTGCTTGTCTTCGAGCCATTCTCTGCTAACCTCCTACGGGGAACCTCAGTTTTGTATAGAAGCTGGATTGTTTTTTGTCTTGTAGCCACAATACCCATTCTGTTGCTGCTTATCATTTTAATAAAGCTTGGGTCTTTCCTTATCCTATGACCCCACCCTCTTTCTTTCTTTTTAATTTATTTATTTGGTTTTTCGAGACAGGATTTCTCTGTGGCTTTGGAGCCTGACTTGGAACTCACTCTGTAGACCAGGCTGGCCTCGAACTCACAGAGGTCTGACTGCTCTACCTTCCAAGTGCTGGGACTAAAGGCGTGCGCCACCACCTTTCAGCTCATCCACACAGTCTATAGATACTTTATCATGGCACTTGAGTTAGTGTGACACTTATTATTTACGTGTCTGCTTTCTGCTCAGTATATTAGGAGATCCTTGAAGATAATCTGTTTCTAGCACCCAGCATGAACCTGGTATGGAGTAGATGTTCGTGATTATTTGGGCATAGAACAAGGATGGACAAACAGATGGACCAACATAGCCTATAGCTGTTTGTCTGGCTATCAAGCAAGTAGAGTCATCTGGCTCCCCTGTAACTCCAGAGGGCTAACATCTTGCACCAATCCCAACACACTAGGGCATTCTCACTCTAGCAGGAAGCTGAGACACACCTGGGCAACTGCCCACAATCACCCTTTCGCTGTATCCCATTGACAGATCATCCTGTGTCAACCGTGTTCTCCAGGAAAGCCACCCTGCAAGTCAAGAGGATATCGGAAGCCAGAGCATGCCTGAGTTTGTTTCTGAAAAAGGTGAGCTTAATGTGTGTGCATGCTTGTGATTGTATATGTATATGAGTGTGTGTGGGTGTGTAAGTGCTTGTGAGTGTGTGTGCATGTGAGTGCAGGTATCCTTAGAGGCCAGAAAAAGATGTCCGATCCCCTGGAACTGGAGTTATAGGCTGTTGTGAGTCATCTGACTTGGTCACTGGAAACCATACTTGTATCCTCTGGAAGAGCAGCAAACATTTTTTTAAAAGATTTATTATGTATACAGTGTTCTGTCTGCATGTATGCCTGCAGGCCAGAAGAGGGCACCAGATTTCATTATAGATGGTTGTGAGCCACTATGTGGGTGCTGGGAATTGAATTCAGGACCTCTGGAAGAGCAGCCTCTTACCCTCTGAGCCATTTCTCCAGCCTGCAGCAAACATTCTTAACTACTTAGTGTCTCCAACTTAAGAGCAAAGGTGATTTAAAGGAGACATGGCCAAAGAATCTTCATCTCATGCAGGTGTCACGTAAGAGCAGGGGTGTTTCTGATTATCACTCATATGATGCCAGCAGATCTCTTAAGGATGATTTCTGGGTTATTTAAATTCCCAGGCTGGAGCCAGGTGTGGAGCTCACACCTGTAATCCCAGCACTTAGTAGGCTGACTTGGGGGCATTGCTAAGCATTCCAACCAGCCTCAGCTACATAGCGAGTTCTAGGCTATCCTGGGCTACAGAGTCAGACCTTGTTCTCTGAAGATGTAAATAATATTTCTTCCTATTTTAAATTCAGACCTTCATGTGTATCAGGAAGAGAGCTGTGAGCCTGTTTCCTTCTCTGTTATAGAAATAAATATAAATAAATATACCTTCTCAGTGGCTTCAGATCTCTGTGCCACCCCTCACCACCCTGTCCAAGCTTCATGTCAGTGACCTTTGTCTGGAAAACAGAAAACCAGCTTGGACCATCTTTGGTCCCTGGTGCTAACAGCTGTTGGATCTGCTCCACAGACGGAAAGAAAGGAGCGGAACACTTATGTCCTGATCTGTGGTTTAGTCTGGGTAAGAGGTTTTAACATCGATGACAAATGGGACAGCTGAGGACCTGCAGAAGCATTGTGAAAAAGTGCTGAGACTTGGCTTTTTTTGTTTTGTTTTCAATTAAGACAAGATCTCAGTGTTTCCCAACTTGGCTTTGAACTACAGATTCTCCTGCCTTAACCTCTCAACTGCTGTCTGTGTTCACCACCACGCTCGGCTCCTTTCTGTAACAGCCTGCTTGTTAATTAGGATGATAATTTTTGCCCTTGGTGAAAAATTTAGTCTTAAAGGTTCTTGTTAAATGTGTGTGTGTGTGTTGTCTCACATGTACAAATGACATGGAGAAAAACCTTACAGAAATGGAATTGCTACAGCAATTAGATTGTTCCTCAAGAAAATAGTACAGTTGGAATTCACTTGCCCCTAGACCTATGCTGCAAATTGTCTAGTTATTTCTTGCTATCCTGATAAGGGAAATGGCTATTTGTTATTGCAATAGACCACATATACATAGATCTTTTTAAAATTATTATTATTATTAATTTTATTAGCCATTCCCTGAGGTGGCATCTTAAAACTGGAGTTACTGGGTCAGAAGCATGGGTGCTGTAAACATGGAGTGTCAGTTACCTTTCCTACTGCTATGATAAGATACCCTGAGAAGGGGCCTGGAGAGATGGCTCAGTGGTTAAGAGCACAGGCTGCTCTTCCAGAGGATTAGGGTTCAATTCCCAGCAACCACAAGATGGCTTACAACCATCTATAATAAGATCTGGTGCCCTCTTCTGGCCTGCAGGGATAGGTACAGGGATACGTACAGACAGAACTCTGTATAATAAATAGAACAACCTAAGGGAGAGAGGCTTTGTTTGGGCTCACTGTACAGACCATAAAGGTGGGGTATTGTCAACAGCGGGGCCTAGAGGCAGGTGGTCGCATTGTGTCCACACTCAGGAAGCAGAAAGCCATGAATGCTAGTTCTGAGCTCATGTTCTCCAAGTCAGACCATCCTGGATCCCTACACAGGAACGGCCACACCCACAGTGAAGGTGGATCTTCCCCTTTAGTCAATCAAGATACTCCCTCAGAGATGTGCCTAGAAACTAAGTAAGCCCTCACATTTATGTTTGGAGACTTGTTCCTTGAGTGACTCTAACCCTGTTAAATTGATGACACTCATCATCACACAAGACAATATCCTTTTCTTTTTCCCCCCTCAGTCCCATCCTGCCTGCAAATGCCCCAAGCTGACTTCAAACAAATTTGATCTTTATGGGAACAGCCCGCTGATTGTGTACTTCTTCCTCAACTACTCCAAGCTGCAGCAGCATGGCCAGGAAGTGCTGATCAGCAGGAGAGAGAAGACCAAACTCATCCCATATCCTTGTCACCAGGCTCCTGCCACCTCTTTGCAGGGTGTGAGGGGACACATCCAGGCTCTAAAAGAAGGGTATTTTTTTTCTTTTGGAGAGGTTCTTGAGTTAGGGTCTCACAATATAGTTGAGGCTGGCCTCAAATTCAGGGCAATTTTCCTGTTTCAGCCTCACGAGTTCTGGGATTACAAGTGTAAATCACCAGACCTGGCTCTTATCCCCTTTCATAGATAGATAAATGGAGACATAGATGGTGATAGTGGAGGTCCCACAGCTTGTCACAAATGCAGCCGAGATTAAAACGAAGGGTGAGAGTGTAGCAGAGGAGAAAGGTCTTCTTTGTTTTGGTGTTTAAGACATTGTCTCATGTAGCTCTGGCTGGCCTGGAACTCCCTGTGTCCTTGGATTTGATCCTCCTAATTCCATTCCCAAGTGCTAGGATTACTGGTGTGCATCACCATACCTGACTAAAAGCAGGGCCCTTTCAGTATAAACTTGAACAGTGAAGCTGAGTGTGGCAGTATGTACCCATAATGCCGGCACTCGGGAGGGTGGGGCAGTAGGCTGACTATTAAGACTACATAGCTGGATCCTGTTTTAAAAAGCCAAATCCACCTGGGCTTCATGGGCACACCTTTAATCCCAGCGCTCAGGAGGCAGAGGCAGGTGGATCTCTGTGAACTCAAGGCCAGCCTGGTCTACATAGTAAGACATTCTTTAAAAACCAAACCAAACAAATCCCAAACACCAAACCAGAAAACAGATGTGCCATCAGGCCTCCAAGGAGTGGGATGTTGGAGTCCCTTCTGCTTGGCCATTGTGATGACAGACTCCAAGCCCAGACTATTCAGCTGGGCTCAGAACTAAGCTGGTGGACTGTGGCCACTGTGATCTGCAGAAAGAACCAGTGATCCTGGGGAACCCCCTGGAAACAGCGCCACACTGCCCAGCAGCAGATGCCGCCGTCCTTCCCCTGCAGACAATCTAAGGCAGTATTGTCTGCCTCCATGCCATGGACAGGGTCAAACAGGGCTTCATGACAAGGTGGGCACTTCCTGGTCACATAGAGGGCAGCTTTCTTCATTCCCAGGCTAGCCCTAGCTGGCCTCAGAAGATCACTGCCTGTGTGGGTTTTGGGTACCTCCTCCGTAACTCCAAAGCACCAAACTTTGTCCTTGGTGTAGTTCATGCGTCCCTTCCCATACACAAGGCTCAGCCACTAGCAGGGCTTGGGGGCAGCACAGAGGGCCATTCCTTGACAGCAGAATCCACTGACTCTGCCATGACCTATGCTGACATCATCCATCTGGCCACCAAGAACATGGAGACTCGAAGGATGAAGCTCAGGCAGCTGTACCGACTGCATGAGAGCGAGTGGACCTACTTTAACAGCTACCTAACAGATCTGCGAGAGAACTTCAGGAGGTAGGAGGGTGTAGGCTCAGAGCCACGAATGGACACCTGTCCACAGCAGCAGCCAGCAGGGTTCACTGAGCACAGTCAGCTTTCCTGTGGCCACATCAGAACCAGCTCATTCAGAGCCTAGCTCTGTGGTGTGTGTGTGTGTGTGTGTGTGTGTGTGTGTGTGTGTGTGTGTGTGTGTGTGTGTGTTTCCCCACTGTGTGGTAGCTGACAGTTGTAATTCTAGCACTCAGGAAGGTTGATGCAGAATTACCCCAAATTCTAGGCCAGAGTAGAGCACAGAGGCGGAGCCTATCTCCTGCACACACACACACCCCTCCACTGTGCCAAAAAAAAAAAAAAACGCTCTTTTTTAAAGGTTGACATCATGGTGTATGCCTGTAATCCCAGCACCTAGAAAACTGAGGCAGGGGCTGGAGAGATGGCTCAGCGGTTAAGAGCACTGGCTGTTCTTCCTGAGTTCAGTTCCCAGCAACCACATGGTGGCTCACAACCATCTATAATGGAATCTGGTGCCCTCCTCTGGAGTGCAGGCGTACATGCAGACAGAATACTGTGTATACAATAAATAAATAAATCTTTAAAAAAGAAAGGGGGGAGGAAGGAAGGAAGGAAAGAAAGAAGAAAGAAAAAACCGAGGCAGAAGCATCCCAACTTGGAGTCTAACTAGCTCCAAAAATAGACCTGGCGTCCTGTGAATGTGCATAGGGTTAGGCGAGGGTGTCTTTCATGCTGTGTTTCCTCTGCTAAGCCCCAGAACCTGTCTTTGATACCCAGCTTATGTGGGTGCTGAGAGCCAATCTTTGGCCCTCATTGATTGCCCAGCAAGTGCTTTTAGCCACTGAGACTCCTCCTTAGCACTGGGATTGAGAGACACCACCCACCATGCCTGGCCTTTACGTGTGTACTGGGGTTATGCTCATGTCCTAGTGCTTTCATGGCTATCACTTTACCAAATGAGGCATGTCCCCAGTCCCCTGAATGTCTAAATAGCAAAATGGTATTCTGCTTTGTTTTTTCAATGAGGGCCAGCTCTGGGATGAAAGTGGCCATGTGGAAGATGAGTCAAAGGTGGGGAGGACGCTTTGGGGACATTACTGTTTGTTCCCTGATGGAGCCCAGGTCAGGAGCATTAGCTCTGATGTTGGGCAAACTAAAGTTCTCTCTGTCTTATTTTCCATGTCAGTGAGACTCCCCAGCCAAGCTGTGAAGGGTGTAGACTCCTCTTCCATGAACACGACCAACACTAGCACCTGTCTCACTGTAGATCTAGCCTAGCTCAGAGGTATTGGCTGATGAAGGGGAGGTAGGGGACCCCACATCAGAGCACTGCAGGTCCCCAGCAACACAAGGCATTTTAGCCAGGAAGTTTGTGGCTGGAAGATGGGGAACAACCAAGGCCATCCATCAGGCAGCTGCTGAACCTCCCGTAGTAGCGGGAGGAGCCTGTCTGCCCTTCTGAGGGTTACACTGAGCAGGTGCAGGGCCATTGCTGGAGAATTAATTTTCCTGTGAGTCCAGAGCACAAGGCCTCCAGCATATTTGCAGCAGAGCACCCAAGATTCAACATACTATTGAAAGAACTCCAGGAAATGTTCCTACGTTTGATTCTGTCCTTGTGATGTCTAAAGGAAACAGAGAAGTATATACAGCCGTCTCCCTGCTTTTCTTTTTACATTTGTGTGTGTTGTGTGTATGTGTGTGTGTGTGTGTGTGTGTTGTCTATGATTGGCCTTGAACTTCTGAATAGTTGAGTATGTACTGCCAACCTAGCTTATGACATCATCTTTAAAATTTTTGATTTATTTTATGTGTGTAAGTGTCTTGCCTACCTGCATGTATGTGCACTTCCTTAATGCCTGGTACCTATATAGAAGTCAAAAGAGGTTGCTGAATGTTCTGGAATTGGAATTACAGATGGATGTGAGTTGCCTGCCATGTGGGTGCTGAGTACTGGTCACGGTCCTCTCCAAGTGATGCCAGTGCTCTTAACTGCTGAGCCACCGATCAAGCCCATCATGACAACATCTTACCTCATACAAATATATATTAATGGCTATTTTGTTGACCTTGACTACTTATAGCTTGATTCTTCATCAATTAATTGTCTACTTGCATTTCAAAAGCCGACTGGGGTTATCCAGTTCAGCAAAGCCATTGTGTAACCTGTGAACACTCTACCCAAAGCTTCCAGTAGCTACCAAGTCCTCATCTCCTCTATAGTTCCATACGTCCATTCTACAACCCCAGCAGTCTGTATCTGGGATGTAGTGACTCCTGTGTGGTCAGCTGTTTCTTGGCAGGCTGGCAGAAAAGATCACATTGCAACCAGGTGGTGGTGGTACACACCTTTATTCCCAGCACTTGGGAGGTAGGGGCAGACTGAGCTCTGTGAGTTCAAGGCCAGCCTAGTATACAGAGTGAGTTCCAGGACAGCTGAGCTACACAGAGTAACCCTGTATAAAAATCAATCAATCAATCAATCAATCAATCAATCAATCAATCAATCACATTGGCTCTTTCATCCTTTTTCTTTTGTTTGTTTTTCCAGACAGGGTTTCTCTGTGTAGCCCTACCTGTCCTGGAACTCACTCTGTAGACCAGGCTGGCCTCAAACTCACAGACATCCACCTGCCTCTGCCTCCTGAGTACTTGGATTAAAGGTGTGCCACCACTGCTCAGCATTTCATTCTTTTTAAATACATGTATTTTGTCATTTTATCTCCCAGGGAGGTGAAAGTTATCAATAAAAAAGCAGCAGAAAAAAAGAAAGGCCAACCATGCCATCCTCTCACCCTCGCTACTGTTTGATTATTGGTTTGACAAGAAGTTCAGAGGAAACCCCCACAGGGAAACGGCGTTTCTCTCGAGGTTTGTTCAAAGGACAGTCTTAGAAAGTGTCCAGAGTGAACGGTGGGAGATCACCAGGTGGGGAGGTGAGCAGGTGCATGTCTGGAGATCACCAGGTGGGGGGGGTGAGCAGGTGCATGTCTGGAGATCACCAGGTGGGGGAGGGGAGCAGGTGCATGTGTGGAGATCACCAGGTGGGGGGGTGAGCAGGTGCATGTGTGGGTCCAGAGAGCACCTCTGAGCTTTCCCAGTGCTGTGTCTCAGAGCAAAGGACTGGACCAGGCTTGCATGGACTGTGATAGAGACAGTTCGTTAGGGAAGAAATAAAGGCCGATTCTGATGGTGGAGGGGGGCTAGAGAGCTAGGTCAGGGCCGAGAGCCAGGAGCCTCAGATGTCACTCGGGGTCACTCACAGAGCACCGCCTTCCTCTACATGAGATCCTGGGCCTCTTCCCCCACATGCTCTGTTGTCACCCGCGGCCATGGTCAGGAGGGCTTTCCAGTCTCTCTGCCAGCTGGCTGCTCTCATCTGCTCTCCTGTTCACCTGCTCTCCAGCCCCTCATCACTCATCTCAATTCCCTTCTCTGTCCACACTCTCTGCCGCAACTCTTTCTTGAGACCTGTGGTCCCAGAAGTTGTATGGGGAGGTTGAGGGATTAAAAAAAAAAATAATTCTATGTGTATGTGACTGCGTACAGATATGTGTACTCCATTCATGCAAGAGCCCAGGAATGATAGAAGAGGTGTCAGAAACCCTGGAACTAGAGTTATAGACGGTTGTGAGCTGCCGTGTGGATGCTGGGAACGGAACCCAGGTCTTCTGTAAGAGCACTGAGTTCTCCTAATTGCTGACCAATCTCTCCAGCCCCAGTGATCACTTGTTTACAGCTTCCATGTCGGTTGGAGATTAACCTTTGGATGCCCTACAGTAGGAGGTGGTTGCAATTCCTGCATATATCCTGAAAGACATAAACTTTATAAAGCTAAAACTACATCTAAATAATAGTAGCATGGTCACACTCACCCATAGCCCCAGAAAGGGCAAGAGCCAGGAAAGCTATGGCCATGCTCATCCCTGGAGAGCCATCCTTGTTCCCTGCGACGTGACCCCTTGCACTGTTAAAACAACAGCAGCAGCAGCAGCAGCAACAACAACAACAACAAAAAACAGATGCACTCGCCTTTAATCCCAGCACACCGGAGACAGAAGCAAGTGGATCTCTGGGAGTTTGAGGCCAGCCTGGTTTATAGAGTGAGTTCTAGGACAGCCAGGGCTACATAGTAAGATCCTGTCTTAGAAACAAACAAACAAACAAAACCACATAATGATAGTTCCATTGAGACTATGATAAAATACAAAATAATAATTTTAAGGCAGAATCCAGTGGTGGAAGAGATTAAAAAGAAGGTAGCACGAGACAGCACCGTCATCCTCCTATGGCTGCAGTATTTCCACCATTGCTGAGGTTATTCAAACATCCTCCACACACCCTACTAGTTTTCTTCTGACCTCATGCTGCTCCCACCTCCCCGAGGGGTCCTCTCTGCTTCTTTGTTTGCTGGGCTTTACTCTTTGATCTTTGATGTCTGTGTATTTCCCATGACTTGGGCTGTCTCATAGTTCAGGGGGAAGCTCCAAGAAGCCCATGGGGCCAGCACTGGTGGCTGGGGCTCCTCCCTGCTTGTGGCAGGGAAGCAAGCCATCTGCACAGGGAGGTCCCGAGCACCAGCAGTCACTTTTCTCAGGACCACTCTGTGCCTGGGGAGGGAAAAGCCTTTCTTTATGAACTGATGCCTGGCTGACTGTGTTCTGGAAATGGCAGGAAGCAATGGAGCAGGCACCCTACATTTAAATAACCACTTAGTTCCCCTTATTTTCTTTTGGTCTTACATCACTGGCCTCTATTTTAGTTTCTCTAGGAAATAAAAACCTTTAATTCTCATGACAGTTTGAGTCATTATATAAAGTAGGATTATATCTAGATGAGCATCACAGGAAAAAATAACAGTGGTACAAGTTAATCCCTGGAGGTGCAGACTTGTGTGTCTGCCTCCAGGTCAGGATCCTATTTCCCCAGACTCAGTTCAGTCTTGGCCTCAGGCTGCTATTCGAAGATTAATGAGAGGGCGTGGCCTTGTGTAGACCCTCTGTTTCCATTCCCTTCGCCAGCCTTGCCAGCCCTTATTTTTCTCCCAGTGCTTATCAAGGTGCCAGTAAAACTGCTCTGGAGAAGGGATTTCTGAATTTCTGAACTGGTTTATTGACATCCGTTTTGCTTCCCCACAGGAAGAGAAGGAAGGAGGTAGAAGAGAGACGGAAGTTTCTCCAGTCCTCGTTCTCATTCCGAAGCCCAGTGGATAACTATTCCCTGGTCATAAAAAGCCCCTACAGAATGGGGTTTATTTCCAGTACCAGGTGAGGTGGGACAGAGTGGGAAGACGGGGAGCTAGGAAGTCCTCCAGCCTGGCTCCCTCGGGGTTTGCCAGAGAGACCAGGTGGGGGCTCTGTGCAGGCCACTGCATCTTTCAGACATTTACTGCCCCTTGCTATTTGAAGTATTGTGACAATGACAGCTCTATTTACCAATGTTTTACCCTGTGCTAACATTAAGAAAACGAGCCCTGCACAAACATGACCTCATATGAAAGTTAAACTTTCCTGAGGCAGTGACTAGTCACAGTATCCCAAGCACAGACACAGGTTCAGCCTACTGCCGCAGGCACCTGTGAGGATGCAGCAGTAGGTACCCACATTCCCAGGTGATAAGCAACTGGTGCCAAACAGCAAGTACGTGAGCAGACTAGATGCCCACAGTACTGGGAACCCTGGGAAAATGAAGCAGGGGCCAGGAGCCGTGCGGAAGTGATGTCATTGAGTCTGGCACAGATGACAGTTTCCTGGCAGAAGGAGGGGGGCACATGAAAGAGGCAGCAGCTAGGAGAGCAGAGCCAGAGAGAGAGGACACCACACGGGAGGAGGGCAGAGCAGGGGGTGGAGAAAGGCTCAGGGGGGTAGGGGCCGCCACATGGGAGAAGGTCAGGCCAGGGTATGGGCAGGACATCAGGGCCTTGTAAACTGTTTCTGGACAAAGGAGACTTTATGAATCCCTTTGTTTTCTGTCATGGGAGCCACTGGAATATAGTCAGTAAGGGCATCACTGATTAGATTTGACTTCCCCAAAACACAATAGCAGGTCTCTGTCATCATGTCTGGGGGGCTTGTAAAGGTTCCCACAAATCCTTGTTTACACTTGGATCCTATCTGTACTTCTCAATCAGGAATTCCCAGACTGTCTCAATCTTGGCTCAGAAAAATGTTTCAGAAAGTAACCCTTAATAACATATTACTAATTAAGAAACCATTTACAAGCAGAAAGTGGTGGCGTGGGGCTGTAATTGTAGCACTTAGGAGGCTGAGGCAAGAGGATTTTAAAAGAACAAGTACCTCAGTTTCTAGCTGGTGAATTAGTTCTTTTTGTTGCTGTAATGAAACACCCAAGACTGAGTATTAATGACAAAAAGAGATTTATTTAGCTTACAGTTCTAGAGGTCTCAAAAAAGTGTGTGTGAGTATACTATGTGTGCTGTGAAATACACAAAAAAGAAACCAGAATTTTAAAAGGATCACACACACATGCACGCACGCACGCACTCACACACATGCACGTACTCACTGGGCGGTAGCTCAGTGGGTAAAACCCCTGCCACACAAGCATGAGGACCTGATCTCTAGAACCCAGCCTGCACCTGTAATCCCAGTGTTCCCACAGTGAGAAGGAAGCAGAAGTGAGGCGGGAGAACCCAGAAGTCTGTGGACTAGCTAACCTTGTAAGCAACAGCAAAAGACCCTATCTCAAACAAGGTAGAAGACAAGATTGTCCTCTGACCGACACATGTGTGCCATAGTTCACAAAGGGATGGTATAAACACCAATGTCAGCTGACTACTCCTGGGAGACCCCAGGTAAACATTAACCAGGCCAACAGGTTCCCTTTTGGTTTACTCCACAGAAAAAAGGTCAAGGTGTGGGAATTATAGAAAGTGTCAGAGAACCAGAGGTAATTGTCAGTTCATTGCTGTCACTTCTGTGGTCCTTATCATGTCTCTTGGAGCTTGCCTGGCTGGGTGTCCTGGCCAGACTCTACCCAAAAGCACTCCTTTTTTTCTGGGCCCTGTCCCTGGGTATACCCTCAGAACCCAAAGGACAGCTCACAACCATCTGTAATTCTAGTATCTAATGCCCTTTTCTGGCCTCCAGGGGCACCAGGCATGTACATGGTGCACATATATACATGCCAGCAAAACATTCATACACATAAAATAAAAATAAATCCTAAGAAAAGGAAAGTTTAATTGTTATTTTAACTGAAGTACGATGAAGCAAGGCAGAATCATCTCTCTGTCTCTTTGGCTTTTCGAGACAGGGTTTCTCTGTGTGACCCTCACTGTCTCGAAATTCACTCTGTAGACCAGGCTGGCCTCGAATTCACAGAGATCCGCCTGCCTCTGCCTCCCAAGTACTGGGATTAAAGGTGTGCGCCATCACTGCCTGGCAACATAGTCACTCTTCAAGGGCTGAATAGAGAGGCAGCAATGGTCTCAGATCACTATCTTTTAATGTCAGCTCCCACAGCACCTCCTGGTTCCATGGCCCTATTTGGTTCTTATCCTTAGTCTCAAGCTCTTTCTCTGTAAAATGGGAATGCTAAGAGTATGTATGGCTTAGGGTCGATGTGCAGAATGAATTGGTCAGCTCTTTTGTAAAGTCCAGAACACAGTGCCTAATACAAGCAAAGTAGACGTAAGGAAGCGTATCATCATCACCAATGTTACTGTGTGAGACGGGGTCTCACTGTGTATCCCAGAGTAGTCTCAAGCTGCGGAGCCTCTCTTCTGAGTGCTGGGTTACAGGTGTGTGCCATGGTTCCCTGCCCTAGGAGTGCTCCTTAGATGAAGCAGTGAATGCTCTGTGCAGCTCGTGGTAAGACACGCGGCTCCTGTGCCCCTTCCCGTTCCTTTGCTGCCGTGGCGACTTCCTCATTGTTCCAAAGCCTGTGGGCTGATCCTGTCACTCTCATTGGTCACTAAACAGGGTTGTGCTTCATTTAGCTCTATTGTCAGTGAGCCAGGGCTCTGTTCACTTGTCCCCTAGAATGGTTTTGTTAGCCTGAGAGCTAAGGCCAACTGTCTATTTTAGTTTATTGCCTCTTGATTCTCGTTCCCTCTTGTGTATCTGCCACAGTCCACCCAGAGTCTTCCCTGGTTCTATACATCCCTCCCACCTCCGTGCCCCCTCCCCCACTTCCCACCCTGAACATTCAGAGCCTCCACGTCACCTGTCATTTGCTGGCCTTTTGGTGCTTGGTTCTAGCCTTCTGAAATTTTTTAAAATTGTGTATACAGTATTCTGCCTGCATATATGCCTGAAGAGGGCACCAGATCTCATTGTAGAAAGTTGTGAGCCAACATGTGGTTGCTGGGAATTGAACTCAGGACCTCTGGAAGAGCAGCCAGTGCTCTTAACCTCTGAGCCATCCCTCCAGCCCCCACCTGCTGATATCTTGGTCATACAAGGTTCCCACCATTTCTGTCTTTTCATTCCTCCACAGTGAGCACATCGCCAGTGTGTCCAAAGTCACAAAGGACATACTCTTTAGACTCTCGCCGTCTTCCATGGAATGAACTCGCCCGAGAACAGGCTCAGACTGCAGAGGTAGTACTTGCATACATTGTCGGATGTGATAGAAAATGGAATCAGCAATGGCAAGTGAGAGTACTACTGCAGCTAGGGGATCCTGAGTCTTCCTAGTCCATGGGATAAAGAATATTAAAGTTCACATCTGCCACACGCCAAAGTTAGGGCTGAGAAAAGATGATTTACCTCATCCATTCAGACATTTACTAATTCGTTCTTTCATTCACTTAACAATAATAACACGAGACAGGGTTTCTCTGTGTATCTTTGACTGTCCTGGAACTCATTCTGTAGACCAGGCTGGCCTTGAAATACAGAGATTCACCTGCCTCTGCCCCACAATAACAATACAGTTCAACACATCCTTATGAAATATAGAAAGACCTTGTCTCAAAAAACAAGCAGGTCCCAGGCAGAGGCAGGCAGATCTCTATGAGTTTGAGATCAGCCTGGTCTACAGAGCGAGTTTCAGGATAGCCAGGGCTACACAGAAAAACCCTGTCTAGAACAACCAAAACCTGAGACACCCAGTCTAATGGACTGAGCATCTTCTGATTCTTGAACTTTCCATTCATAGCTAGCCATTGTTGGATTAGTTGGTCCATAGCCTGTAAGTCATTCTAATAAATCCCTTGCCTTAAGAAAGACAGATTCATTCTATAAGTTCTGTTACTCTGGAGAACCCTGACTAACACATAATTTGGTACTAGAAGTGATTGTAGAGCAACAGAAATATAAGGATGAATCTTTTAAGTATCTGGAATAGGCTTTCCAACTTGCCAACACCAACAAGTACTGAAACCTCTCCAGTTACCAAAGCCTCCCCTGGGAGTTCAGAGTATACTAAAAGTCCATGGTGTGGACTGTATTACAAACTTATGGAAATAAATACATTTGATTATTCTGATTCACCAAACAAACACCCCTCTACCCCCAGTTCTGACATCAAACTGACTGTAAACTGAAGGTGAGTTTTATGTTTCAAACAGCCTGCTGAAGACCAGCAGAGGTGGCTAGAAAGAACGGGAAGGAGAATGGAGAGAATTACACAGCACCCAGGGACTTGACAGTGGGAGAGGCCCACAGGTTCATACTCCCATAACTTGCCTTAAGGGCATGTATGTTCTTGTGATAACTATACCTCAGGGTGTTCTTTACAAATGCATACGTTAGCTGGGCATGATGGTAGATACCTGTAACACCAGCACCCAGGAGGTGGGACAGGGAGGATCAGGAGTTCAAAACCAGCCTCCACCACATCCCAAGTTCAAGGTCAACTTGAGCTCTACTAGACCGTGTCTCAAACAAAACATAAATTATAAACACAGGTATTTCTTCTGAACTTCTGAACTCTGTCCACTGAAATAACCTAGAAATAAAACTGATAGCAACCCAGGACAGCCTGCCCCAGTGCTAGTCAAGTGCTCTACCATTGAGCTGCCCAGGACTGTGGCTTGAGATAGCATTCGCACTGAACGGACTCATATGAACACACCAAGTTGGCATCCGGTGGTTTCCCACACTGATTAAGAGCACATAGACTTGAGACAGCTGTGAGTCTGGTGCAGTGTATAAATGGGAGTCATGACAGGTCATGCCCCACTGTGTGTGTGTGTGTGTGTGTGTGTGTGTGTGTGTGTGTTTGAAACCCATTACTCCATGAAAAGCACTAAGCTCAGTGCCCAACTCCAGCAGGGGCTGTGCATAATGCTGTCCCTCCTGCTCACTGCATGCTCCAAACATGTGGCCTCTTCGTTTTACACCTGAGACTTGCTTCCTCTCCAGAACCTCACACTGCAAAGGAACCCTTGCCCCTGCCTGAAGAAGCCTAGGTGGGTCTGTCTCCCACCCTAGAAGGCAGACCAGCTCTCAACCATCTTCCTGCCCAATACAAGGATTGCACCATAAAGGACACAACGGCGACAGCTGTACTTGGGTTCCAGTGACCTGCCTGATCCTCATATGGTGCCATGCAGACCACCTCTGCCTCCAGCTTCTCAGCAGGACTCTGCTGCTTAGGACAGTCATCTTGTCTGTATTTCTCTATCCAGTAGAGAGCTGTACTAAGAAGCGTCTGGTGAATGCTGACACAGTACATGGTCAAAGGTTTGCCTCTGATGTCAGTGTGTGAGGTTAGAAGTTATTCACCTTGGGAAATGTGAACAGATGAGAAAGTCCAAAACATATGATGTGGCACTTACATGTATATATGTCTATATAGTAAAACATTTCCATAGAATTCATTCACTGATGTATGTTAAACATATGTGATACACACAATTATTTGGGGCTTGCTCCTCTATTATCTGTATTAAGATAGCTATTAGCACATATTAGAAATTTATTTGCATGTTTTTGGTTTAAATTATTTTGTTTGCAGTACTAGTATGGAACCTAGGGCCTTGCCTGTCTCAGGCAGGGACTTTACCAGTAAACCACTCCTTTGTGTTTCAGGGTCTTGCTAGGTTTCCTGGGCTGCCTTTGAGCTTGTGAGTCCCCTGCCTTTGTCACTGGGCCCAGCTGGCTCTGCGTGGTTTGGGCTCAGTGGAAGGCATGATCCTGAAAGAAGTTTAAACTAAAGGAGTGGAAGTATGTTTGCGTTCCTTTAAATTCTGCGTGTCTTGGGATTATTTGTCTGAAATGTGTCATCCCTGCTGTGGGCTGCTTGCTCTCCCAGAGCCGTGACTCCCGGAGTCTGAGAGCAGACTTCTTTTCTGGGAATGGGAGTGGGTGCAACCAAACATTTCCAGGAGCCTAAGATGCCTTCCAAGACCCCTACGCCTGCCCCATAAGTCAATTACACAGCTTGAAGTCTGCAGTAAGAAGGTCTCACGATGGAAGGTACACAGAAGATGCTTCATGTGCTGTCCATGATAAGAGGGGACACTTACTGATAACAGACATTCTGTGGAGCTCTGTGCAGCCATTTAAAAGTGATGCGGAATGGGCAAGAGCGAGAGAGGTGTGTGGCCGAGGGCAGTGCTTCGGGTATCCCTGCTTTGGTTTTGTTAGTGTTTTCAATGAAGACCTATTGTTTTTATTTCGGTTTTGGCTTCTAAAACTTAGATGATATTTTTCTTCCCCCCCCCATGAAAACTAGATTAAAACTTAGATTAGTGAGTATGCACACATCATAGGGTTTGCCAGAATGTCTCCCCACAATAATAAGCACAGTATTTGAGACTGGGCACAAGATGAAGGGAACTAGAGCGAGAGCAGAAGGCAGGCCTGGAGACAGCGCTTGCAGCCCGAGGAGATGCTTTCCCAGGCAACCGTCCCTTCTACTGATCTCCAGCTTCACACACTGTCCCACGTCAGGGTTTGTCCTTTCATCCCGCCAACCACGCAGGAGCTCAGCCTAAATGCCATGCTTCCCTTCCTGCAGACAAGGCCAGGTGCCCTGTGTGCTCCCATAACCACCCTGCATTTCTTTCTATTATTTTTGTTTTTTCTAGACAGGGTTTCTCTGTGTAGCCCTGCAGTCCTGGAACTCCTCTGTAGACCAGGCTGGCCTCAAACTCACAGAGATCCACCTGCTTCTGCCTCTTTAGTGCTGAGATCAAAAGTGTGCACCACCACTTCCTAGCTCTTTATTTTATTTTTTAAAAGATTTATTATGTATAGTGTTCTGTCTGCATGTATACCTGCACACCAGAAGAGGGCACCAGATCTCATTATAGATGGTTTTGAGCCATGTGGTTGCTGGGAATTGAACTCAGAACCTCCAGTAGAGTAGTTAGTCAGTGTTCTTAACCTCTGAGCCATCTCTCCAGCCCCTCTTTCTTTTATTTTTAAGATTTAGTTTTTATTTTTGTTTGTGGGTATGCATATGTGTGCAGGCCAGAAGAGGGCATTAGATCCTCTGGAGTTTAAGGCAGTTGTGAGTCACCTAGTGTGGGTACTGGGAACTGAACTCAGGTTCTCTGGAAAACCCCCTAACTCTTAACCACGGAGCCCCTGTTCATATTCTTGTAAAAGGAGAATGAGGTCCCAGGTACTTACCCAGCTGTGTAAAACAGCAGGCATGTACAAGGCCCAGTGCAAGCTGCCTGGACCTGTTTGCTGATGACAGGGCTCAGTCTCAGGGTCTCAAGCCTAAGTCAAGGCCCCTACCACCAGAGCTCCCCCAGCCTGTGCCTTACTCTCCAAGGAGCATGATTTGAAAATGGAGTTGAAGCAGAGGGACATGGTTCTCTCTACATTACTGACAATCCTGTGAGAGATGGTCACACAACAGTAAGAACACAAGAAAAAAAAAACTCAATGGTTTGGATCACATTGTCTAAGAAGTAGTATTTATTTTTGAGAGACTGAGAAAAAGAGTTCCCACTTCTTTGGTACAGTGTCTCAGTCATTGTTCTATTGCTGTGAAGAGACACCATGACCATGGGAAACCAAGCAAACGACCAACAGCTTCATAATTAATATAGCGCCCTGTGTGTTATTTGGGGGTTCAGACAGCTCGGCAGAGCCCAGGCGGCTGGCGGGGAAGACAACACGTTTCACACAGTCCTCCAACAAGACCATCACACCTTCTAGTCCCTGTCAAGTAGTGCCACTTCCTAAGGACCAAGCATTTAAATGTGTGAGCCTATGGTGACCATTTCTATTCAAACCACCATAGGCAATAAGTTGAAAATATAGTTGGGCGTGGTGGTGGTACATGCCTGTAATCCTGGCATTCAGGAAAGGGAGGCAAAAGAATTGTGAGTTTGAGCCCAGCCCAGGCTACATAGCAAGAGCCTGTTTGTAAAACAAAATAAAACAAAAGCCAAAAATAAAGCGGACGCCATTTAATCCCCAGAACAGAGTCAGGTGGATCTCTGAGTTCAAGGCCAGCCTGCTGGTCTACAGAGTGAGTTCCAGCCAAGGAAGGTTACACAGAGAGAGAGAGAGAGAGAGAGAGAGAGAGAGAGAGAGAGAGAGAGAGGGAGAGGGAGAGGGAGAGGGAGAGGGAGAGGGAGAGGGAGAGGGAGAGGGAGAGGGAGAGGGAGAGGGAGAGGGAGAGGGAGAGGGAGAGGGAGAGGGAGGGAGAGAGGGAGAGAGGGAGAGAGGAGGGAGAGAGGGAGAGAGGAGAGAGGAGAGAGAGAGAGAGAGAGAGAGAGAGAGAGAGAGAGAGGAAAGAGGAGAGAGAGAGGAGAGAGAGAGGGCAGGAGAGCTGGCTCAACAGCAGAGTGCTTGGCCCCTGGCATCGGAGACTGGAGTGTGACTTTTTGCAGCCACACAGGGATGTGCCCAGCTCTGATAGCTCAGACAGAGGAATGAGAAGTTCCTCAAAGCTTGGGAGCTTGAGAATAAAGTCCATTGACTGGAAGGTTAAGAGCACTGACCCCTTGCCTGGCCATGGTCCCACACATCTTTTATCCTGCCTGCAAAGGCAGGCTGTCAGCTGTTACGCAGAGAAACTGTGTCTTGGAAAGCAAAACAAAACCAAACCAAATTAAAACAATAAAGACTACTGCTCTTCCAGGGGACCTGATTTCAATTCCCATCAACCACATAGTAGCTAGTAACTATCTAACTCGAGTTCAGAGGATCTGATGTCCTCTTCTGGCAAAACACTCATACACATAAAGTAAAAATAATCTCTAATTCTTTTTTAATTTTGCTTTTTCCAGACAAGGTTTCTCTATGTAGTCCTGGCTGTCCTGGAACTCACTCGTAGACTAGGCTGGGATTAAAGGCGTATATCACCATGCCCAACTTAAAAAAAATTTTTTAAGAATAAAGTATATATAAGTAAATGTCCCAAATGAGAAAGAGGTGGTGCTGGTGACAGCAGTCAATGGAATGACAGTAGAACTGGAGAGATGGCTCAGTGAGAGCCATCTTGAAAGACTTGGGGATTAAGCAGTACCATAGAGAGCCATCTTGAGCTATCTCCTTGAGAGCGTTTGCTGCTCTTGCAGAGGACCAGTTTAGTTTCCAGCACCCACACAACTGCTTACAAATATCTCTAACCCCAATTCTACAGGATCTGACTCCCTCTTCTGGCTCCTCATGCACCAGTCACACACACACACACACACACACACACGCACGCACGCACGCACGCACGCACGCACGCACGCACAGACACACACACAAGCAAGCAAGAAAACCATACACATGAATTTTTTTTGAGACAGGGTCTTGTTGCAGAGTATTTGTTTACTCTGGAAAGACGTGTCTCTGCCTAAGGCACCCTCGGCTGTTTTAATAAAGAACTAAATGGCCAATAGCTAGGCAGGAAAGATAGCAGGATTCCAAGGGGAAGAGAGGAAGAGAAGTGTGCAGGAGATACCATCAAGATGCGGAATGAGCCGGGCGGTGGTGGCGCACACCTTTAATCCCAGCACTCGGGAGGCAGAGGCAGGCGGATCTCTGTGAGTTCGAGGCTGGGCTGGACCAACAGCCTCCAGAACAACACAGAGAAACCCTGTTTTGTAAAAACCAAAAAAAAAAAAAAAAAAAAAAAGATGCAGAATGAGTTGGACACACAAAATGGGAGCGAGGTAAAAGCCGCATGGTAGAACCTAGATTAATAATGTGGGTTAAGTTAGAAGAGCTGGTGGGACAAGCATAAGCCAATGGCCAAGCTTTTATTAAGACTCTGTTGTTATTTGCGGGCAGGAGGTCCCGATGAAAAAGCATACTACAGGGTCTCACCGTATAGCTCTGGCTGACTTGGAGCTTGCTGTGTAGACCAGACTGGTCTCAAACTCAAGAGATCTGCCTGCTTGGGTACTGGGTCTAAAGGCATGTACCGTTATACCTGGCATTCCGTCTTTGAGAAATGTTTCTGAGACTGGTGACCCGGGTTCAACCTCTGTGACTCACACAGTGGAAGGAGACAACTGACTCCCACAAGTTGTCCTTTTTGTCCTGTGTTACTTAGGTTTGTATCCCCTCCCTGCAGCACACATGTGTGTTAAAAAATAGTATTCAGTTTATAAGCAAAATGCTATTGGAGGCTTAAACATGAAATACGTTATTTAATAAGATAATGTTAATTGGGGAAGGCAGGGAATTGAAAAGGGATCTTGTGTAGCTCAGGCAATGAAGCTGAGGTTGGTCTTGAACTCCTAATCTTCCTACCCACTCCTCCCAAGTTCTGGTAACATTGGAGGTGTGGCCACCACTCACAGCTAAACATTAATTTTAAAAAAGCAGTCTAATGTATGTACATTTTATACTCTAGTGTCTGAATAAAATCTGTTGCAGCCCTCAGTCTTGGGGGACACTATGATGAATAAAAAGATAGAACAAAGCCTGCACCAGTGTCTAGGGAAGTGCACCGTGCAGCAAGGGGAACAGCAGTGTCTAGGGAAATGCACCGTGCAGCAAGGGGAACACCAGTGTCTAGGGAAGTGCACCGTGCAGCAAGGGGAACAGCAGTGTCTAGGGAAATGCACCGTGCAGCAAGGGGAACCTGAGGAAGAGATTGACCCAGAGGCCTGGGGGAAATTAGATGGCTTAGCGATTTCCACTTTCCAGAATATACAGTACAGTGAACATGGTGGCACATGCCTTTAATCCCAGCACTTGGGAGTCAGAGACTAGTGAATCTCTTGAGTTCAAGGCCAGCCTGGTCTACAGAGCTTGTTCCAGGA